TCATGTGGCGACCGAAATTGCTCTCCCACTTGCGGACAATGTCCGACAAGTGATTCATGCGCGCCTCGGCGTCCTCCACGGTTGACGTATCGTTCTGCCCTGACGTCGAGCGGGAGGAGGGGACCTTGGTGGACTGGAAGCGCTGCCATTGATCGTTGGTCATGGTGTCGGGCTTGCTGCCGCTGGAGAGGTCCGGGTCGATCTTTTCGATCTCGCGAGTAACAAAATTAGTGTACTGGGAGAAGATGGCGCAGGCTTGCATAAGTTTTGAGTTGACCTAGAGGAGGAGAGTAGAGTTAGAATAGATCAAGAAAGTGAGAGAGGCTGTCAACATACCTTTAGTAGCTTGCTGTTTGTAAGCATGCATTCCTTGAGGCACGTATCTAAGAAGTCTACGTGGTCCTGCATCAACTCGTCCACCGTCCGGTTGAAGCCGGACTTCTTGTCCGACATCTCGTCCTTAGCTTTCAGCCGAGACATGAACTTGGTCCAGTTTGGCTCAATCACCTCTGCCGTGCAGAAATACAGCACCTGCTGGATGTAAACGAGCATTCTCCCCCGCAATGTCCAGGTTCGCCGCTTCAAGGCCTCAAGCTCCGGGTTCGGGCCCTTGTGAGACCAAGTGACGGCTCTGGTATGTGTTTGCCAAGTCGAAGACAGTTGAGATTCTAGGTAGCGTAAGTGAAGCAGAAAACGGAAGAGCGCTTGATAACGCCAGACTGTCTTGCGACTTATCACTAGAGAGACGGGAAACGGAACCGAATAATCCAGCTGCAGCGACGTAAAGCCCGTTGCGTTCTTATCTGGTTCAATGGGTTGCTGGTTCGTAACGGGCTGCATCACTTGGCCTGACTCTATCCCCGTGATGTTCACAACCCGCTGGAGGTTATTTATAAGGGTGATCTCGTTCATCTCCACCTTGACATCTTCTTTGAAGGGATCTAGAGACGCCACAGTTCCAGGTTGGCGCAAGACGAGATCCAGCAGGGACTGCAGCTTGCTTGTGTTGACACTCTTGGCAGGTTTTCTCAATTCTGAGGAACCAAGCTCGAGGAAGTATGAAAACGAGTCTGAAGGGTCCAGGAAGAAGTAGTGCTTGAGTGAACGCAGCCTCAGCGGCAGCTCATGCGTCGTAAGAAGAAGCTGCATGAGAGACTCGTTGGCATGGGCGTAGGCATTGTTGACATTCTCGATGAATCGCTTATCGTCGAACGAGGTTGGTAGTTCCGTCACGATTTTGCTTACATCTACTCCACCACATTCGCGAACGACATTGAGATACTTGCCGGCCAGCAGTACTTTCTCTTTGACGCTTTCCAGTTGGGGTGGGACGTCTTGGTCACGAATAGTGTACCTTCTCTCCCAGTACTCGTCGATATAGTCCCTCTCGAGCCTCTCTCGCCCAATGCTCTTCTGTTCTCGAATCATAAACTCGGCATGAGGGTCGTGGATGCTGCCGTGGTGTAACCATTCATTCAGCATCTTCATATACGGCCGACTGGCGTCCCGCAGCAATGATGTTAACAGAGATCGGGCAGCCGGGTCACCACCCATCGATTCAAGCCTTGAGGCCAACAAGCCCAAAACACTGCCACCCTTGCAGACCTTTAAGGCTTTGGAACTTCCAGGAACAAGCTCTCCTCCCTCAGCAAGCCTCTCGAGGACTTTGTCATAATCGTCTATTTCATCATCATCTTCCTCATCACTTTCGTCATCCAACAGCGCGTTCTTCTTCAAGAGCTCTTGTGCCATTGCATAAAGATGAGACAGCATCTGACACGTAGGTAGGGTGTGGATGTTAAGGATGTGGACGGTAAACGTCTCACTCGTCAGAAATTGTGTCTCGAGCTGGGCAACCATAACCAGGTAGTCCTGTAGGCATTTTCTCACTGACGCACACAGCGCATGGTTCACGGCACCAAACTCCTCACGGCTCTGCACGTCGACAAAGGCTTCCAAAGCCGAATAATAGGTCGCCATCTTCAACATGGATTTGGTCAGGTCGTGTAAGCTGGGATCAAGCCCGGGCAAGATCCGAAAGGGCGGCCCGGACAGTCGGTCCCGTTCTTCATTAGGACTATACCCTCGAGCATATCGAATGTACTGCCCTTCATACCCCATGAAAACATATAACAAGTCCTCGACAATGGCTGCCTCTTGAGCCTCCAAGGTCAGCTCATGTAGGGGTTTCGGCTGTGGTGCAAATGGAATCGCAAACGCAATCGGGGGAATCGAGATTCGCGAGGCCAAGGCGGCAGAGGTATGTGGCAGCAACGACGCTTCCGGGTTCCAGACGACTTCATGACGGTTGTATGTCAGCTCTCGATCAGAAACATGGACCAATCTAAATACAAGCAAGAGGAGCAATATATGTCCCGGGGAGAGGGGGGAAAAAAGAGAGAGGATACCGTACCTGGGGGCGTCTCTGCCCGGACCTCCCTAGGCCGCAGCTCAGTCGACGACTTTTGCCTGCGCATCTCGGCCGGCCTCATCTCTGCCTGCTGCTGCGCGCGCCGTTGCTGCTCTTGCTTGGCCGGGCTGGCTGTCCGCGACGTGACTCGCTCCACATGAGCTTCGAAGCTCCGCTCTATGCCTTTGCGCTCCTCGAAGCGCCTCTCCTTGCCCAGCCTCTCTCTCGCATGGCCTGGCGAGGACCGCTTATGTGATTCGTTGCCTCCCAATTGGGCCTCTGCATTCTTCGCATCCGCCGTGCCACTTCGGGACCTTCCATTGGCTCCAGAAATCCGGGAGCGGTCGTCAGCAAAGGCGTTGGCGCGGCTTGATGCCCTCGTTCTTACGCCAGACGACATGCTGGCGAGCTACATCCGAAGCTGTAGAAAAGGTGGTAACCCGTCGCTTTGCGCCAGCCTGAGAGAAACGCCCCGTCACCCTCGTATTATCATGGAGATTGCCTTTTCGGGTTGTTCCGTTGCTTCTTTTTTTTCCGCTGTGAGGGCTGTGGTGATGGTAACGAACTTTTGCCGGTGCTGATATAAGTGTAGTATGGTTCTTTACGGCCTGTATGCGCAAGTCACAAGGCAAGCTCTACCAGCTAATACGGTGTACCTGCTCTATTGATTCAACGGGTGCATGGTGGGGTGAAACACGGCCGTCAGGCGCGTCGCGGTTGCCATTCCGTTCGCCGGATCAACCACGGTTCCGGCAGCACAGCTACAATCCGCCAGCCAGCCTGTGGCGCCAAATGTGGCGGTGCGCCAGCTCCTGCTCTCTTCTGCCTCCCCCACTACAAGGTACGTACTCGTACTGCGGACCTACCTGGAGCAGGGAAGCTGGATGCGTAGGCCCAGTGTTTGCCTGATAGCAAGTATAGCAGCAACCTTCGCAGCTTCAACCTTCCCTCAGCCTTTCTCGCAGCCTCACCACCACTCTCTCCTCACCATTCTCTCGTTCTACCAAGGCATTCCACTGGCATCTCTAGGCCGATTCAACCACACAATCAGTCAAGATGTTTATGGCAAGATCTGAATACGGCAAGCAGCTTCCCCCTCCTCTCCCCTCCTAAGCTCTCTTCTCTTCAGTTCTGTGACGAGACAAGCACAAAACGGCCACAGACACTCGGGCATATATGCATGTACAAAGAAGTGACAGCCAAGGGAACTCGTGCTAACTTCCACCTTATTTGCAGACCGGGGAATCAACACCTTCTCCCCCGAAGGTCGTCTCTTCCAGGTGGAATACTCGCTCGAGGCCATCAAGCTCGGGTCGACCGCCATTGGCATTGCAACCTCCGAGGGCGTCATCCTCGGCGTCGAAAAGCGAGTCACATCCTCCCTCCTCGAAACCTCCTCCGTCGAAAAGATTGTCGAGATCGACCGCCACATCGGATGCGCCATGTCCGGCCTCCAGGCCGACGCCCGGTCCATGATTGAGCACGCCCGCGTCGAGTGCCAGAGCCATGCCTTCAACTACAACGAGTCCCTCAGTGTGGAGAGCACCACCCAGGCCATTTGCGACCTTGCCCTGCGCTTCGGCGAGGGCGCTGACGGAGAGGAGACCATCATGAGCCGGCCCTTTGGTGTTGCGCTCCTCATCGCTGGCTTTGACGAGAACGGCCCCCAGCTGTTTCACGCAGAGCCCAGTGGCACTTTCTATCGATTCGACGCCAAGGCTATTGGATCTGGCTCAGAAGGAGCACAAGCAGAGCTACAAAACGAATATCACAAGGTCAGCTTTGTTTTCACCTTTATGTTTCTCCATATGAGTAAGCAGCATCCACTGACAAGATTGGTAGTCCTTAACAATCGCCGATGCAGAGACACTGGTTCTCAAGACTCTGAAGCAAGTAATGGAGGAGAAATTGGACTCCAAAAATGTGCAGCTAGCCAGCGTCACCAAGGATAAGGGCTTTAGAATATACACAGACGAGGAGATGGCGGCAGTCGTCGACCGGCTACCATCAAACTAATCAACCACGATATGCCTAACGAGAATAGAAAAATAACTGCACAAACTGCAATCCTCCCTTCTTCGTTCATGCAAGTGACCAAATGAGAGACTACGCGCAACCTCGCTCAGCCAGCCCGCTAACTGCATCAATTTCACCACCACCTATAGTAGGTAGGCAAGATACATGCTAGAAAACCAGATACTTCAATAGCAGAAAGGAAATAGAAATGCCGCTGTTGCATTTGATTTCGTCGTTATTGAATTTCCCCACCTGCATCCTTTTATCCCTCTCACATGTCTTGCCCTTTTCCCCTCCGGTCTCTTATTACCCGTCTCATAAACGCTGCCCAAATCCTTCACACAAAATCTACCATAGATACCATGACGTTGCCAAAATCCACTGTGAATGTGAGCTCATTTGTCTGCTAATCAATACCTGAGCCTTATTTCTGATCTCTCTCCCTTTCCCTCTCCCCCTTCTTCTCATTCTTACGTTTCTTTGTTCGTCTTTTTATTTTTTTCTCCTCTGCTTTCTATTCCCCCCTCTAATTTGCGCTTGCCGTTCTAAGACATGACACATTCTATATCGCTCGTTAGTTTAAATCGTCTCGAAGTTCGAGTCTCGCGAGTTCTGTTTCGATTGCTAGTATCCCGATTGCGTAATGTGTTCTTTCAGCCTTGGCCAGTACTAACCGCCGTTCTTCGCCCGATTCAGATTCGTCGATTTTCTTATCAATGCGGCGAGGATTCTTCCATATTGTAGACGGGACATTGTTGATGATTGTTGGTCGTGTATATTCCGGCCCTCCCATCGTGCTAGATTTTATCCATGCCGATTCACAGCCACAGGCAATCTGCATGGCAGACTGCCATCCAGTTAGGCGGGCAATATCATGCATTCTCTGGATGACCCATTCTCTCTGCCTGGTTTCATTGTACTAAAGAAAAGTTAGCATCTTTCATTGTAGATATACACATATGTACTCAGCAAGAAGGGACTGCGGGAATGAAAGGAGTTTTGCACGAACCTGTACACCTGCTACAAAGACGCAGAAAGAACTCTCAATGAGGGCAGCGCCGAGATATGTATTGATCACCGCGTACTCTGAGCAGTCGGCAGCAAGCCCAGAAGCAATCTGTCCGATCTTGAGAGCAAAGCCCGCTGTCTTCTTAGCCATCAGCCCCGCTGCCCTCATTGCAACTGGCGGCATCGAGGGGTGGCTTCGGTAAAGGTGAATGAACCCCATATAATAGTTCATCCAGATGCCAGCGATAGAGTATGTTCGAAAATATATCGGGTCCCCAAAAGGCGTTTTTGTCCTTCTTGGACCGTCAGGTTCATCACCGAGGGGTTGGAATTCGGGCCCAAGGCGGCTCTTAAATACCTCAAAGGAACTGTAAATGGCATTCCATTCTTGCAGTGCAGCTTCGTAAGTGGCTTCCGGGTCAAGTTCATCCTGAGAATCACTGTGCGGCGTGCCATCCCGTGGAGGACTAAATCCCATGGGGGCCTGCACTTTCCCAAACGTCGGGAACATGCCTGGAAACATTGGCGGGGATCCAGTTCCAGCATTCTCCCCCTTTGCTTCTATGGCCTTCTGTTTCCGGGATAAATCTTTCGACACAAAATCTGAAAGGCGGCCAAGCAACAAAACCAAATGGTCATAGGTGCCATATCTAACAAGGTATCAGTTTCAAGTGTTATTACTTGAACGGCTAGGGGAAAAGAAGAGGGCGGATTACTACATACGCGGATGAATATGTTGAAAAGGGTGCCCTCGGAGGAATCTGTGTCCAATTGTCATATTCCATGCTTTTCCTGGTTAGCATACACCTTTAGCCAATCACAGGATGGGGGACATACAATAACTTGGTTCCTCCCAAAATGCTCTGATAGACATCCATTTTGCAATACCACCAGAATAGATCGCAAATAATATCGTATTTTTCAATTTCCTTGTCGGTTACCGAAGAGTATTTCACGTCCGGAAGCTGCCCCTCTACGTCACCATAGGCTTCTGGAGACAAGGTAAGTCCTGTGATGACATTCAAAAAGTCATAGTCGAGAGACTGTTGAGCGCTCTGTGATGACGCTGGGTGGCAATGGGGGCCATATATATAGGAGCCTATGTGTCCTAGTTGATACCCTCGAGCATCCTCGCGCTGTCTCATGCGCTTCGCGGGGAAACAAGTTCGAGTCATCTCTCCTAAAGACATCTCGCGAAATAGAATCCTAGCGCCAAACAAGTGATTGCACCACTTGGTGTGATCAGACGACCAGACCTCGAAGTAGCTGAGCAAGAGAGTGGCAGCAAGAGTTGCCGGCTGTGTCCTCTTGGAAGGCGACTTGACGCTTTTCGCTATGCGGCGTATGGCACGGTGGTAATGTCTCAAGGCTGCTGTGGGAGGGCTGTCTCGAAGCTTTGCGAGTTGGAGGCTTGCCAGTGCGAGCATCGCATGAAATAGGCCGAGATGTTGAAGCGCCAGCGAGGGAATTGCATCTACTTAAGATGTCAGAAGGCTTATTGTCATGCTTTTGATACATTGAGATTCAACTTACAGCTCCATAGGCTCTTTCCAGATCCAGCTGTTGCTTTCATTCTGGATCTATCTAGAGCAGAAGAAATGTCTCCTTCGAAGATTGAGATCCCGGGCCCAGTTACATTGATGAAATGCATGAAGATCGTGTTCAGGCCACTAGCCCAGAATTCAGAAGAGTAAGGGGTCTCCATGTGCGCTTGAACATCGTCGCTTTGGGCGAAGGCCGAAAAGACGCTGATATCCACGGGACTTACAGTCCAACGCTCAGGCACCAAGTTTTTTATCGGCGGTAAGTTGCCTCGCACGTCTGGCAAATCATCGTCAGAATCAGGCAAAGAAGCTTCATCATCCAACATATCGAACTCCCAATGGTTATTTAAGGGTTGCGTCACGGTTGTCCCTGTATGAACATTGAGGGGATGGTTGCCACCCAGATTGCCGAAATTGTCAAGCATATCTCCAGCAGAGTTGCCATCTTGGAGAGAGAAAAACTGAGCTTCGGGAGGAGGCCGAGTAAAGTAACCAGGTCCTCCGATGGCCTCTGTTGCAAGTAGGGGATTAGGGAACTGTGGATTGTAGGGAGATTGTAGAAACTGTCCAGAACCCATACTGTAAGCCGCAGGATCTTGTAACACTGGACCTCGATGGAATTGCTGCTGATATGGAGCGGAGGTAGGTTGAAATGGTAAGCCATGCTGATGTTGGTCAAAGTTTGGTGGCCTCGGCGCGATAGCTGGAAACAGTCCTCTTGAAGACTGCCGGTGTGCAGGCAAAGATTCATCAACAATGTTTGAGGGACCAGAGAAGATTGCTTGGTTGAAAGGAGACGAAAACGAGCCAAGGGGTTCCTTAAATATGACTCTTTGGCTATATCCTTCACAGTCACGCCTCGATTTGATACAGTTGTGGCAAATTGGTCTGCCTTCGTCGCATTTGATTCGTCTTCTACGACAGGCTAAAGACAAAATATTTTGTCAGATTTAGGGGAAATGAAAAGGAGGCGGAGGCGGAAGGGGAAAGAGAAGATTCAAAAGCACAATGTTCAAGCGCTACTCACTGAGACAACCAGTCTTGGTTCGCTTTCTTGTGCTCGTCTTTTTACGATTCGAGTCGTCTTTCCCTCCGTCATTCTGCTGTGAAGAGCCGCCCTGGGGCTCCGTCAAGGTAGCCTTTGCGGTTGTAACAGATTGTTCCTCCATGATGCAATACTTTCCTTCGAGGGAGCGTTGGATACTACACAGCAACAGTCGATCAGACTACGTGCTGTCTTTGGCGCAATGAAAGGCCAGACGCCGGTTAATGAAACCGTTTCAACAGTGCCGAAGCGAGAGAAGCAGCCCCAAACAGTATATGTATTTGGGCAGAAGCATATATCACCCTGGGGCACGCGGTGAGACGATTTGCCGTGAGTAAGAAGGGAGTATCAGCATGTGAGGGGACGGGACTGGGAGGACGGCGGCCTCGAAACCCGCAGGCGGTGCGGCGGAAGAGAAGATAGATGATACCACCTGCTGCTGTGCTCAGCCACTAAGGGGGAAGAGGATGGTATTAGCACGACTGGCCGAAAGGACGAAAGCATCAAGTAGCGGCTGGACAAGAGGAGAGGGATAGCAGCAAGTGGAACATGGCCGGTGTAACTTGAGGGCGCAGCAGAACCAGGATGAAGCGTCGAGCTGTACGAAGATCAGGGCCGAACAAAGCCATGCGATTGCGGACGATGCCGGTAGCAAGGCAAAAACAGTAAACTCCGGGATACCGAGAGAAGTGAAGAAGAAGAAGAAAAAAAAACTTGTAAAAAAATAGCACATATAAGGGAAAATTGAAGAGGTGGAAGGCAGAAAGGAAGAGATAAGAGAAGCAAGGAAGGAGATCAGAAACGGAAAGAAAGAGAAGGAGAGCAAGCGCACATGCAAGTGGTAATAGGTGGCGTTTTTTTTTTTCTTTCTTCTCCTTTGCGAGTTGCTTCGAAACAAATACCTGGAAGAGCATGAGTAGCACTAAGGCATCTCGAGATCTGTGACAAGGTGTTGAGGGTGTGGCGGAGAAGGGGGGAGGGGTGGAGCAAAAAAGACGAGAAAATGGAATGCTGGCGGTCGCTCAAGCCAGGGCAGGCACTCCCCGCCAACTTACCCGGATTTCCTTTCCTGGAGCCAACTACCACCTGTGACCTGACCTTGGGGTAGCTCTTGATGCCTCGAGTTAGGGTTGAAGGTATCGGACACGCAGGGGACACAGCTGAGGATACCAACTCTGCACTACAAGGTATATCCTTCAGCATCAACAGCAAAACATACCAGATGTATCCAGCAGTAGGATTTGGAGGGGGTAAGACCAGAAGTGCTATTGGTAGGTAGAAACTCAGGCAGAAATACTGAACCTGACAAGTACAGGCGAGTCAGTCAGTCACTTTACCCCAACGTTGGCCCTACCTCTTGTACACACACTCAAGGTGGTGAGCTGCTGCTAGCAGAGAGTTAGCTGGCAAGCAACAATCTCGAGATTCATCCAGCAGAGCGTATGTATTGATACATTATACTTGACTTACCGCTGAGTCGGCAGGTAGTGGCACCAGTAGACACAAACACTGACTTGTTCTGTATTAGAGCAGCCGGAGCCAGACGGATAACATGATGCGCAGACACAAGAGGAGCCAGGTTGTACCTAGTGTAGTACTTGGGTGCTTCACACTGTCGGCAGATTTCAAAGGAAGTACCTTTCCTTCCGATCGAGACCTCGCCGGGAGAGACCAATCAATACCTCGTGTCGGGGTCGGACCGGCGACCAGGTGCAGCCCTCTGTCTCTGTCTCGCCGCGGGAGTTTGCAGAAAGGCAGCAGCGCAGAGAGGGAGGGGGGATAGGTGTTGATCGCAAGGAGAACACGAATGTGCTGGGGTACCGGGATGTCAAAGACGCCAAGCTGAGCGGATGGAACCGTGCTGTTGGTTGATACAGATTCCAGGGAGGCGGACGGGTTTATGGACCGAAATCAGCTATTCAACGACGCGCCTGGCTTGGAAATTGGTTTCAAGGGCAGATGCTCGGTCGAAGCAGACAAGGAAAACGAGGTACCGAATAAGTAGAGGTATAAGTTCTCAAGAGGCTGGGGTGGTTGCTCTTTTCCTTTCCCCCCTCCTTTATCTCCTTGCTTTATCTGCTCAGGTGGGTGGTATCACCAACAGTATTGGTCATCCAGACCTGCAGGAGAGAAAAAAAAGGGAATGCAATAACTTTTTCAGGTTTCTCAGCCCAGGAACGAGTGAGAAGGACTGTTCTATATAACGCAAGGGATAGCGTACCTTTTTGCTTCTCATGGCAGATGAAAGAAGGGCTCTCCTGCTGGTCTTTCAACTCCCGCCGGTGATCAGCCCGGCATTAGCCCAGATGGCTAAGTATGCATGTTAGACACCCCAACTTCTTTTTATGCGATGTCAACTTTACCCATGCGCAGTCGACTCCAGCTGCTCCTCATGGTGTTGAATCCATCGCGGGCACAGGCCAGCGTGTGAACAAGCACGAGACACTGCTTCAGGGCTGACGGCGCCGTCGTGGATAGGCACCCATTGTCCAGTACCAAGCCGTTTATTCTAAACGCAGCCCTAGGAGGACCAGTTTGCATTTCTCTATTGTCATGGCAGCAGTTTGCCTCAAGTGTAAGTAGGCGACTGGATCGATTGTCCCGCCCATATCAAAAACGTGCGCACATGAACCATCATGGAAGTTCTTTTGAGTCACGAGAGAAAAGTCACAACCAAAATTGGTTGAGCAAGTAAGAAGGGGTGACGGTTAAAGTAAGGGTGGAAGTAAAGGTGAGTGAGATACAAGGTAGAGCAAAAGAAAATAACCGTCGCTGATCCCCTTTGGTAAGCAGACTAGGATACAGCAGACGATAGGATGTGATTGATACCATTCCGGAGCATTCAGCAATGGGCTTCTTTCTAAAGCATTCTGACATGTCGATATCACAGCATCACAGCATCAAGCAATGTTTAGAGACGTGAATTGGACCATTTGGTGTATTCGACCACAGGGCTGCGCCATCCGAAAGGCCGCACTACCAAGTCAATAACGCTGATCCCGATGCTGGTGGTAGCTGAGCCAAGTTTCCGGTGGCTTGCTCAGGGAACGAGGAGATCTGCCTGGCCGTTCCGCAATACCCTGTTCCTGGCCGGGTCTCGCCAGGCTCGCCATGCTATGGCTTGCATTTGCCAAACCTCCAAAATCGCCCTAATGCGGCAGGCTTCCCCTAGTACTCAGCTAAGCTTCTCACCGGTCCAACAAGCGCTGCCAAGCCTTTTTCGATGCCGGCCGTGATGCAGCGAAAGGCGCCATAGCAGCAAGTTGCGTCGCACAGCCAGGCTCAGTAACCTCGGGTGTCGTTTGATGGTGCAAATGTTTGTCCGCGCCAGCCCGACGACAATTACCGCTCAGACATTTTGACTGTGTTGTCGGTGGATCTTGAATATTACCTAATAAAGCTACTGACTGTGACCTCGCGGGTTGCGGGAGCGGCTGGTCCGTAACGTGTTGAAGCTGAGTGGAGACTCGGGAACCCGGGAGCGAGACGGGCAGGACAAGACAAGACGGATAGGCAGAGACAAGGCACATACCAGGCGTCTCGGTCTCTTTTTACGCAGCATGTCTGGGTACAGCTCTGTCCATTGTTCGGAGTGCCAACACCCCTATACCATGCTTTATAGAGGGTGCTCGACCAGCATCTTGGACAAACCTCACTTCGCCATCACCGGCGTCACTTTTGGCGTTGTCTTTGGCAATTTCAGGAACATGATCCACTCGCCGCCATCCACCGGGCTGCAAACCTAACTAGTATTATTATCTGGCTTACGAAACAACATGACTCTAGATCATGCACTTTATGGTTGATCCGCCGCCGCTTATGTTGGTCGAATTATGTCTCTGTGGTACACAAACTTGTCGCCACGTGCTACCTAGAGTCTCTTGACTCATAATCACCATGGCATGACCCGTTACCGCTTTTCCCTCGTAAATGAGACCAGCGGTAGCGGCAGCACTACAAGTACGACTGATTTGCAGCTCATTATCGTCGTGATGGATGGACAGGATACGCCATGTCTCGTCACGGCTTCCTGCGTCATCTCCAGCGCCACAAACCTCATGCGAAAAGTATCTGTACCCAACAGGCGTGGAGCATAATGAGCTATAAGCCAACAGACATAGACGCATTTCCTCCACACGCAAGGTCGTTACCATATCTGCGGAGCCATTGTTGGGTAGACACTTGTCCGCAGCAGCGGTTCAAGATCAGAGCCACAAAACAGTCTGGGCGATACTAGCTTCGTGGAGAGAATGAGGCCAGACTCTTACTCCCCCTTTCTCCAACATATCCATCTAGACCGACCCAGAACATGTCTGAGACGGCTGCTTCCGCAAAGCCGTTGTTCCCTGCCATGACCATAAGCTCCCTCGCTCCATCCTTTGTGCGCGGCAACACATGCAACGGCAGGGGACCGGGGCCCGACCAGATCTGCTGTCGTGGTCTAAATCTCTGTAGAACCTCGCCGCTGTGTCGGGAGCGGGTGAGAGATATTTCATGTCACCACGCGTCAGAAATGGACCATTGTTGCTCTGTGGATCTGGCCCAAAAAGCGCGACACATGTTACGCCGTGTCCTGGCTCGCCAGTGAGGGCCGCCGCTGGCTATGCAAACACCCTCGCTCGCTGTCCGTCTTGTCCTCTACCGCCTCGACTTGTTGTGTCTTACCAAGGATGCGGGTGTGATGGATCCTCCATCCCCGGCGGGAATGTGGGTGAATCGATCGTCCCATGCTTTGTGGATATAAGCTCTGGCCTTGCTTTCGGGCCATCAACTCATGTCTTTTGAAAATCTGGCCTATACGCCATAGCTGCACTATCGCCGTCTTTATTGCAGTTGAGTTGCCCGTAGATCCAGAATCCCGGGTGTTCACTCAACCATAGCCCCTTACAACTGAATGACAACGAGGATGCATACCTATTTGCAGGTGAGTCAGGACCATGGTTCTTATTGCCTCACTACCTTGACCATGCCATGGCCCCCAAAATACGGTTGGAAACCTAGGTCGAGCTCGCGCCGGGCAGTGTAATATTAAACAAAATCCGTCCCTCCCGTCGGCGGCTAGCCATGGCGATTTGCTCCTGTAAGGACTCACATCTCGCATCGTTTTCCCACAATAGCTCTGATTCTAGGTGCAAGTTACGGTGAGCAGAGAGGTGAGACAGATGGGCAGGCAAAATGTCTGGACCCAAGGTCACTTTGAACTACCTAATCCCCTTTCTTTCCCCGCCTCCTGGAAGTCTTTCAGCATACACCAATTGCTATCTGCCCATCTACATCGTCAGATTCTCGACCTAGTATAGTGTTCTACGCTTATTGTTTATGGTATATTGACCTCGGAGGAAGATGTTTGTGGGCAATAAAGGAGAATCTCCGGCCTTTACAGATGACTTTGGATGGCTCCACATTACATATCCAGCGACGTCTTCTAGAAGCTGGCTTCGGGAGGCTGATGACAAGCTTAATGTTTGATCAATGAACTATGCCGCTTTCTGTCTAGAATTGCATCGTAAGTCAAGATGCTTTCCACTTCCAGTTTGCCCTAGCATGTATAGAGTATAACTCGATCTGCGATTATGTAACTAGAGTCAATCTTGTCGAACGATATGCAATTTCCCGTTGTTTTCCGAATAACCACCATTCCCTCCTGAGGTTTTAAGTCATAAGTCATATGCCAAAGGGCATTGTAGCCAATTTAAGTCAGAACAGAGATAGCCACCAACAAAATGAAATCCTTCTTCGTGTATTTATCCCAATCCCTTTTTACCGAAAATCCACTACTGCTCTATTTGCAGTAGTTTGCATTCCCTATGCGGTGGCAGATTGTAGTCTGTCGTGCCGGTGGAGGTGTTCTCGATGTTATCAGACGCCTCAGTAAATGTCCAAGTAATCTATACAGGGTTAATTTAGTTCGTCAGCACAGTATTCGCCAATAACCGCTCTTCATATATGGTGTTGCAATGCGCACTCACTTTTTTCGAATACGAAATTTTGCAGTACTGCAAATAGTCGCAATTTGCAACATTCTTCCATTCCTCCTCGTCTGGATCCACCTGGTCGCTTCCATGCGGTACTACTCTGGTTGTAATATCAACAATGTAACGGACTATTTCACTCGGAATTAACGGATGCCTTCCCTCTCTTGAGCGGAAAATCACCCGAGTCAATTGGCCATCAGACTCTTTATAGATGGTCTTGGCGTATTTGGTCAGAGACTCGTCCCAACAACCGATTGTCTCGATAGAGCCGTCGCCGTGGAGGATCCACAGGCCGCCGAAGCGCCACATGTGGTTATTATCATAGTCTCGAGCATCCCTCAGTAGAACGCGTAGATGCTTGATGTCGTACAGTTGAGCACTACTCACGACTGCAAAGTTCCTAAACCCGAATCGTCGCAAGATCTTTGGGGCTTCTGGTAGGACGAGGTGCTGCCCCGACGAGGAAGTCGGTGACTTATGGGATCCGACGACGCCCTCTTTGGGCGTACAATGAGCTCCAATGGTTCTGAAGCAGTTATACGATATTGCCATCTGGTCCACAATGAGGCCCGCAACTGTGCATTTCCCATTCAAGTGATCGGGTATCAAGGACACCCATTGAATAGTTGGATCTGTGAGCGACCCAGCAGGGCCGAAATATGCGATCCGATTGAGATTCGTTTTAAACTAATGTATCAAGTCAATGTCATGGGTCAACGCTACTCTATCGTTGAGAGTGTGAGAAAAGGATCTTACCAGCAGAAACGGGCCACATCGGTAATCTCTTTCCCCGGTTGTTATCAAGCCTAGCGTTATTATTTCTTCTCCTGGCTTGAAATAGAAAGACCGTGATACGCCTTTCCTTAGTGGGACTGACACCCAGCGAGGGGTGGTTTTCCCATGAACCACGATGCAGCTGGTGCCGAGGTCGAACAAATACACAGTGATTGCTACGACAGGTTGGCCATCAAGATGTAACGGCAAATATCTACACATCGGTAGTCCTGGGAAAACGCTGGGTCGCACGCTGGGTAGATCTGTGTAAAAATGAGAAATAAAGGACACGCCACCCTGAAGCAGTCTCGAGGAAGCATCCCACAAGACATTGAGCGGCGCGTCTTTCCTCGACGCGTGAAGCAGAAGTTCAGCAAAGCGACCAACAAGATCTTGTTGGCCCTGATATACGTATATGGATGGATCAGAAAACGGCAATCAAAAGTAAATACACCCCACACGATTGAGAGAATCACTTACACTTCTCGGAAACCCGACGTTTTCGCGAGTGAAATCAATTGGCTTACAACGCCATCCTTTTCTAGCATCCCCAAGCCAAGGAGTAACTAGATTGGTGTCCATGTGAAATCTGACGGCCGTTATGCCGTACATTCCAAGAATAAACTCCATCTTGCGAATGGAATTCAAGCTGAGCTCGATGCACTGCTTGTTCGGTGTAGGTTGATGGTTTTGGCTATAGGAGGTCTCGATACCCCACAGGTAGGAACGTCCAAACACGCTGGTGATCGAGGCACAAATGTGAATCTTGTCAACATGATCAACACGGACGAAATCCTGCAGCGGAGGTTGATTGAGAAGCACTGGTACAAGAAGAGAACGGCCAACGGTAAATGTATGGAGAGCCGTCATTAATGAGAACACAACATTGTTTCCATTCTCATGGAGATATTTCAAAATATGGCTTTGCAATTCGAGGGGCAGGTTGCAGCATCTCGAGAGACAAGATCCCAAGTCTGTATTCTCAGTGTCGACAATGCCGCTCTGGATGGTGCTCAGAAACGAGGCGAGATGGGTCGGAGGCTCTTCTCCCCAGCAATCTCTGGGTAAAATTTCCTGCGTTTGAATGGCCAGATCATAGAGTTCCTCGTGGATGGGGCCCCTTCGTAGCGATTCGATGGCTTTAACACAGAGCTGATGGGCAAAGAAGAAGGGCCGGTGCTTGATGTTCGGGCGCTCACGAACAATGGTAATCGATGCCTCGCCACCTTTATGCCGTACCAAAACATTCGTCCCGATGATTGGGTATTTTTCTTTCAGGGTCGTCTTGATGGCAACGACCAAGGGCCCATTAGTCGAGTCAGCGGCTAGGTCAAATACTATGACATCTTGTAAGCAATGGCAGCTGTTTATATATCCCAATACGACTCACAGCCGACTATATCCTTCTCCCAATCCTTGGCGTTTATCCTAAAGACGTTGATGCCGGGGTAATACGGCAATGCAACTCGACAGAGGACACAATGCGCCTCGGCGAGATAGATGAACACGTTGTGTGCCATGGCTCAGTGTATGAGATGCCCCCAAGTTGAGGGCCTGAATCCCCTCTGTTTGGGTGCCCGAGATGAAGCAGGACGAGACAAGGCTCGCTTGGAGAGGTGAAACAGCACGTCTTATATAAGGTACGACTAATACCTGTACTCGAGAGGGGTACATGTACATGCAGTGCCCTAGATGAATCCATTGGATGTCCAGGCACCCTACTATGCCTGTACCCTGCCACCTCAGAGGGCGGTGGGCAGACGGAGACACCTGATCTGATTTGCCCACGGCGATGTTTGCTTTTTGTTTATCAGCTACTAGAGCCGGTGGGCGTTTACGCGGCTGCATGTGCATAAAGTAATTGACCGTCCAAGTGAGAACGGAGAGGCAATATACGTGCCTTGCATGCTTTAGTTAGTCCTGGTGATACGTGGCTCTGCATGTCTCCCTCTCTTTGCCTCAGGCTCCGCGTTTCTTTCGGTGATGGCTGCCGGCCACTTTTACGAGTACGATACAATACTAAGACAGGGCTGCACTGTGTCGGCTTCCCATCACCATGCCAAGACTAATACGCCTAGGTGCATGAGACCGGGTTGGAACTGCGGCTAGGTACTCATACAAGTGTTCTAACAATATCCTTCTCTCTCAATGAAGTGTTTGCTCTGGCAGCCACCCAAGACATTGAGGCTGAGACAATCCCAGCCCCCCAATGCAAGGCGACCCGGGTCAATCCCCGCGCAGTCCGCGACCTAGTATGCCGTAGCGAAGCGCGCTGAAAAGATTGCCCATGTCTTCCTTGCCAGTGTTCCCAAAAAAAGAAAAGAAAGGGAAAAAATCCATCTTATAGCACGAAAACAAAGACAGTAAGATGCTGTCACTTGGCTCCATAGTAGGTCTAGGTGCTGTTCCAAAGCTGGGGGTGAGCGAGTGGGGAACACTATTGCCGGGGATTTTAGTTCCAAGTTGTCTCCCGGATCCTCAGAACCAAAGCCGACATTGACTCGGACAGGCAAGCAGAGAATTGCCTCCCAACGATGCCTATGACGCTACCATCCAAAGGGTTCGTAATCGTGGGTCTATCAGACGCGTGATTTGACAATAGTTTGGCAAATAGTATAGAACATAACACAAATGTATTTCGCAGTAGGATCACGGATCTGTTATAGCACTGACCCACCCGCTGAGGCCATTGTCTGGGCGAACCCCATACTTGAGAGCTTATCCTTATCGATAAACGATCAAGAGCAGAAAAAAAAAAAAGTTCAGAGCTACTCCAGTGTGCTGAAGCGCATTTCCATCGGCGCCCATCTCATCCACAGAACAAGAGAAAAGTGTTCCTATTGAGACGACAAAATGTTCGCCGTCCCCGGTTGGTCAGTCTCTTCCGATGCGCTCAAGGCCGAAAAGCCCGCAGTCGCAGCCAGCAGCGGCTCTGCCAAGAAGCGCAAGAGGACCACCAGAGACGAGCCAGTGACGGCTGCCAACGTCGCCGATCTGTATGAGACAGTCGTCGAGGGGAAGAAGCCCAGTGGCGACAAGCCCGCGCAGGATTCAAAACGCCAAAAGAAGTCTTCCGACGACAAGACCAAGGCCGGCGGCGAGAAGTCGGCGGCCGAGGCTAATGATGCAAAGTCACAACAGCAGGCAAAAGATAAGAAGGGCAAGAAGAGCAAGAAGGAGAAGAAGGAGAGTGCAAACCCAAACCACGTAAAACTGCCAAAGAACAAAGAAAGGGGAAACCGGTCGGAATCCCAAGACGAAACCACAGCAGCAGCAGCAGCAGTCGAATCCCCCAAACCCGAACCCAAAGCCAAAGCCGAGCCCGCAGCAGTTCTACCTCCAGCACCACCCAAGTTGACGCCTCTACAAGCCTCAATGAGGGAGAAGCTGGTTTCTGCACGATTCCGCCACCTCAACGAGACGCTCTACACGCGGCCCTCGGAAGAAGCCTTCAAGCTGTTCCAAGAGTCCCCCGAGATGTTTGACGAGTACCACGAAGGCTTCCGCCGCCAAGTCAAGGTGTGGCCCGAAAACCCAGTCGACAGCTTCCTGCAGGACATTCGCACAAGGGCCAAGATAAGGAAGGCCGGCAAGGGCAGGCCCAATGCCCCGCAACTTCAGCTCATCGCCAGCCCTCTGCCCAGGACCGGCGACACATGCACCATTGCCGACCTGGGATGTGGCGATGCCCGGCTGGCCGAGTCGCTCCAGAAGGACAAGAACAAGCTGCACATCGACGTCAAGAGCTTCGACCTCCAGAGCCCCAGCCCTCTGGTCACAAAGGCCGACATCGCCAACATTCCCCTGGAGGACGGCTCCGTCAACGTCGCAATCTTCTGCCTCGCCCTCATGGGCACCAACTGGCTCGACTTTGTTGAAGAGGCCTACCGCCTGCTCCACTGGAAGGGCGAGCTCTGGGTCGCCGAAATCAAGAGCCGCTTCGGCCCTGTGCGCAACAAGCACGCCCCCGTCACCCACAGCGTCGGCAACAGGCGCAAGCAGCCCTCCAAGAAGGAGGTGCAGGCCAAGGAGGCCGAGGCCGCTGGCCGCTTCGAAAAGGACCTCGCCGTCGAGGTGGATGGCCAGGACGACCAGCGCCGTGAGACGGATGTGTCGGCCTTTGTCGAGGCCCTAAGAAAGCGTGGCTTCGTCCTGCAGGGAGATGGCCGCGAGGCTGTCGACTTGTCCAATAGGATGTTTGTTACCATGCGCTTCATCAAGGGTGCAGCTCCTACCAAGGGCAAGGGTGTCAAACCGGACGACGCTGGCCCAAAGAAAAAGAAAATGTTTGGTCGCATGCAGGACGAGGATGCAGAGGATCAGGGTGGCGAAACTGAGGGAGCTATCCTCAAACCTTGCGTGTACAAGATTCGATGATTGTTTATATGAGAAGTATATACAGGTTGGCCAGTCAAGGGAAATTTGTCCTTTTTTCTTTTTCTTTTTTCCCTTTTCCCTTTTTTCGTTCTAGTTTGTCATTTTGATGTGACATTTCTACAAGTTGTAAAATGACGTGAAGGATTAGACAGGAGTGCGGATATATCATAGTGAATCAGGGCAAATACAGGTAATGCGTTTCGGCTTGTTGAGCAGCTTCTACTCCGCATCTCTTCGTATTCTGTATTTTTTTTTTTCTTCTTTACTCTCTCTATTACATCCATCGCAACGGGCTCTCCAAACGCCTCTAGCTGTTGCATAATCTCCTAGTAATCATCTTCATCCAATGGTCCTGAGGAGTTCTCCACTTGTCGCCTTGTTGAAAGAAATAACAACAAGGATGATTTTGTTTTCTTTTTGGTAAAATTAAAAGCAAAAGCAAAGGAATGAAGAAAAGAAAAAAGAAAACCTCCCCATAGTTAAAATCCCAGATGTTATGTAACTCTCGCCTGAAAGACACCCTACCCTGGCCGTGGGGTTAATGCTGGTTGATTTAGTTTTCATGCTCTCATTAGGTATAGTAGTTTAAAAGAAGATCAAGCTAGCCGCCATATCCACGTTATCCTCGGCAGCTTGGAGAGCCTGGATTGCCTGTTCCCTGGTAGCCCCCATGGCCATAAGACTGTCAACGTGGGCTGGTGTTACACCGGCAGATGGTGCTGCTGGCTGCTGTGGCGCCGCTTGTGCCTGGGTCTGTGGTGGCGGCGCGCCGGGTGTAGCCTGTGAAGGGGTTTGCGAAGGGGCCTCTTGAGCAGGCATGACAGCTCCGGATCTCTGGCCAATGGCAGTCCCTGCCGGTCCGGGAATCGTAGGCTCCTGGACAATGGCCTCTTCCTCCTTCGGAATCTCGGCTTCTCCCAGAAACGAGATTTCCTGGCCCTGGATGATAAGCTTGTCACTAGCAAGATCAATATGGGCCTGATATCTCTTGAGCATATCCAGGCCGAGCAGCAACTCGACGGACTTTCCCTCCATGACAGTAAAGCTGCAGGGCAGAAATAGGTTTCCAATCTTAATCTGGGCAGAGTGAACTCGGCCAATGATGGTAGCCGTTCCGACGCCTCGAGCAACGCCGGCGAATCTTTTGTCGACCAAGCGCATGATGCCGCAGGCCTCGGCGCACGACGGCGACATGATGGTTGCCTGCGCTCCCGAGTCTACGAGAGCCTTTACCTTGTGGCCGTTGACCTCCACATTTGCGTACAGCAAGTGAACGCGGCCAAACACTGGTACAGGCAGTTAGTAAACGTGGCAGAGTCAGCCCCCGCATCTCACAGGGGTCATGGGACGTCATCGTACATACCTTCGGGGTTGTGCTCCATGGCGTTTTGCAGATTCTCCATGACTCTCTCCTGGCGGATCATCTCCTCAATCCTCCTCTGGTTCTCAACGTTGAAGGGGTCTTCGTTGAGTCTTTCAATCTCGCGCTGCCGCATCTCTCGCTCTCTCCGCTCCCTGTCCTGGCTGTCTAGGAATATTCTTCGAAATCGCGCGGGGTCCTCGATGGCCGCGGCGAGCTCTGGGTGTTGCCTGGATAGCTGCTGTCTGACGGCGGGGTCGCCGAGAATCTGCAGGCGAAGCATCTCCGTGTCGTTTTCAGCTCCGGCGGCGGCAGTGGCGGCGCTTTGTTGTTGGCGAGCCGCTGCTGGAGGTCGCCCTGCTGCCTCCGGAGGCACCGTGCTGCCTCGCATATCTCGGACATGGACAGCCAGCATGTCGCCATCGCCGATTTGTAGCTGCTCCATGGTTTTGGCATCGTCTGAGATGAGTCGACCGTTGTGGTAGATGTGTTGCGAAGTAGGGGGGATGCCGGCCTCGGACTGGACAGACTCGCGCAGGGTAGAAACGGTCATATCGGGAAAGACTTCGAGAGTCACCAGGCTGTCCTGGTCTCCTCCATGAGGATTGAAGACGTTGAGCGTGATGCGCCTGGCAAGTAAATCCACGTTAGCCTCCTCCCCGTCAGCTCCATTTAGGACAAGACGAGACATACATGTTGGGATATTGATGTGGGCGTTTAGCACACGGTGAATGGGAATGTGGAAGAGAATGCGGACGAGAGTGATATCGAGAGGAAATGGCCGGATCTGGAGTGAGATGGAATGGAATCTCAAGGAAGACCGGGGAATTATGGGAATGGACAAGTTTAGTCAGAGTAAGAGTAAGAGATGGCCGTCAGTACCAGCAGAAGAAGAAGAAGCTGCTGGGATAGATGGCAAAGCGATTGCTGGCCCTTGGCGTAAAGAGGCAGAGGCAGTGGCAGTAAGTGTCAGCGTCAGTGGAAGAATGATGATGGACGCCCGTCCACAGACAAACACGCGAGCACGGCTTCGGCTTGTAATGCGACCAACGCTCGGATAGCTGGGGCTCTTCGTTTGTTGGCAGCGGATAGATTCAATGGAGATGACGGGAGGACTAGGGAGGGGCTGTGAGATGACTGCTAGCCTGAGCTGGAGGGGCAAAAAAGCTAGGTTGCATGTTGGCAAGCTCCTGTTTTGGGCGTCATGACTCCTCAAACCAGGCAAGCCTGGCGGTGACGACAGCGAATAGCAGCTTCTGGGCGGATTACAGCGGGCAGGTGTGCTGTTTGGAGGGGCCGTGGCGGGATATTGATGTGTACGTACTTGTTCCTGCCTATTGCTTATTGCCCGCCTACCGAGGAGGATTCCACTAATACAGAAGACAGAATACGGTTGAGGGCATTTTAGGTGATCTTTTAGGGTTCTAGCGCCTGCCCATTTCGGGCCTAGGATCAATTAGGATCAATTAGGATTCGGGCAGATCCAGTTGCTGTTTTGAGCACTCTAAGCGCAGTGAGCACATGGAACCCGGTGATTTCATCTCCATCAGCTGCACTTTCTGGGACTCATCAATTAAGCTCCTACTGCATTCATTTCTCCATGTAGCAGGTAGATGATGCAAGGGTCCATCTATATGATTTTTTTCGATTGCACTGACGGGCCACAGTTACATGCTTGCCCTGGTATTCAAAGGATCAGGGAGTGGAGCTGGGGGAATCATACAGGAATCCGTCCAGTTTGACGATTGTATCACTGCTGCCTCTACCTTCCTGGTAGAGCAAAATCATTAGCTATTGTACCTGCTATATCTATCGTCTCACTCGATATCATCAAATTCGACCTATAATGGCCTAGTAGTTTGGGTACCTACCTAAGTTGGTCTGATCTGTGTTTTCACGCACGTCTGTGAGACCTAACAGGTAGGTAGGCTATATCAAGCTACGTTCATCAAGAGGAAATCTCAGTATTTGACATCTGCCATATTATGCGTATATCTCTTCATGAGCTTAATTTATGATGCTTCTATGGCAGGTATATTTTATTCCTGTAATCACCAAACTTTCTGAGCGCGCTCCATCCGTTGATGCTTTTGCTCCAGAATGTCAATCAGAAGGAGCTTATTCCTGCTGCCTGGTACCCTCCCTTGCTACAACTGTGTCTGGTTGACATCTTACAGCATTCAATTTCTTTTTACAACATACATATTACAATAGTAATCTATTACTCTGTCTGAATAAGCCAACTGTACTCAAAAATAAGGATGAAAAAGGAGTTGCGATTAGGCACCTCATGAATATAGGGTAGGACATCAGAGACACCACTTTCCCACACAGATTTGGAGACAGCATCATGAACCCACCATCTAGCAGTGTACGTATTCTGTGCTTCCTTTCGCTTTTGCTGTAAACGAATACGTTATGAACAATTCCCTTTTAGCCGCCATGCCAGGAAATTAAAAGTCTCTCGACTGGGCGCGTACGAGCCTGGTAAAGATTATATGTAGGTACCTGTACCTTAGTGGTGCCGTCCATGTATGTGTATCTGTACAAATCTTGTACCAGGGCCGCCTTCCACCTCCCACTTCCCACCTGACTTCGCAAGCATCACGTCTAGTACTCAAACCTGCCACCAACAATATCCTGACAAGTTCCGTTTCTCCCTGCGTCTGTCTCGTCTCTGCCCGGATTCTCAGCTTCCCGGCCCCTCTCACGCCAAGAAGCCGCATTTTCCATCTGCCTTCGCCAATAACGACCGGCAGAGCTTCACCGGTGCGGGGACATGCATCATGTCTCGCGGTCTGTCTCTGCCGTCATGAACCGCCCTTCAAGAACTGCACCTGACGGCCCCATCACCCGCAAGAGCACCGTTGGGAATCCCATCGAAGCCCAGTGAATCTCTTGGACACGTCTCTGGCCCACCTCTTTGCCGGTACGAGTGCTGCTGTTTCCGGGGATGGCAGAACTTGCATGCCGCATCACTAGTTCACTATCTGTGCGCAGAGCTGCATCAGGTCAGCCAGTCGCACTGCGAGCGCGAGCCTCGGCGTTCATCTTTGCCAGCGAGGATGGGACAGGCCAAGTACGGGCGAAGCAGGTCTTTACCCCGTCCTCGTGCGGCACTTGCAAAAACTGATCCTGAAGCCCCCTTGCCGCCAGAACCATCTCCCCATGTCTAGTGTTCATCCTTCGAAGCATACTAAACGAGCATAATCCAACCAAGATTCCACCCAAATCATAACCTAGATAGATGCTAATCATTAGTTTTCTCCTCGCCAACTACGGGACCTCTCTTTCCACCCTCGCCAACGCACATGTATCTGTCTGGGCTGGCCAGATTCATGGCGTGACTCTCCGCACTTCTCTCTAACAAGCGCCATTGCTAACACGCGTGTGACTTGGAATGGGCCCTTTTCTGCAAACCTCATACGCAGCCTGCCTCTTATGCTTTTTTCTTTTCTTTTTTTGTCAGCGCTATTCAGACCCCTGGCTAGTCGACTAATACCTACCAGGTCCGTTATATTAACATCCAACCCTTTCCTGATTGCTGAGTGGCATATCACATGCGGGGAGAATTGTACTTGAAATGTAAGACACACAGCCGCTCAATGTGCCATCAGGTCTGTCCCGCTGCTCTAGAATACGACGTGGACAGTTGCATTTCATCACAACCTGGCCGGCGGCTTGCGCGGGACGCTGCAAGGAATCAAGTACGATTCCATATCCTGTCTCCTCAGCCTCATACATCACGGCCGGTGAGTACAATGTGCCAAAACCAGCCTCTCTTTTTTTTCTATCTTCTTTCCCGCAAATTGTGTCCTCAAATTGGGGGCGTATACGCATACCCGTGCTCTGTGCTCTCATGAGTTAAGAGACATTTTCACGAGCAGTATCCTGAGGCACAATTTCCATATGGATATATCACCGGTAGGCCACCATGGCGCTGTGTGTGATGACATGGAAAGCCTCCCTACTTATGAGCTGATGGCTTGGGAGCTACAAGTGGTTACCGCTTGTTTTCGCATTCAGAATACTCACCCCCCGTGTGTCTTCCGAAACTGCTCGTTCCGAGTAGGATGCGATATGATTGGCAACGTGATATGTTTCCCCGCCCGGCAATGCCCCCCTACTCAAACTTTGACTCGAATGGGCGGTCTTGAAAAGCCTCCCTCACCTCATACGGTGGTATTCGTCTCATGAACAGGCGGATGCGGGAGCAAAGTTGCACACCCAACTCATATTGGTGAACACGTGTGTTAGTTGGTATCCACCATGTGAAGCCGGCTTCTAATCCATCACTCGGGGGGGCTTGCATCTTTCTCCGGAGGGCTGCGGGTAGGGCTGCCACTCTACTCTGTACCCTTGAATGGACTGAGTCTGGTAGGGCCATTTTGTGACCAGAGATATTGAATGACAATGAATGAACCAACTGGTCACATTTGCCCTCGCCAGCTCGGCCTGGCTCGTCGCAGCCAGACCAGGGGCTCTCATTGTCCATTATCCGAACAAATGCTTGCCAACCCACTCAGCTGAACGAGAAATGTTCCTTGGATCCATACTCCGGACACTTGCTTCTGATAGTGCGGACACTAGATCGACCGGAACCTCAGGGGTGAAGAGGCGAATGTGGCAGTGGATTGGCGATTCTTCTACCATTTGCCCAATCTGCCTACTTGTTTCAACTCCCCTGTCCAGGTCCAAGAACGCCCACAGGTAGAATACTGTACTACGAAGTACTACCTTATGCATCTTATTGACTAGCACAAAGCACCTTACAACATCGCAGCAGACGACCTCATCGACTCTGGTTTTATTTCTGTTTTAGTCAAACTCAAGGGCGGAATTTCCACGATGGTGAGTATGGACTGCGAGTATTTTTATCGTTTGCAAATCCTGTCTCAAATGACAGGCATCCGTGGAGTATTGGCCTGGCCAGCTGTGTCAAGCCACCTGCAGCCGCGGCTTATCAAGAACAAATTATTGTTTTGCATCTGAGACTTTGGTTGCTTTTCCCTCTGATTTTCGGAGGGGCACTTTGCTATGGTGACCTTCTATTCGTCTTTGCGTCATGTATGTCTTCAGCCGTAACTAGTCGCCAAGGATAAAAATAATCACACCCTCGCATGGCCACCAAGACTCTTTGCCGTTTCTATTCGGTCTCCCCATTTCTTATTAAACATCTATTTCCCCATCAATCGTCACCAACCTAGCCAGCCAACCCCCTCAGTTTCAACTCAAGGCAATTTGTTGCAGTGAAAGAGGAAGGAGAGGACGCGGGAGAAGAAGACGAAGAAGAAGATATAAGAAGAAAATGAAGATGCAGAAGGACATGGCAGTTACTAACTCTAGTGAGGCGGTTCCAACAACTTGCATCGCCTCCCCAGCGGGTTGTCTGATCCCCATCCCATTTCTGCCAGTTATCGCCAACGATACGGTTGATATAGACGATGAGGAGATGGAAGTCGACACAATAGGGTTTGACAGGATCGCTCAATTCTACTTTTATGGCGTTTGTCGATCAGAGGAGTTCTTGAGCGCATTCCCCTTTTGTTTTAACCCCAAGCTTGCCTTTTTGAAACCTCAGCATGTTGTCACGGCCATCGAACTGGAACAGGTTGCTTTTCAACATTCTGTAAGAGGATTCTGTAGCCCACTGGTTAGTTCCCTTCTCACCGTTCCTTTCTCTAAGCGTTTCTTGGAGATAGGTAGAGACAAGTTTTCTCTTAAAGCAGAGTACTGAAACAGTGAACAGGTCGAATATCGCGTCAGGTTTTCTTACAACCTTAGTTTCGGTCTATTCAACATCTGTGACATGACCGAGCGGAAAGACTGGTGGATGGTGACCAAAGTACGAGGGTGGAACATTGATGGCTGCCCTGAAGACGTCAGGAGGCTCATGTTCGTCCATATCATCGCAACCTTAGGGTGCAGCCCTGTGGTGACCGACGAGGACATGGACTATCCCAAGAACTGGTTGAAAATGCTCCATGGCGACGAAAGCTCTCCGAGCGAGCTTGTTGGCCACCGGCCCGATGGCCGGACAGTATGTATTCATTCGATAGCCGTCTGCCCTCGCCTCCAAGGCCTGGGCCTTGGCACTGCTACTTTGAAGTCATACGTTCAGCGTCTGAACAGCGCAGGTCTTGCGGACCGTGTCGCTCTTATTTGTCGCAAATCCGAGACCAGGTTCTTCCAGAAATGCGGCTTCAGGAATATTGGTAGAAGCGATACCAAGACTCTCCCTGGCGAATTCTATAACATGGTACGTTGCTCCTCTACCTCTATGCAGTCTATACTTGCTCTGTATTCATTTCAAGAACTTATTGGTAGTTTATGCGTACCCCGTACTAACTCGAAGCTGCAGGTTTTCGACCTACCCGGCCGCAAAGATTTCATTGATTGGAATCAAATCGAGAAGGATGCCCAACAGTACTGAGCTTTCCTAGTGTAACTGCATCCTTTCGTGGCGCAATACGGCATTTCTTTTCTTAAGCGTCTCTTTTGTCTTGGGTGGCAATCTGCGGCATCTTTTTGGGATATGATAAAAGCATACTACATTCTATGCTTATGACATGGTAATGGGTAATGACATGGCTTGGACTAGAGGGAAAATACGGTCAACAATGACAAAGATATAGACCAAGGAAAAGGGAAGCATCGGGAAATCGAGAGCATAAATAAAGCTCATCAAAATTCAAGAGAAGCGAAGAAAAATGAAGACGAGGTAGTGAAAAGAGAAGATGAGGGGAGAGGGGGAAACTGAATACAGAAGCAAGATGAGTGCAAAACGACTCGAAAAGTGCCAACGATTCAGCAACAGCCGCCATTGCGCAGAAGGTGGATGCTGTCTCTTGACAGATGCGCTGTTGTAAGTGCCATTAAGCAATCAATCACTCCTTTATATGTATGATATGGTGTTGACTTTGGCTTATAGAAGAGAGGTGATGATAGAACATTTACGGAGCAGTATTCTGCAAATCTAAGGAGAAAACTCATGAGCATTTAAAAGGAGGAATAACTAAAATGAATCTATAAAAGTATTAATATTAAAAATTAAAATAAAATAACTACCCCTAATATGGATACTGAGTCCTACAAATTCTACGTAGACTAGCTAGCTGCTACTATGGTTTACGATGAAATGTAGATGTAAGAGGAATATTGTAATGAAGCGTTTCCTTTTTCGCTCTTTTTGCTCCTTTTTTCCTTTCTCAACATCTACCTGGGCAGCGAAGAATCAGATTTACTACTACGTAAGTGATGTTTGCCCGCCTACTTGCTCAACACCAATGAGCTTGGTAACTTTAGTCAGTTGCCTTGTACTTGGCCCGGTACTCCTCCGTGTTCTTGATATCCTCGGGGGTAGCGAAACCCTTCATTCCATCGATAATGTCATCCAGGGTGAGGATGGCAAAGATGGGGATGCCATACTCCTTCCTCAGCTCGCCAATGGCACTGGGGCCAGGCTTGGAGTCGTCGCCGTCGGCAGAAGGAAGCTTCTCCATGCGGTCCAGAGCAACGACAATGCCGGCGACGATGCCGCCCTCCTTGGTGATCTTCTCAATGGCGTCCCGCTTGGCAGTGCCAGCGGTGATGACATCGTCGACGATAAGAACTTTCTTGCCCTTGAGAGGGGCGCCGACAATGTTGCCGCCCTCGCCGTGGTCCTTGGCCTCCTTGCGGTCAAACGAGTACGAGATGCGGTCCAGGTTCTGGGGGGCCAGCTCGCCGAGCTTGATGCTGATGGCGGAGCACAGAGGGATGCCCTTGTAGGCGGGGCCAAAGACGATGTCAAAGTCGAGGCCGGATTCCTCCTGCGCCTGGATAATGGTCTTTGCAAAGGCAGAGGAGATTGCGCCGGCGAGGCGCGCAGTGTGGAACTCGCCCGCGTTGAAGAAGTAGGGCGATATTCTCTTGGACTTGAGCTCGAAGCTGCCAAACTTGAGGACGCCGCCGTCAATGGCGGATTTCAAGAAGTCCTGCTTGTACGCAGGGAGCTGGGAGGTAGAAGAGGCCATGTTGTCGAAGCGCACGTGAGGTGGATATTTACAAGGTGAAAAGAGCAACAAAGACGCAAGAAGTAATGGTTGGTGACCTGGAGCTGTATAAGCTTTTGTCACTGACCAGCGGAGAGAAATGACACTCGTCAGGAAATTATTGATTTATTTACCTTGATTAGGATTTGTGACACCACAGAAAACAGCAGGCAAATACAGAACTCAGTAATTTGCTCCTCTTGTTGAAAGAGGAGGAGGAGAAGGAAAAGAGGAAGAAGATCTCAAAAAGTTGGCGGGGCACGAGATAAGAGGGAAAAAAAGTTTACCTGCTAGGGCGATCTGTCTCAATTCGCACTGTACAACTCATCCTATATCTCAAGGTAGAAATAAAATCGAGACTGCCTTGTGCTGGCTAGAATTTGAATACCAATGCGAGTACACCTTTATATAGACTAAAGATAGCTTAACAGTACTTTTGGATAGTCTCTTTGTGTATCAAGCGCTTGAATCTGGTATGTTAAAGTTTCATTGCGAGGATTTGGTCACTTAAGTCTACTGCATTATAATCTACTCAGGTAGAGTAGTAGCCAAGGGGCCCACGTTTATCCTCTGTCCTAGTCGATATATAATAAATAATACGAGGATCTTTAAGGCAATATAAATTTTGCCATGGCAAGAGAAGACTGACACCAAGTTGAGTATAAAGAGATCTGGCGAAGTAGATGAAGCAACGTAGAACTTGGTCACTTTTCTGGCTCGTTCTACTACTTGGCAGTTCACTGTCTCCGTCAATAATATGCGTGGGCAATTGGAGTAAACCGCAGTGAATATAGTGCATTCGAATTATATGGTAAGTTTTAGCCTAGTAATCTATATATACATTAATTTATATATATATCCTTACTTGTCTTATGAGGGCTATGTGAAGGAACTTACGCCCTTCATTCAATGGACATTTCGCAAGATCCTACACTGTGCTTCCCTCAGCTCTTCTCCCCACAGCACAGTGGGGTCCCCAAAGCCATGTACCCTCGCCTATAAATTTGTATGCAGCGATACCTTAGATCCATGTTGCACATGTTTGCCCCTCCAAAAGTACCTGCGCGGCTTATCGATAAGACTTTTTCCGCAGAGGCTCCGCCCACAGCGAAGAAAAAAAAATTCACCGCCTAGCCTAGACCCGGCATTTCGCTAACCTCGAAAGTCCTCCCAATCTTTGGGGTATCCAGAAAAAAAAAAAAAAAGCGACGAGGACATCTCAAAGCTGTAGTCTTCACCACAAACAGCGTTCCTCGATCAAAAATTGCCCACCATGAAGACCACGTGGAAGGACATTCCCCCGGTTCCTACTCAGCAGGAGTTCCTGGACATTGTGCTGAGCAGGACCCAGCGCAAGTTGCCTACCCAGATCCGCGCCGGCTTCAAAATCAGCAGAATCCGAGGTATGTCGCATAACAACAATCATTAAGCATCTGTCCAATACCATTTGCGATGCATGCCAGTATGGTGAATGGCTCGCTTACACATAATTAGCCTTCTACACACGAAAGGTCAAGTTCACACAGGAGACCTTTTCCGACAAGTTCGCCTCCATCCTCGACAGCTTTCCTCGCCTTCAGGACATCCACCCGTTCCACAAGGATCTGCTCAACACCCTCTACGATGCGGACCACTTCAAGATCGCCCTTGGTCAAATGTCCACTGCCAAGCACTTGGTCGAGACCATCTCTCGAGACTACGTTCGTCTCTTGAAATACGCACAGTCGCTCTACCAGTGCAAGCAGCTCAAGAGGGCCGCCCTTGGTCGCATGGCCACTCTGGTCAAGCGATTGAAAGACCCTCTTCTGTACCTGGACCAAGTTCGCCAGCATCTTGGCCGTCTGCCCGCCATCGACCCCAACACCAGGACCCTGCTCATCTGCGGTTACCCCAATGTTGGCAAGTCCAGCTTCCTCCGAAGCATCACCCGCGCCGATGTGGATGTCCAGCCCTATGCTTTCACCACCAAGAGTCTGTTTGTCGGTCACTTTGATTACAAGTATCTGCGATTCCAGGCCATTGATACTCCTGGTATCCTCGACCACCCTCTGGAGGAGATGAACACTATCGAAATGCAGAGTATTACGGCTATTGCTCACTTGAGATCCGCCATCATGTACTTCATGGATCTGTCCGAGCAGTGTGGTTACTCAGTTCAGGCTCAGATTCAGCTCTTCCGAAGCATCAAGCCCCTCTTCTCCAACAAGCTCGTTTTCCTTGTCGTCAACAAGATTGACATCACTCGACCCGAAGATTTGTCGCCAGAGCTCCAGGCTGAATTGCAGACCATCCTCAAAGCTGGTGAGGTTGAGATGCTTCAACTCTCCTGCAATACCCTAGAGGGCGTGCAGGAAGTCAAGAACGCTGCCTGCGAGCGTCTGCTTGCCGAGCGTGTCAACCAGAAGCTCAAGGCCGGTACCACGAGCAGCGGAGCCATCGGAGGCCGTCTGGCCGAGGTCATGGCCCGTATCCACGTTGCCCAGCCTATGGGTGGCGTGGCTCCCGAGACTTTCATTCCCGAGGCCGCCAAGAACAAGAAGAAGTTTGAAAAGGACGACCCTGACCGACCCAGGCTGGCCAAGGACGTCGAGGTGGAGAACGGCGGCGCTGGTGTCTACAACGTTGACATGCGCGCCGACTGGATGCTCAAGAATCCCGAGTGGAAGTACGACAAGATGCCCGAAATCTTTGAAGGAAAGAACGTCTACGACTACGTTGATCCTGATATCGAGGCCAAGTTGGCCGCCTTGGAAGAGGAGGAGGAGAGGCTCGAGCAGGAAGGATTCTACGAGTCAGACGAAGACATTGAGGACGATGAGGAGGCCGAGATTATGCGCAAGGCTGAGCTCATCCGAGAGAAGCAGCAGCTCATCCGAAACGAGGCCCGCATGAAGAAGAGACTCAAGAACCAGGCCATCATCCCCCGCAAGTTCGTCAAGAAGCCCCTCTCGGAGATGGAAGACGCCCTGGACACTCTGGGTGTGGACACCACAGAGATCGCAGAGCGAGCCCGCTCCACTGCCATCCGCACCCGTGGCCGCTCATTATCACGCCTTGGCACCGCGGACGCCGACTCCATGGACGTCGACACTCCCAAGACGGATCGCCAGCGTCTGCGCTCTCTGAGCAGACCCGCCAGCAGACACCCCGCCAACCGCAGAGAAGAGGGTGTTGCGGACGTGGCCACGAGATCAAAGGCCGAGCGGATTGCCAAGCTCAACCAGAAGAGGATGAACAGAATGGCCCGACAGGGAGAGGCCGACAGACACACTTCTGCATCTCTGACAAAACACTTGGTAAGTGATGAGCGCCACCAAATTCAACCTGTATCTATTCATTTTACTAATCGTTCTTTTTCTACAACAGGTTGCCGGAAAGCGTGGTATTGGCAAGACCAACAGACGTTAAGCCATTTGAAAAACTTTGGGAGGAGAGGCTATTTTCACACCCAATTTTCTTTCACATTATTGCTGGCATCTTTTTGTGTGTTTTTTATTTCGGCTTCTTGTGTTTAATTTCCAGTGTTTCAACCTTTTCGATACGAGGGAAAACACTATTTGCTCAGGAGTTGGGCGTTCTGGAAGGGTGTTTACAATCCAGAAAGAAAGTTGAGTGAGCGAGAGAAGGGCAGAGTGTGAAAGTTGGGAGAGGAGCATATACAGACTTTTCTTTTCATTGTTTGGCTTTTCATATAAAGGAAAGATATTCAGAAATGATGTACCTTTCGAGGAAGAGGATCCTCAGGCAGTCAGTTGGAGTAGTAGCTAGCAAACGGTATTAGTCGCCTACGACAACGATTCATCATGATGAGAGAGAGAAAGTGGAAAAAATCAGATTATAATGGCTTTCGAATTTGAATTAAAAGTACAAATATACTGCTTTGATAAAGGTCCCTATATGATGTGATGAGAAGCATCTTATATATGATAAGATTTCCCCCGTTCTTTGGTTTTTTTTTTTTCTCTTCTGTTTCTCGATACTTGTCCTTTGCCACCAATGTTGATTGATGTACTAAAAAATGATAAAAAAGTAGGTTTGTTTTTCATCATTAATTATTGACATTTACCGAACCAAGAAAACAGAAGAAAACATGGTCGCTCTTCGCAAGTTTTAGAAGGGGAGAAGTATCAACTCCAAAGATCTCGATAGCATGATTTAACAGACAAAAAGATTTGCAACCACTAATTTCGCTTCTTACTCTTCCGCAACGGTGATGCCCTCCCTCAGACCTTCAACCTTGAGCTCCTCGCCGGTGGCGCGGCGGTAAATGTCTTTGACGTCATCTGTCGTTGTCTCAAAGTGGCTGGTGGCGTCGTAGCTCTTGGAGATGAAGATGTTGTCCTTGGTGCCGTCCTCAAGAGGCTCATAGATGGGGATAGGAGGACCCTGTTTTTGAAAGCAAGTCAGCATTCCGGAAACTTGGCCGAGGTATGGGTTGGAATTGGTGGAATAGTTGGGTCTTTGCCGCTGGGCAGAGGTGAAATAGCAACTTACCATGAACTGCTCCTCAATAGCTCCGAGGCGCTCAAGACCGGGCTGGAGCTCGAGGTGGTGGTTCGCAGCAGTCTCGGAGATGGTAGAGACAATGGCGATCCAGTAGCCCTTGGGGCAGACGTTGTGGGCAGATGAAACACAGGCGATGTAGATATCTGTACAGAAAATCGTCAGCATTGGTTTCCATTCAAGGGGGGCTGCTTTCAAAAGTCAATCCTTACCGTTCTTTCGGCCGACCTGGGACTGGGGAATGATGAGCTGGGCAGAGTCGCTGTCGTTGGTTCCAGCAAGAGGGTGCTTGAGAATGCAGATGGCTCTCAGGACATGGCCGACAACCTTGGCCTTGCTGGGGAAGTATGAGGGGTCACCAAGGATCAGCTTGGCCTTGGTCTCAAACTTCATCTCCTCGACTCCGGTCATGGTGGCCTTGATGCCAACAGCCTTGTCGCCATCGTACAGGACCTCATCAATGTTGGTGTTGAGCATGTAAGTACCGCCGTAGATGGCAGACAGACGAGCGAAACCCTGGGGGAGCTCGCCAAGGCCGTACAGGGGGTAGATGTATGGGGACTTTCCATATCGAGCTACGGAGTTTCCGTACAGGCGGATACGCTCAATGGCCTCAGGAGCCTGGCCAACGGCAGTGATGTAGTCATCAGTGAGGTACAGGGCCATGGCGTGGCCAATGAAGTCCTTGGTGGCGTCCTCAAGGCCGAACTTGTCATAGACATCCTTCATGGTGCAGGTGTTGAAGTCGAGGCCTATCAAGGTGGAAGAAATACAAGATTAGTCACCAATCGATCAATGACATCCCCAAACGGGAGATCTCGCATCAAGAAAAGGGGGGCGGCTAACCTTTGTGAGTGGCAGGGTCCTGGAGATCGAAAGTGCCAATCCACTCAATGAAGGACTTCATGCGGCGCTTCTCAAAGATGCCCATGAGGGGCGACTTGAGGGCCTCACCAGCATCTGAGGGGACCTTGGCAACGGTGGCCTTGGCGGAAGAACCCTGCTGGACGTAGCTGCCAGCAACCTGCTTGAACTCCAGGTATCGGGTAACATCGGTGGAGACGAGAATGTTGGTCAGCTCGCCGGATGACATGAGGAACTTGGGGACAAGGTCGATGTTCCAGTCATTGAGGCGGCCATACTTCTTCCAGGGCTCCTCGCCGTCCTTGAAGTTGCCGTACTTCTTGAAGAGCTATGGGCGGGGGCGTTAGATGCGCTGTACAGATGCAAGGCAAGCAAGGTATTGCGAATCGGGGGAATGGCAATTTACCGTCTCGATGTTTACGGAGGCAGCCTCTCTATTGTAGCAAATCGTAGTCAGTGATCCGTGCTCTCAATGGCGGTGATGCCACGTCGACGTAGCAGAGGCCAGGGGACAGAAAAAACATACCCTCCGTAGTGGTCATTGCGGTCAATGTGGAGGACCTTGCGGCCCTTAACACTCAGGACACTTCAAGACAGATATGATGTCAGTACAAGTGGCCTTGGATGCTGGGGTTTTTGGTTCCATTATCGTCGTCCGCTTACCCAGAAAGGATACACTCGGTCAGGCCTGATCAAAAAAAGGGGTCAAGTCAGCAAGGAACCAAGCTCATGGACAACGTAGCTAGCCAGCAGGCAACGAGAAGAGCTTGCTGGCGATGCCAGAGCTCATTCCGTGACGATGCGGATGCCCAGAGCTGAAGCTGGAAGCTCCAGGCCAGCAAAAGCAAGCCAAGGCAGCAAACACGTACCGGTGCCCAAGACGATGACATCGTACTCCTTTGCAATCTCCTCCATGGTTGTGGGTATAATAGACGAGCTTGGTGATTAGCGTGTAAAGAGGAAGATTCGGTCCGACGAGATAGCCAGCAGGCAAGAAAGAGCAGGAAGAGAAGAAGAGAAAAAAAGGTTGTCGGGGAGAGGAGAAAGCTTTTGAAGAGTTGCAAAGCTTTTGGTTCTAATACGGAGAGTCCAGCCTAGAGGGGTTGAAAGTGGCGGGGTTTTGGTTTGGCTTTGGTTTGGGAGCAAATCAATCGGTGAGGTGCGGAGACGAAGCGTCGAGCTGTTCTGGGCAAGGCGGCTCCACCGTTCAAATCATCAGCACGCTGGATTCCGACTAGGGGGGAGGCAGAATTACAGTAGAATTAGCATTACTGTAATTTCTATTCTTATTTCTCTGCCGTCCTGTCTCTTCATTTTCCTTTTTTTCATGCTAATCACAATGACTGAGCAGCTGCTTCATTCGTTACTCGAAATGACGCACCGCTCGCCAAGTTGGTCATTCATTATATTACAAGCTGCCCGTTGAAATCACAATCACAGTACAGTCATCTGTTCCTCTCTGGAAATTGCCCCGCCGTCGTAATACCTACCGTCTCCAAATCTCCAGCTCCCCTGATCTGATCCAAATGCTACTACCGGATGATTACCCCGTACGAGTACGACTAGCAGCATGTCTCACAAGAGCAGCAGCAGTGCCGGATCTTGCATCCAACAGGCACGGCGAGATGCAATTGGTCAAGTGACAATGGAAAAGAGGATGAGAAGAAAATAGTATATATTATCAAAAGAAAAGAGAGAGAAAAGAGAAAGAGAAAGAGAAATAAAGCTCCCTCATCAACCCACCATCCCGTCTCCGTTTCATAAGGCGGTGTCTCCCTCTCACTCTCTCACTCACTCATTCGCTCTTCTCTCATATCCATCCATCCCCTGGGGCCCATCCAAAGAGTAGACCAGCTCTCCACAATTCGTACCAAGCTAACAGCTGGCCATCTCCGAGTACATCCATTCACCGCTGCTCCGGGCTATGCGGCATAGGTAGCATCTCCAGATACTCAGTTAGCGCAGGATCGTGCTCGTATGTACCACTACATTACTCCAAGTCTAACCAGCTCATCAATAAAACGGTCACGGAACCCCCAAAAACCCCTGGTCAACGGCTGAATGAAACGGTCACGCACAGAGTAGCATCAGTACCAGCGCTGCAAAAAGCCAAAATGAAGAACGGGGTTAGCGAAAGTATTGAAAAAAAAAAAAGAAGAAAGGGGAGAAAATAGGGGGGGGGCCTTTCTAATGAGGCGAGCCTCGTCTCATTTCGTCTCTTTTCCGCCGCAACGCCCGAAGGACCTGGCCGGGCTGAAAATGAAAAATGAAATTGATTCGACTCTAGCCTCGTTGCGTTCATCAAAGTCATCCCGATAATCGGTATACGAGTATTATATCGTACCAGTAGTAATATACATGCCAATTGCTTCATCGTCGGATATAGGTACACAGATTCCCCATACTTAATACTACACGCGGCCGGGCCAGAATACCTCCCCGTGATATCATGCTGGCCGTCGTCGAACCGTCCCCCTTAACCTCGCTGACCTTTTTCTTTCCTTTTTTTCTTCTTCTAAGATTGACCTCGGTATTCTCTTCGTTAGTTTTGATCGTCCATCTCCTAGCCTCGCCTGGCTTCTACCTTGTAGGCTCCTTCAACTCCTTGTCTGCTTCTTCCACAGCAGGAACATCATCGTATCCCTCTTCATATGCAGACGGTGTGTACACCTGACCCTCTCCTCCCTCCAAGTTGATCTCGGGGTCCGACCTGGCAACCTCGACGGCATCCTGCCAAGTATAGAATCGCTCTGTAAGAGCATGCTTGATCGCCCTCATCGTCTTCGTAACCTGTCACACGACACCCATTAGTATAAACAGAATCATAAATCCCAAGCTCACAAGGCTAGCGGCTCACCTCTTCATCCCGTGAATCAATCTCCCGCTCTCCAAACCCAAGCTTCCCCCTCAACAGCTCCGCCCTCGCCGTAGCAAGCATGTTCCTCTCCTTACAGCACTTCCACCACAGAGCATGTAAATCTTCCCACGACTTCCGCCGCAGCTCCTCCACCTCCCACGCTCGCCCATGCTCCTCCGTCTCTTTGGGCGTCAGCAGGAGCTTCCCCGGCGCGGGGAAGAACCCCCACAGTCCGTGGCTCTCGTCGACCTCGATCTTGGGCTTGAACTCGACGGGCTTCGGCAGCGGCATGTTGGACATGGACAGCGGCTCTCGCGGGCCCGATCCGTAGAGGCTGCTGACGCCTCGTCGCTTGTTGCTATCCTTTGTCTTGCGCTTGCATTGCGGCGCCGTCGTAGAGAAACTTGCTACCTGCAGGAAAAGGCTTGATGACGGGCTTTTCTGCAGAGACAGCCACAGCCTTGAGGCGCAGCCTGATGAGGCTCGAAGCGCATTGGGCGCTGCTGCAATTGACATTGTGGCGACGGGATAGAGAGAAAAAGACTGAACGTCAAATCATCAATCCATCAGCATCATTCGCTTAGATCTTCAGACGAGGCACAAAATTTGGGAAATCGGCTGGTGTATCTCGCTATCCCATTGGCCAGCCTGGTGCACTTTGTGCCCCGCCTTGTGGTTGAATTTGACTGCTTAGTCATCAGTGTGGAGCCACAATAATCTGCGTAGAGAGCAACTTGGGCAACAACCCACGACTATTTAGATATGAGACGAATGAACTAGTACCCTGCGGTTCTTGGTATATGCCGGTTTATGGTTATCAATTCTCATTTATAAATACTCGTATCTCTTATAGGTTATTCATGGGTCCTTGAAGCCCATCCAAAGATCTGGAGCGCAGGTGCTAATGGTGCTGTAAACGGCAGAAACCGACATATCAACCAATATTGCCGTCTCATGCAACCCAGGTAGCCGTATGCAAATAATGAGCACACGACATAAACCTCAATTCCTTCTTCTCAAACTCGCCCAACAGCTCCTCATACTATTTGCTACTGCATAGTCCATCTCAACGACATATGAGTTCAGTGCCTAAAAATAACACCCTGCTCCAGGTTACCCCGTACATTAACTAATGCTCACTTCATATCCTGCCGCCCGAGGTGCTTTAGGACAGCCACAAGATTGAAACATGCATATTCAGCTGCATGAGGGGGTGGAGGCATCAATTTTTTTTTTTTTCAATGATAGGAATCATATCTCAGAAGTTAATGCTATTTAGGATTTAACTGTTTCCTAGCGGAAAGCAAGCAAACAAGCAAGGTTCTGGTATTTTTCGATAGTTTCTCCTTCATTCGGCCCAGATGACCCCAATGTACTGTACTTGCACAGGATAAACGACGCCACAACAAAAAGGCCAGCGAAGCAACACGGCACGAAAGCATTCAGGGCAATCAACTTGCCACTATGCATTTGTCTCATGACGGCAATACTCCAGGGGCAGGCCAGGCAAACAAGTGTTTGAGCCAAGATATTCTCCGGAAGCCGCTCCCCGTCTCTGCGCTAGCAAGGCAAGGAGGCCAGCAGCAACACTACAAGCAATTGCAAACCAGTAGCACGAGTACCAGCATACCAAGTATGATCCTACCTGCACAAGCATGTGTCCATATCATCCCTTGTCCGGGTGGCCATCGTACGTGTCTGCGATTGGTGATGCCTGCAGGGACATGCAGCAATACCCCTCCAATATTCAGACACGCACGGAGTACAGTGTCGACCGTCTCCTCGAATCACATCCCATGCGCTCACCGACAGTGCCTTGTGCAGGAACAATTTCACAAAGACACGGCTGAGACTTCTCATCATCCACGTTCCGTGACATCACGGGCAGAAGGCTTGCAAAGTCACAAGGCAATTTTCTGACCAACATGCAATGAAACCCTACCGAGAGGTATGGTTGATAACGCCCCTCTCACGCCACCAGACGAGTCCTCCCGGGCCAATAATGCCGACCGAGCTTGTCTCATCTTGCGACCCAACGTAGGTACAAGCAGTCCATGTCTTTGTTTACAGACAAACTCATAGTCGAACATGTCTCGAGTCGACCGGACACTATACCCCGGCCCTGGTCACCGGTCGTATGGGATGTCCCTGCAGGAAAACGCAACAAAAAGGCAAAGATCCAATAACCAAGGCTCAGCCATCATGCGTCGTGCAAGCATCCAGTCCGTGTTACTGCATACTGGAAGCAAGGAGGCCGAGAGAGAGAACCCGAGACCTTAAAGAGAGCCCGAAGCAATGCACCTTGCCGGCCTCCATTGAGACACCTTATTTGCTTAGGTCCAAGGACACGGATGCGTGCACTGACATGACATGATGTGAAAAGAGACATGGCGACGCCTCCGAGCTGCCCAGGCACTGGCCGGCCGGCTTCCCGCGATGCATGGCGTACGGCAGCCGCATTCACCGGGATCCTCCTTTAACCAAACAACTGATCCACGCACATACTCGGGCCCGGTTGTCTTGAATCCGACTGGTGCACGTATCACTGAGGCGTTCGTATATCAAGACAGAAGGAGCAGGGGGAGACTGAACGAGGAAACAGAGAGAGGAGAGAGAAAACAAGACACCCGGAAAGCGTTGGAACCCTTCCGGGGCCAGGAGGAGCACAGCAAACACAGCCCGCCGTACCCTTGAAATGTGCGCCAACACATGTTGAATCCGTCATTGTTTGCTCATCACTCAAAAGCAGCGCCATGTCAGCCAAGCCAGGGCAATGATGCAGTTGTACGAGTACGAAGCACCGGCAGGACGCAATGTAAAGACGTGGAGTGCGGTGGCATAGCATTGGCCTCGGCGCGTGGATCGATGCCGGCTATCGGTTTCACGTAGCATTGGGGTCCGTGTCGGGGCAGCTCTGGCCCGGGGAGAGACTGTATACGGAATGCGGAGTGCTGGCAACACTACAAGCAGTAATGTGGACATGCCCGCTACCTGCCTGGGTCTCCCCATTTTTGTTGTCTTCCGGCTCTGGAAGAGTGCCGTATATTGGCACTTGTGTGCCGGATAAGCTTGCATACTGGGCGTCTCCCCTTCCTTTTTCCTTCTGTCTTGTTTCCCCTTTCACACAAGTCCCCATTCAGCCCATATGGAGTACATGGCGCAAGGTCAGCGGACTGTCCCGCAACGAGGGAAGCTGAGACTCGTACTAGCATCGGGAAGTATACCAAGTGCCGGGGTGGAGTAGTTCTATATAAAGGCAATTCGTACGGGCTTCTTGTAGTATATCCGTGCAACGGCTTTGAGACTTTCGGCCCCATGTTCCCTAGGTAAATAACGCCTATCTGTGCCACAGGTATAAATGGCACACCCAACAAACACCAAAAAAAGAAAGAAAGAGAGCAATATTGCAGGGGCTCTGAAGCACCGGGAGACAGTTAAGCTGGTATTCCAACACATCTCCGTAAGGATGACGTGTCTCACATCAATTTTGCCATGAATTTGACGCCAACGTGACAGAATAGTAGAGGTCACGCAAAATCCAGATAGCTGACTCAAGGCGTCCCTATTTGAGGTAGCGCAGAACGGCGTGGCAGAGGAGTTTTCATTCCGCCCTGGGTGGCTACCAGTAGTGCTTTGATTCACAAATATTCTTTTTTTTCTTTTCCCTGCATGTGGCTGGCGGTGTCCAGAAGGGTTCCGCTTTTCATTGAGAAGACGAGGTTGCAAGTAAATTACCCGTACAAGCAGTTGTTATAAAGCCATTGTAGCACCTTGTTGGTAGAGCGGAATAAAAAGAAGGAACTTCCCGCCGTGCAGTCAAAGCATTGGGGATCAAAGCTGAAGCGCGTATGAGTAGTATTCCGAGTCGAGACAAGTTACTCTTTCGGACAAATGAATGACGCCCCTTTGGCGACGTGTCTCAGCCATGTATTGCCAATGCATCGGTACCTAGCGACTACAAGCATGTCTCCATTTCGCCGCAGCTGCCGCTCCATGAGGTATCTGATCCAGCGTGGGGGTCTTTTTCATAGAAAGGCCACTTGGCGGTACTAAGTGATTCCTGCAAACCCGACTGGCCAGAATAGGTGCTGTGAGGGGTCGGACAAGCTGCCCCCCTTTCTCCTTCGTACCACAAGTCCTTCGCACGTACGGAGAACCTGGCAGTACCTTGGGCATGAAGCGGTCCGCTTCTCGGTGGCATGGCAAGTAAGGTACCCATGTACTGGTTGGTGCAAAGCCCTCTTCATCCATGGGGGTGCCAGCTTGGGGGCGTTGAGTGGTCCGAATGCCCAGCCATCCATCTCGGTCCAAGAACAGCAACGCACCAAATACGAATGCAAGCCCTATCCTCTTCTTGGTGCCTGATTTGCATAACTGAATGCCAAGGGTTTGACGTGACGTTTGGGCCATATTCGCACCAGTCATCTGGTGGTCATCCTGGCCCTAGAGAAGCTGCTCTTGTGACCCCACGGAAGTAGTGCAATACATAAGAATAGCACACGGTGAGATGACACGAGAGGTAGCCGCTCGGTGCCATCTCCTAGGCAGCAGGATTAAGGAAGAAGATACCCCCTCTCCCCCTTCTGGTTTCCTTCGTTGAGAATACTAGGGCAACAAGTGTTCTGTACCAGTATCGCTAGTACCGCCACTACACGCCTGTATGTATATTCCCGCTTTCGCCGGCGCTAGTAGGTTCATTGTTGGTAAACGCACAAAGTCTTGTTCCATACAAGGGGACCGCGGCTTGCGCTTTTCACTGCGTGTTAGGTAATCTGAATGGCCTAGCAATAGCCTGATATGTCGGTTCCATTCGGCAAACTTCTGAGAAATCCTGGTTCCACTCGGCGCTTGTGCTAGCAAACCAAAGCATGGATGCCGGAGCTAGATGGACATGGGACCCAGGCGAAGAACTTCGAGTGCTGAATCGGAGTTTAGGCCCGTCGGCAAAAATGGGGAAGGTGTAGTCGTAATATGCCATTGTATCGTGTACTCGTACATGGTCCTGGCAACTTGGACGAGCATGCAGTACAGGACAACCAACTGATCCTAACAACCACACCATGACACTCTGCGTGCGATGCAACATGCTCGAATGGCTCATGGAGAGGTCGTAAATCCATCGTCAGGTGACATGTTCGATTCTTAAACAATACGTTTCTTGTTTCCCGTTCCTTTTCTCCCAAAAGCTCTTGCTGGTTCACTGTCATCAGTGCTTGTACTAGTGACGCGTGGCTCGTCGTCTCTGCTGTACTCTACTTCGCACGCAAGAATGCGGGCGCAGAGTTTCAACTGTGGCCAGCCACTCTCCTTCTTTGAGTGCTTTATTCGTGGTCAGCATCATGGTATGGCGTGAGGTTGTGAGAATAATCTGCCATGTTTGCCTCGCGCGTCTTAGGTAGTGTGTATACCTACAGTAAGACTAGACTCCGCGAGGAGCCTTTTTCCCGTTCAGCACTCCAAATGGTTGCATGGCGGAAGTCTCCTCATTCATTGCAATGTTCGCGAGGCCACTCCCACGTGGAAGCCCGCCAATAGTGGCCCATTTGGGGCTTCTGCAGACACCACCTGGGCTTGAGAACTTTGGCTTGTTCTGCCCGCTAGTGGCAGCACTTATTAGAGGCATCGTGAGCTGGTGAGCGTCTTGTTGTTGCTAGCCTCGACTAGCCTCTTGTCACCGCCCTTCGTTTGCACGCCTAGCCGCTGGCTGGATTTATTTTGTCGGGCAATGTAGGGAGTACAAGAGCATGATTCTCGTCACAGTGGCTGGGCTAGCAATATATTCCGTACGGAGCACATTTCGCATTAGGATGGGCCAAGCATCCAAGCTCTGGAAAAGTTCGCGCTAACACGCCAGATACCCCTGCAATTTCGGGGTTATTTGGCGGGCCTGGATGCTAGGAGTGACGTCGAAGCGACCAAGATGGTCTCCTGCACGCCAAAAACTGCGAGGATCGAATGGCAGTGACTTGGTTGGGGCTAGTTCCATTCCGGACTCCGTCGCAGCCGGCGGGAAATTGGGGAGTGGACTTGTATATCTTGATGTGCGGTAAAGAAACTCGGCAACAATGGAGACGCCCTCCCGCCAGCCAGGGGTATGAGGTAGATGGTACTTTATATCAAGAGGGAAATCCGTCACCAACCCAACCAGACGTTGCTCTGAGAGGCAGTGATGGTAGCACTCGGAGGCCTGTCGTCGTGCAAATGACCACACTGGGAAATGAAGTGAAATGAGAGATGAGCTGAATCCAGCGCGGCGCATGTGCGAATGCTGTACTGTGCCGCGTCCGTTGCGTTTCCTCCGCTGGTCCGTTGCGGTCGTCATCGCAGCGATTCATGCTTGGCAGCACGCCTAGGCCACTGCGTATTCATGTAGTTGGGATTCTCATATTGACAGAATTGAGCTATCAAGGTGCCAAGAGGCGCACAAATACGAAGCCCTGGATGGACAGTCTATGCGCAAGGCCTCGAACCATGTTGAGAGGCGCACATGAGTGGTACTGGCAAACGCGTTGGCAATACCATGCCTAAAATAAACAGCCGCCGGTGTCCGCCTGTTGCATGGGAAGCACGAAGGTCTACTCGGTCGCACGCGCGTGGTATATCGGCCCAATCTTACTATGGAGTCCAACATGGTGCATGTTCAGGGCGCATGTGCTGGTAGCATATCGTCAACGGACGGGGAGAAAAGTACGGAGGACGTCCGCTGTGGTTCTCCTCGGATGCGGGCGTTGGTAGGCCACCAGCGTCCTAAATCTTGATCCCAACGGATCTGGCAACGCAGTGGAAATGGGGCCGATGGAGAAGTTCGGAACGGGCAGCCAACATGTCAACTATCCACTCATGCCACCAGTCCCGCTGCATCGCCAGGAACGTTGGCCCCAATGCCGAAGTAAGTGTGCGGACAGAATGGATACCAGCGGCCACCGTGGTCCTTTCCAGCGTTACACAAAGGCCCTATTCGTGCGTTCAATTCTGCCACGATCGATCGGGTGGTCCCAGAAGGTTGGAATCCAGGTTGGCGTGCTAGGGCGCAAGAAGAAAAAAAGGCGAGCAAAATGAATAAAAGAGCATCCCACCCACCAACTTTAGCAAACAGCGCAACAGCGCATTGTCGATTTGCTGATTTGTCGACAATGCGATTGTCACAGACAATATGTCTCGGATTCTCAAAAGAACCAACCACACACATGGCGGTAAATAGTATGTCATTCGGGTTCCCAATTTGAGCAGTTCCGGTTTGGAACAAAACACAAACGACAGGGATTTCCAGTGATTGATGCGCGTTTGAATCGTGATCCTGCTCCGGAGGGAGCATCTGTACCCTAAGTAGAGTACAAGTGCAGCTGAGTGCGGCCGTCTCAGGATACTCAAATGTGCGCGCGCATTGCAAATCTTCAGCACGAACAGGAGTAAGCAGTTGTCGTGTCCAGCTCCGTGTCGCCAGACACTGTCCCTACCGGTTACCGAGCCACAGCTTTTGGACCCAGGCCATGACCATGACATCGCTGTTTCTCACACCCGTCTTAATGCCTACATGTAGCAGCTACCTCGGCCTCAGACTTACTCGTATCCGGCGACTCATGCGTCTTCGTGAGGGGACCACCTGGAACTTGGCCAGCCACCTGTCGCGGTGATGGGAGGAAGTGCGCTTGGTCGGCGGCCTTGCTGCCTCTTTGGGCCATGGCGCGAGCAAGTGGTATGGCAATTCCCCATTTGTCAGCCGTCTGGGATGCTTCCATTGTCTAGATTCGAGCTGCGCTAGTGGTGAGAATTGACTCGCTGGGCTTTGCTGGACCGATAAGATGCCACAGAGATGAGGCCAAAAAATCTGCACGTCAGGCGGTGAGGCGCAGTGGTGCCGTACCGGTTTGGGGCTAATCTGCTTGGGGAAAACTCGGGAGTCTGCGGGAAGAAGGGGGTGACGTAACGATGCGGCGACCCCCAATTAGCCGCGAGCTAGGCTGAACAGAAACGGCCTGAGCGATTCCGACGGTGCTTGTAGCGCCTGGCTCGTTCACGAACCACAGACGCCACAGAATGATGAATTTTCCCATTCATGTTTCGTTGAGACGAAACGGTTTCAGATCAGGCAAAAGAGGTGAGCCAAACTAGACTTTAATACCCACTCGCCGAAAACAACCCGCGATCAAATCTACAACGCTTGCCGAATCTCTCTCTTCGGTGAGTGTGCAGGCATGGAAGGGAGATCATACACCCTAAGTCGTATTAGTGCCAGGTCCAAGTGTTCGTACTTCTGGTTGCCTCAGCATGTCTTTGAGCAAGTGGCTGTAACGCGGCGTGAGGGGTTTGAGGATAGCCTGCTGAGGGAAAGAGAAGGAAGCTGAAAGAAAAGAATGTGAGAGCTTGATCCCCCCTTGTTGTTGCACTGGCACGAGCGTCAAGGTCAAAAAAAGAGGGAGAGGGAAACGAATAAGGCAATAAAAACATAAATACAAAAATGACATACTGTACTTGTACTAGCAAGTTAAGTTGTTGTACCAGGGTTGCTCCGGCGGACAATTTTCGCAAGATGGCGAAGGTCGGCTCTCCTGAGCTCGCTCCCCTTCGGCCGTTGTCCGACGAAAGCGTTGGTCATATTCAAGTCTGGGAGGGGAGCTAGGGGCGTATCGGTCATGGGCATCGTCTTTAAGGGAAACCTGAGACTCGATGATGCGGTCCGGTCGGCATTCAACAAGCGCCACAGAAACAGCTGCATCACGCTTCAACGACGTTGAAACCCTTGATCGTAGTTTCAATCGACGGAGCCGCAAAAAGCTAAAGCGAGGCGCTGACTCCCGGGCCAACGAAATCTACCTGGGGGCGAGGAAACGGGGTCCTCCAAATCTGCGTCCCTCAGCGGGAAGACTCCACCGCTCATGGGCTCCAGAGCTTCTGGATTCCACGTCGAAGCTTTTTGAATCACTGCCGCTCAGGAGGGGACGCAAGCAATCGAGCGAGCATGGGGCCCTGAGGTCTTCGCGAGAAGGAGGGTGGCCTGGGTCCACCACCAGATCTGTCCAGAGTGGGTTCGATGCCATTTGAGGCCATTGCCAAACACCATTGGCCGCCATGGTTTTTCCCATGGAGCAGGGATGTTTTAGAAGGCGTCTACACTTGTAGACGCGTAATGGCAGCGATTGGCGGGCGTTTCAAAGCCGACGAGCTCGGCTTTTGACCTCGTTCTCTAACAAACTGCGTTTTGTAATGAAAGAATGCTAAGAAGATGCAAATAGAAACGGAGAAACGGCCTTACACAGTATGAGATTGAACAGCACCAGGATGACGTGATCTCAAAAGGGTGCAAGCCTATTAATGAGATGTAATTCGGCCGACGTGCTTCGGCTAGTGTGTTGATCTTTTTTTGCCCTTTTTTTTTTCCTACAACTGTACCAAGTAGTACTAAACCGAGTTGCGATTGCGATTGCGGAACTTTTCCCCCAATGAGTAACGGGGTGTAGAACACTCCGTCCTCTTTCCAATACTCCGAAGCCGACATCCCAGTAGTAGTATCGGACCGGAATCGAAAATGCTAGTACTTGGATTAGCATGCTCCTACTTGACTCGTGCGCATAACCAACCGCTTGTAGGACCTACTGTACGCTGAGCTCCGTGCGGTGTACAAGCCGTCATGGAAGAATTTTAGCAAGGTCGGCAACTAATTGGTTAAGCCTGAGAGTTGAGGCGAGAGACAAGAGGCAGAAAGGGTAAAATACAACAACTGAAGATTGAAAGACGAAAGAAAAAAAACAGCCGAAGACCTGAAACCGAGCTTGCGCTAATACATGGCTCTTTCCCGCCCAGATACGTTTACAGTTGCAGGTATTGCCTACTTGCCTGGGTAGGCACGGCTGTCATGGGGGCGCATCTGGTCCGGTCCGTTTTGTACTTTCCTTTTTTTCTGAGTGCTCAACAACTGCCAATCAAACCCATGATATGTATCAATGCATCTCATGTCGGGATAATTCTGATCCAAACTAGGCATTTTGATGATCATGTGATGCAGAAGAGGCTGATGGCCCGTACGGGCAGTACATTAGCGGTGATACCCTGCGCACCTGTATTTTGACATCCCGCGTGATGCGGGATTCCAGAGCCGTTTCCAACGGCCTTTTGGGCATTGACGGTTTTCGATGTGAGAGCTAGTACTTGCAGATGAAGAGCCATAAAGCGCTATTGCGGCACTAGCAACAGGATTGCATTGACACTCAATATGTAGGTAGGGTCTAGGTGCTCTGTTAATGCCATGCACGGTTAAGGCAGTTAATATTGAATTAGCATTGACGCCTGTTGCACCCGTTGGCATGTGCTAGCAGTTGACTGTGTTGAGTGCCAAGTCCAGTACAGTTACAGTAGGAGCTGGCACCTGTGGTATCAGACCGATGTTGACCAGGCTGGGCTTACGAAGTATTACGAGCATTCAGCAACAAAAGGCAGGCAAGGCAAGGGAGGAATTGGACTAGTGTCGTTGCTCAGCCATCCTTATTGCTGCATTGTCACCGTATGAGCCCTTGATTCCGCTACTGGGTGGTAAATCCTCGTACGAGGGAACAGGTGCTTTTGTGGTGGCAGTCGGAGATGAGCAAGACGCTTCGGGCTGAGAAAGTACCTATTACTGTACAGAAAAAGTAGTGTTGCTGAGAAATAAAAGATAATCAATAAAAGATAATCTACACTACAGCAAGTAGCAAACGCCGAGCTTATACGACGTACAGCGACCTCGGCGACTATGATTGACCGCCGGACCGTCTATGAGGTAATTAGGGAGCAGATGCGTCGCGGCCAAAGTGCTTCCTGAAGACGAAACGAGGAGAGGATGCATAGCATAGGATGGCTCAAACCAGGTTGCAACACAACTTGTCGTCGAAATGGATGCAGCCAGCACGGCTGTTTCTACTACGAATACTCCTACCTGTTCGGAGAGAGGGAGTCTCCTCGATGAGAATGCCACTTTACCATGCCACACCACAATGCCACATGTGTTGCTTGTTATGTATGATGATGAGGATAACGATGGTTGATGCCTATTCGGCTTTAGTAGCAAAGGCGCCTTTTGGGGCTTTGGGTTCCCATGCCGCCGTGATCAAAAGCGAGGCATCGTGGCCAGATAGACGGACGGGATAGACGAGGCCGTCAGGCGCCGGACAGGTAGCATTGGCATCAATGCCACTTGGCAGCACTCGTTGCTGGCAGCCCAGGAGCTAGACAAGATAGCGTCTGTACTGTAGGGAGGCTAGGGAGCGACATGGGCATTATTACCAGCGCAATCCGCGTTTACTGGGAGTATTTGCGCAGACAAGTCACCAATGACGAGGGGCTTGGCCGCGAGCAGGGCCAGCGACCATCGCTTGTCGCTGAGACGGTTGGAGACGAGCCGTCACAAAGACCTGCAAAGGGCCATGACACACCCCCCCGAGCATCGGCACCGTCTGCCGCCAGAGCCTTTTGGAATCCCTGCCACTACGCGAAAGAGTAAAAGGTGCCGCCCCCTGGTCGCGGCGCTGGCATCATTTCGAACCCTGAGGTGTCTTGGTTTGGCGTGTCGTCAATTTGCCAATGGCCGAGACATTCGTACGAGTTACTCGTACAGATACATATCTCGGACCGGATTTTCTAGGGTGCTAACGGTAGCATGTGCTTTTGCTGCGAGCACTCCATGCTCGTAAAATACGTAAATAGAATCACGCTCCCATTGAGGCTCAGCACAAGTATATACGTAAATGTGTTAATATTCCCAATTTGTTGGCAGATGGCCTGTTTCGCCCTGCCTTGACGCGGTTGGCGTGAAACTTTCTCAAGGCGGGTGTCAATACGGATACAAAAGGGACGGCCGAGGGATTGTTCCTTTACACATAAGGTACATCCAACAACGCACAACGGGGGCTGGATGCGGCAGGTGATGGCCGCGGTGCAGCAAGTACCAGGCATGTTGCTTAATTGATCATCCGGTGGCGGGAGGTACCTTGCCCGACTAATCACAAAAAAAGACAACACAACAAAAAAGGGTGCGTGTGAGCGAGCGACTAGCCCCGTGCGCGGGTTTAGCAGGAGCATGTGCTGAGAAGTGCTCGGAGCAAGCGAGGGAAACGAGGAATGGAAAGTTTGGGCAAAAAGAAGGTGAGAGAAGCCGCTCTGCCAGTTTTATGTATGTATTTTGTTCGGGACGTTGAGAGACTGGTAATGTGGCTTGTCAGAAGTCAACATGCAACACCACTAGTGCCGCTGAGGCCATTGAATGGTGGGTGCCAAACAATGTGGTGTGGCAAGTGATGTGCGCAATAAAAGGCAGAAAAAGAAAACAAAATTCTCCTTAGCGGGAAACTTTATACGCCGCACTGCTTTTGTTGCTCCCTTGTTTGGCCATGTATTGCTGCAAGCAGGCAAGCTACTCTGTTATAAGGTGCTGGCTGAAACAAATACGTTATGTGATCTGGACTCGGTGCTCCGCGCGTACATGCTAATTGCTAGTTTTTATAGAAAAAAAAAAAAGCCCTCTCTTCTTTTTTTAGTATGTAGGCATCATACTGTACTGTAGTACTCCGTAATGTACATCACAGAAAGGCATTGGATTCTCTCGGTTTCTTCTCCTCACTCGAGTCCCCTCGTCCGACGCGTCTGGCCTCTCTCCAACTTCGCCGGAATCAAAGTACCTTGTATCTTGTACCGAGTACCGTTGCTTCTAGCGCCCTTGCGCTCGGTCGCCGCATTATTTTTTCCGGCTGTCTTCTGTTGAAATCACAGATAGCACACACTGTTTTCTTGCCCTCGAATTGACTTTGCTATCTGTTTCCTTCTTCCTTCAACTCTCCAACCCGGCAACTACTACCTTTACCTCGTCTTTATCTTCAAAGATTTCGTGCCTCGCGCACTCTCTCTTATACTATTTCGTGGCTCTACGCAGCGCCAAAAACCTTTGTGGTCTCTGAGCCATCGGATATCAGCCGCGGCATTTGCCAAGGTATGTGGACAAAAGAGGGCCCTCTCGGTCGCCGTTCCGTCTTTTTCTGCTTCTCCAAAAAAGACCACAAAAAAAAAAGAAGGACGAAAGAAAACCTCCAGTCTTGGTGCTGGATCCTCCTCCCATCCCACTCCCATGCCCCAGCCTGCCCGCCAGAACCCTTACCTGCACCAGAGCTGCCCGTACCCATTCTGCTAGGCAGGATTCCCAACCCAATTCCCTTTTGCTGCGTTTTTGCATTTGCATCACGTTGCCTCGATTCCGATGTTCGGTTTTCTGTTTGCGGCCCTCGCGATACCGCTTGATGGCGCTGCTGTGGCCCCACTCGCCACCGGCCTGCTCTCGCGTTCTCGCCGTTGCTGCATCTCCCAACGGGCACTACGAGCGCCTTGTACTCGGTACATGCTCTTGTACATGTACAGGTACTCGCACTGCAGCTCACTGCACTTGGCTGCACTGCAACGGCCCACTTTTGTGTTTTCGGCACCCTGGCAAAGGCGCTTGTTGCCACTCCACCACCCCCCCCCCTGTTAGCGTCTTTCTCACACCCACGCTTTTTGGCACTTATTTTTTTTTTCTCTCGTCGCTCTTCCACGGAAGTTACTTTTGCCTTTGTGACCCTACCTGACAGATTCTCTCTCCAGGATAAAATAGGAACGAGACCCAGTTTCTCCACCCCACTCCAACTGTTCCCTACCTAACCAACTTTCTCTGAGGGACCTGTTATACTCTGAGCCTCACCTCCACCTTCCCCAGAGCGCCGCAGCCTTTTCGCAACATCGCGCGTGGGCCTCGTTGAACGATTGTAAATCTGTTTTTACATTTCACATCTTCATTCACGAGCTACTGTATCCTCTTCGGTGTCGTCGGTTCCTCTCCCGCCAATTGCTCAGTTTCGACGTCGCAAGCCTTCTTCCCGGCCTGTTGAATCTGCTGTCTCTGTCTCCCTCGCGATAGCAAAAACACAACACACACGTCTTGCTCTCGACGCGTCTTTGCGCAAAGCATCATGGACAACCCTCAATACCCCAGCAATGGCGTCCCGACGTCCGCGGCCCAGACATACCCGTCGCCTACCGCCATCTCGCCTCACCAGCTTCAGACGGGCTCTCCTCTGCCGCAGACGCTCCCACCTCTGCAACCCCATACCGTTGCGATGCAGCCGCTGTACGGAAGCCACCCGCATACACCGCGAACTCCCGGCACTCCCAACACGCCAACCCAAAACAACCTTCCTAGCTACCAGCAGACTTCGCAGCCTGGTCCTCGACCTGGAGTCTACTCCATGGCTCAGAACCCGTACCCTCACCAGGGCTATGCCACCTCTGCTGCCATGATGCCCCAAGCCACCGCAGCGGTCTCTCACCCTCAGCCAATTGCTCCTGCGCCGGTTGGCGGACGTGGTCCTCCCGTCCTCCGCCCCATGCCTCCGGGTGGCCTCATGGCCCAGCCTGGTGTGGCTTCGCCTTACGGCCCCGGTTCGCTGATGCAGCCTAACTCGCTCCTCCAGGACGGCGAGCAGCCGACCCACGTTGTTGGATCTCAGGGACGTCGTGGAATCTTGCCCAGCGCTCCCGGACGGCCTACTGCTCAGGCCGCGGGAACTGGCGCAAAGAACACCGTCATCCCTGTCAAAGATGCAGACGGAAAATTCCCCTGCCCTCACTGCACCAAGACCTATCTCCATGCCAAGCACTTGAAGCGCCACCTGCTCCGCCGTTAGTACCTCCCGAACCCTCCATGCAACTTGCTGAAAAGAAAAGAAAGAAGAAAAGCTAACTAGACCTTGTTTTCCTTTAGACACCGGTGATCGCCCCTACATGTGTGTTCTCTGCCGGGACACCTTCTCCCGAAGCGACATTCTCAAGCGTCACTTCCAGAAGTGCTCCATCCGCCGTGGTAACCCCACCGGCGCTAGCCACCTGTCTCACCCCCAGGCTCATGTGAAGAAGAATGCTCAGGCTCAGCAGAAGGCTGCTCTTGAAAACGGAGGAGATCTGAACCACTTGAATGGACTCGGTAACATGGCAGGAAACAACATCGTCCACCCCTTTGGCATTGTCTCCGTTCAGGATGGAATGAACAGCATGGGAGGTGATCAGAGTCAGCTCTCCAGGTCGAGCAGCATGGGTAGAATTGACGGTGATGCAGACCGAAGAAACATGGCTGGACCTGTAATGGGTGGCTCGCAGCAGTATGGCGGCGACGTCTCTAGCTCCATGACCAATCAACAGATGCCCAACTACAGTATGCCTCCTGGTCAGAATGGTATCCCCATGTACGGCGGTTCCAACCCAAACCAACAACCGGGCCTTGACTGGTCTCAGGTCTTCCAGGCTGGTGCGCATCCAACCCCAATCCATCCATCTCTACTTCCAGCCCCTAATCACGGACAGACACAGACCGGAACCAAGGCCGAGCCTAATCACGAGGGGTAGCTGTTGCGCTTCCAGATGGATCCCACGCCAACCAATTGGAGTATATGAACTCTTTTGACGCTCCCGGCGCCACTCAATTCGCCATTTAGCCATTCCATGGTTCTGGCAGCTGTATGACAGGAATGAGGGGACGAAGCTATTATGCTTTTTCTCTCTTGCTCTGGTACTTGTACCCGGAGAATTAAACATCCTTGTCCAGGTTCCCCACCCGGATTCTGGCTCTGTACTACTACTGGCCAATACTAGCGCTGATGCTATACAACCTAACTGGCTATAAAAACGGTGTTCCAGAGTACGCAGTTTGATGTCAAAAGATGTGGTATAGTCCTGCTGATGAGGCAGAGATTGTTGGAACCACTCGAGCTGCGTATCCAAATGATACAGTTCATTTCTTTTTGTCGACAGGGGAAAAAAAAATCGAGAAATGGGGTCAAGAAAATCCAAAGAAAAAAAAAACCGCAGGGTGGTTTGCATCCAAGGGCGTTTAGAGTTTGATTTCGATCGTATGGTTTTTTTCTCTCTTTTTCTATTGTCTTTTTTCTTATTTAACGTCTTGCATTTTTTCGAAACACAAACGACGGGCATCGCGGATATAGGGCAACTTTATCCGCGACAATCCATTCGGCTTACCATGCATGCATGAGGGCTCGGCATAGGTGGCGTCTTTGTGGTCTTTGTGGTCTTTGTGCTGTATTTGCATTTCAGTACGGATAGAGGGGTGGAGTTGAGTTCTTTTAGACTTCGATCCGACATAGAGAGGGGGTTTCCGGCCGGCTTTGGCAGTTTCCTGGTACGCCGTCATGATTTCGTGGCTTGGGCTACATAATGAGTATCGCTTTGTGCTGCGTGCCTGGGTGGTATGAAGGATGGCAGAGAAAAAAAACAAAATGGGATGGGATGGTAGGAGGGAGAGGAGGATGAAAGGGGGCAATTTGCGAAAATGTGTAGAGTAGGTAGTAGGTAGTAAAAGAATAGCTCAATGATACAGTCAGGTAGCTGAGAGAACAGAACGCGAAGGATAGGCAATAGACTGGGCTTTTCACAACTTTGGTTGTCATCATATGTGCTGTGTTTTGTAGTTGATGCTTGATGTTGCAGACTTAGGTATACACGAGATCTTGAATATGTGTGATCTCTAGAGTTTGCTCTCGAAAATTGCAGTTTGCCACCTCTCCCGTATCACCTCTGACTCTTGTCCACGGTAGTGATTTTGGGCGCCAAGTTGCGCAGCTCAGCCTTGTCCTCCTCGGTTGGCGTAAATCCAAGTTTCTCCTCGGCTTTGTCAGATAGATACAACCCTAAGCCGCCCCATGCGATGATTGCGACGCCGACGCCCAGCCGAGTTTTGGGTGTGAGGTTATTGTAGGCCCTGTTCTCGTGAGAAAGATGCGAAGGAGTGAGTAAGTCTCTTAGGTTGGATTATCACATTGGAGGGTGGACAAGCTGACTTGAACATTTTGAGATATGGCAAATGGTGATGATGAGTGGTGAGCCTTGCGAGCCTTGTGCTGGTTTCGTATTCGCGGTTCGAATTCAAGTTGAGGGGTGTCGTTGGAGTGGATGAAGGCGGTGCTAGTTGTACATTGAATGAAGTACCACTGGTATATCGATGTTATCGTGATGGCGGCTCTTTGTGACGTGAGATGCGGTTGTCTTTTGTAGTTGAGATTGAGATGGAGATATTGATGACATGAGTTTTTTCTCCCCACTGTCGACGAGTGTTTAGTCGAGTATGCGGATGGGTTGATGTAGTGTCCTAACGCCTAGAGTGGCAAAATAAGCTTATTTGTGTTAAGAATGTACTTGGTACTTTCCTTCGTTGTAGCGGAGGTTTGGATGATGTCTCTGGTACTTGGTGAACGCCGTTTAAAGTTTGATATGGCAAAGATAGACTCATCTATATTGCTCTTGGGCAAATTTTGAAGTGCACCTTTCGTTATCCAATCCATGTTTCTGAACTGTTGGATTCGTGAAGAGTTGAAAATCCGGTCGTCTAAGTTCAGACAAGATGGTGACCCCTTTCGATATCGCCATTCATACATCAACTGCGCTGGTGTCTAATCCTCTGTACGACATTTCTGATGAACTATGCAAAATCTTCTTCATGTATATTGACTAAACGAATATGCTGTTTAATTAAACTACGATCCTCAGAATCGCCGATGCGTTCTAGAATCTCCCCATCTCTGTTCACATGGGCTCGAGCCTCAATCGTGATAGGCCACAAGACGCGACCTAGACTACCTATGATATCTTCCAAGTTACAGATTCCTCTGGGGGGCGACTATCTAACGCCCTGGTGACATGTTGGAGCAGGATGCGGAGGATAACTGTTCATTCACTACTCTTACTACTACCTGGGCAGTAGACACTCGATTCCCTGAGTGTGTACTTTCAGCTGCTATTCTTATATCATTCTGTATCTGGTGTCATTAATAAGGTAGCCTGAAATTCGAAGCATGGGATTATCCAGCTCGTCGTTTCATCGGCATTGGGTGTGTATAGACCGCCATTGGCAGCAACACTCTACCATCTGATTGCCAGAACACGCTACTATGTTGAGGAAGCATCTCTGGGTAAGCATGCGTGGTTATCAATCCTCGTAGAAAAGGAGGATATGGATAGCTAATTGGACGTGTATACGGAAGTCTTAATGATCTCGACATATAAAGCTAGGCTCGTGGCCTTGCTATCTGATGTTCCTGCGTCAGCTAGCGTAAAATCCTCGTATTTCTTGTCGGTTCCGACATCATCACATACACTAACTGCAATAGTCACCAACTAAGGGAAGCAAGGGAGAGCAAAACTCAAGAAATAGTGTAGCTTTGCTGCGAGAACTAATGAAAGGCAAGGGAAGAATAACACCGCTGTAAGGAGAGTCAACAGAGACAAGTGGATAAGAGTAAAAGCTCAGCTAGCCTAGCCTCGGCTGAGGATGAATCATATCGTGGGATAAACCCCTTTTCAATCTTTCTCTTGAATTAAATTTTTTTCCTAGCTAGAAAGCTCAAATACGGAGCCACGACTAAGCTGACGGGAGAGAGCAACAGCCTCCCTGGCCAAGATGCTGGTGGTGTTTCAACTAGGACACATTTGGTTCACGCGGTGAAATTGACCTATATAATATGTGATCACATGTACGGAGTACTCATATTACAAATTTAGAAAAGAAGAAGTGAGAGAGTGAGAGAATCGCCTGGGGTGAGCGGCTTCCAGCTGAAAATTTTGTTATGCTGACTTGTACGAAAGCAAATTACCGACCCCTTGGCGTCACCACACTTGCGCTTGCAGCCGGATAGGCAGGGATGAACAAAAATAAAGAGGGAATATGAGCAGATACAGTACTCCGTAGACTAGACTTTAATAACGGGATTGAATCCGATCTGTTGGGATTATCCATATGTGATACCTTGCATGAGGACAAGGGGGAGATTTGGTTCTTCATTATGATGCAGGTGGGCGCCTCATCACCCCTTTTTTGCATAAGCCACGAAAAGGAAATGCAGTGAAAGAAAACACTGCTGCCGTCACACAAATGTGAAGATGGACGTCTTCGGCTGGTTGCTTGGGGCAATTGGCGCAGTGTAGCGTCATATATGCGCGTCCTTCAAAGCAGTAACAGATCAATCTATCTGTTCGAACATATGAGGCCATACATGCATGCAGCGCAGGTTGTCACGGCCAACACAACTAACCCCGTGAATTGAATTGAGTTCAGCCTTTTGAGGCTGCCATGCTCGGCTTATTGTCCTCGCCAATCGTAAACAATGGCAATAGATAAAAGCCTGGGTCCTGTTTTATTGACTTTGATGGGTCCCACAAAGGCCAAAAGTTAGCAGCATCTCAGGAACATGGATCCAGGGCCATGCTTTTCCCGCCCTCTAGCAGCCCTATTTGCCCATGCTACACTCTGATTCAATTGCCCGTCCCATAATTAATTCCAATTAGCACGCCTCCGTAGCAATCTTGGTGGGCGATCGGTTTTAAAATGGACGGCTCTCCCTGCAGTGCGACGTCAGTATCACCCGAATAGATGCGCTAAATCGTTTGATGCCAAGCAGGGGGAGGGGGGCCGAGAAACGGGAGACGAGGAGAGGCTGGTGCTGGCTGTCCATGGCCTGGGGGGGATCGGAAACGAAAGCGGGAATGCTGAGAGCTTGCGGCCGTTAGATCACGAATGAATGAGGCAAGGTACGTCGCTGGTAGGAGCAGTGCTTTGAGCTGTGATGAACGGCTATTTAGTCTCTAAAGGGGTGCGACAGGTCTCACTTGAGTGGACATGACCGTTTGTTTGTGAATCATCGTGTAAGAGGTAGACCCGACTGTAACTCCGTATGTGTCTTTGTAGGTCGGCATGGTGAGTGGAGATTGACGCCGGCCAAGTATGTACGAGTACGAGTATACATACGTTCGATTTCCTTCTTTCTGTATCTCTCTCAGTGATCAAATCTTATTGCTATCCATGACAACATGAATACGAAGCGTGTGGCAGCCCAGTCCGATTTGAGCACAGTTCTCGTAGAAGAGGGGAAACTTCAATCCCCCCGCTCCCGGTGAATTTGCTGATCTGATCAGACAGAGGCAATCCGGCCTTGTTCATGTGGACGACGCTGGAGGCCGTGATTGGCAACCAAAGGTACAGACAGCATGGAGGGGAGGGCATGCCAGGGGAGGCTGGCAATCACCGTTGCACGACATCAAAATGGTACGAGAATGTACTGTAATAGGTAGCGGCTGGCGACAAGGTACATTAGGTAGAATTAGAAAAGTCAATGAGTGCGGAGACGAGACGAGGCTGAGTACGAGTACCATGACGGTGCACGACGGGTGCACGCACTCTTTGTCTCAGCAGGGCCGCCAAGTATGTATGTGCCGCTCGTGCACGAAACAACAACAAATAACACGTCGATGAAATACGGAGGCGAAATTAAGTTGATGCTCCCGAATTGATGAGACCTGCTCATCCGACAGCGACAGCGACCGGGAATGTAGCGGCGTTAGATAGCTGAGATACAGATGAACGAACAATGACGGCTGGGAGCCACCACACGCTTGAGCTGTACCTGGCCTGGGCTGGCAATGGCGTCGACGCCGGGTGGTCTTAGGCGGACCAGGCGATCCAATCGCTGCACTCAAATGCTCGAGCAGGATTTTCACTCCATGTCTCCAGTCGTCTCTTGATGCTGGAAGCGTAATGGCTAGAGGGAACTAGCAGCCCCGTTGACAACCCTCTGGCCAGATCCGGAGCCGCGAAGTTGCAGGGGCCGAGCCCGGGTTTGGAGGTTCAAGGTGGTGCTGGTGCTGGTGCTGTGCTGGTGCTGCGCTGTGCTGGATTTTTAGCGGGTTTCCCCCCAGTCCTGGCCTGGTCAGAGCTCCACTGCAGTCTTTTATCACTAATGGACCACGGCGTAAGCACCTGAAGGAAGGGCAGTGCTCCAGGCCTTGCTCGCCGACGAATTTGTACTCGGCTCTTACAAACTCTTAACCTTTGTAAACCTCCAACCACAGTCGGCTTCATCAGTTCCTGGTGGCAGCGTCGACATCCGGGCTGGCTGATGCTCTCCTCACCTTTTTCTCCTCTCCTCTTGGTGCTTTCTTTTCCCCTTCCTCTTCTCTCACCCCCAGGCGCGGTGACGGTGACGGTGACGGTGACGGTGCTGCCCTGAACGGCCGAGAGAGGCCCCTCCAACCCTTTTCGACCGACCCCTTTCGACCGCAGCCATGCAGCGCGTTTCTGCTTTCCTGCCCTCGTGGGAAAAGAGAAACTCTGGCGGCTCCAGGAGCGGCAGCGTGTTTGGCTGGCCCAACAGGTCGTCGCAGCCTCCGCCCCCCAATGGCCTGTCCAAGATCAACACCGACGCCGCCAATATGCAGGTCAAGCGGGTTCAGCGGGAAGCTTTTTGGCCCGCGACGCTCGACCTCGAGAGTGACAAAGCAGCTCGCATCCTCAAATCCTTTTGCGGTATGTTGGTGCCTCTTCATTTGCAAGACTCTTGATGCTCAAGTGATCCATCAAAAGCTTCGGAATGGAGCAAAATGCGGATTCAATGCTAATCCTGGGACTCATATAGTGGACGGCTACTTCGCCCCTATCGACGACGTGCCGGCGTCTCCGTCTTCCACCTCGACGGGCGTCAGGACCCTGGATCAAGTTCCCAAGAAGATTCCAAAGCGAATAATACAGAATGCAGCCGCCATTGCTGTCTTTACGTGTATGCGCAGTGGCTTGTGGATGACCGGTTCGGGCGGCTCAGGTATCCTGATTGCCAGAAAGTCGGACGGCACTTGGTCTCCGCCTTCAGGCATCATGCTTCACACTCCAACCCTCAGCTTCATCATCGGAGTCGACGTCTACGACTGTGTCCTGGTCATTACCAGTCTTGCTGCGCTTGAATCCGTCTCTAGACCGCGAGTGACGCTTGGCGAAGATGTCGAGCTTCGGACAGGAGAGACCGTCTCAATTGGCTCTGATGAAGCCGATGTCAATTGGAGAGACCTGGGCAACACCGTGTTGACGTACATGAAAGCGCGAGGCCAGCAGCAATCAGTCAACCTATACGGATGCATGCTGTCCGAGCGCAGCAACGAAAACGACCGCTTCTACGGCTCCACTGACATCACTCATATGGACATCCTTGCTGGAAATGTCGCTCATGGTGTCGAAGAGACTACTTCTTTGAACGAAGTTCTCAAAATGGCCGAGGGAAGAACTGACTACGACAATGCTGTCATCACCAGGGTTGCTGCGGAGCCTGCGCCGAGTGACGCTTTGATCACTACAAGCCCTCCCAAATCGGTATCGATGCCCGCATCTCCTCACACTTCGTTTGGTATCCCCCAGGCGGATGATCCGGACCCTTTTGGAGTCCTGGCGCTGGAAATGGCGGGCCTTGAGATCCGTGAGGCTGGCTCTCGCATTCGACCGACAAGTAGCTTGTTCGACATGAACCAGGCTCCCATGAGCCCAACTGTTGCGTCCAAATTTAGCCGGCAGAGCATGGATACCTTTGTGTCGAGAAGCAACCGGAACAGCTACGTGTCAATGCGCACCATCCGGAGCCAGGTGACTGATGCTGGCACCCAGACTGACGTGGGCAACACACCGGCGACGTCTCCCAGCCCAGGCCCTAGCGACAGCAACGGGCGGGCATCCCCAGCCTATATCGAGTCTGTAAAGGAAGAAGAGGAGGAAGATGATGAAGCAGAGAGGGTAAGAAAGGAAGAAGATGAAGAAGAAGATGAGGAAGACGAGGAGGAGGATGAAGATGAGGAGGAGCCGGTTGTGGCAAAGGCTGTCGCCCATAGGCTCTCCAAAGACGTATCCGTCGGTGTTGACTCTGCGGACGAAGCAGAGCTAAGCGACGACGACGACGCCATTTCCCTCTCTGAAAGCCTTCGCCGTGAAGAAGATGAGATGAGCCACGACGAATCAAGCGAAGAAGAAGGGCTCTATGAGCACGAGGAAGATGATAGCGATGACGACATGCATGATGCCGATGAGGACGATGACATTGAAGAAGAAGAACCTGTGGTCTTTGAGGTCGCCGCGGTGCAGCGAACTAGCACGCAGGCCCTCTCCTCTCGCATGATCCAAGCTCGGGGCAACGTTGTGACAATCGCCAAGAGAGTGCCACCACCTCTGCCAACCCGCAGCCCTGCCAGGATGTCCCGCATTGCCAACAAGGACGCTACTGGCGAGGAGCTCAACTTGCAGAGCCCCCTTAGCCAGACATTCAGCAGCGATGGCGATATGGACGGCCAAGAAGCCAATGACGACAAGATCGACGCCGTGGCAGCGACGGAGCAGAAAGAGCAGGAGGCTGAGCACTCCGAAAGCGATGAGAGCGACGCCGCAGAAGAGCCCCAGCACAAAATCCTGGCTTCAGAGGAGAACGTCTCCAGCTCCGACGAGTCTAGTGCCGATGAGGCCGACTTGGAGGAACGCAAGCAAGACGATATTCTGTTGAACGAACCCCACCACGAGCAGATCGACAACTCGGATGCGGGATCAAGCAAGAAGAAGCACACCTCATCCATCTACACTGGCGTGACCGAGGACCGTTGGAGCGACAACGGATCCTCAGTCACCACACCCACCTCTGAGCAGAGATTCTCTCTAATGGTAGAGGAGAAGATTGTTGATGAGACCCCCAAGAAAACGATTCAAGAAGCAAAGGAAGTTGATGATTCTCCCTCTGCGCCCACCGACATTGCCCACAGCCCGGCGGTGACGGTAGCCAACTAAACAACGAGACAACTCGAACACGCGACACGACGACAAACAGACAGCATTCATTACCCAGCAGCCAAGAGGACGGTTTACACGAAATTATTATATTCCCTTCGCGCTCTCATTTGACTATTTCTTTACTCGTTTTGTTCTTTCTCATTTATGGATATCGACTAATAATTGGCGTGCGGATCTTTACTGGGATAAAGCTCTTTATATCGCATCGAGATATATGGGCGGCGCTGTCGGCTTCGAGAATGAAGCGCTTGCTTGGAACTACTTTTGGTGAAGAAAAATTTAGTGGCGTTTGGAGACTTGGGTATTGTGCTTTTTTCATATAGATATAGGGCGCCCTTTTTGCGATAGCATGGAGCGATGACGGGGGTTACCGCAGATGCAGAGGTTGATGACGGGGAAACATTTTCGGTGTATGATATTACGCTGGGGGAAGAGGGAACCATCAATAACGAGGCAAATGGTGTCGCAAACAGGATACTGCGTACGCGACAACGGATATTTCTTCTTTTCTCTTTAGCTTTGGGATCCGTATTTCTGCTCTTTTAGTAATTCTAATCGAGGGAAAGGAGAAGCTGTCATGCTTTGTCCTTTCAGAATAAAACTCCATGACATGGACTCTATTCGCGCGTTCCCGTGATCAACCTGAACTTGTTTGACCTTGAAAAAAACTCCATGTATGGCTATGAGTTAGTCGAGGTATAAGAGGTATCTGAAGATCTGAAGCAGTGTAAATCAGTACAGAGAGCGGGAGGGTTATGCAGCTGTCGTTGGCCTGGCTGAGTGCAAAAGAGTCAGAGAGGCGGCTGGCCATGGGTCTGGCAGCTGGCAGCTGGCAGCTGGCAGCAACAACCACAAGAGCAAGAATGAATTCGAGTTCGAGTTTTTTTTTCTTCTTCTTTTCTTTTACAAACGAGCATTCTGATCTCTTCTTCCTTCTCTTCAAATATTCTCCTTTATTCTACCTCGTTGATCTTTCTCATTTCTTGGGTATTTGCGCCAGCTATTGTCATCTGCGAGGGACCATAGCATATTAAAGAGAACGAAAGACGGCATAGACGATGAACACTTCACAGAGCATACCGGAAAACACTGCGAGAGTAAGCAGTGCAGGCAATTCTCGCCTTGGAACCTATAACCAAATCGCCTCTAGAACTCCTAGAAAGCAGCAGCAGATGCACGCCAAAGTTGTGCCTGAATCTCAGAGTGAGATTCATCGAGACGACGGCATCCAGAGCGTGTCTCGCACTGGCAAGACTGGGTACACCGCCACAGAACTTCCCACCAGCAGCGCCACACCCACGCCTACGCCACACCGCTACGGTTTGCGCGCGCGAAGAGCATCTCGAGGCTCGTTTTCGACTCCCTCGCGTTGTCGTCGCACGGCTTCTCAGCAACACACCCAGCATCTCTCGACGCCCACCAAGACGAGCGGCAGCGGCGCAGCGGCAATTCGCACGGGCTCTCCGCTCAGCTACCACATCGACCACTAGAAGCGCGATTCTTTGCGGCAGCGGCGGCAGAATTACCCCAGCAGGGCGAACAATAAAAGTTGCACCAACTCTGCGAATACTACCGGCAGCAACATCGACCACGGTCACACCCGCAACCACAACAGCAGTCTGCTCGCAATGGCCAGCGGGGGGAAATGGCGCGAGGAGCAGATCCTCATCATCTGCCCCGGCAGCAGAACTACCATGGCCCAGCTGGGCTGCGGCGAGCTGTCGCCTCCAGCTCATCGCATCCCCACGAGGATGTTCAGAGACGACGAGGACCCCCAGCAATGGCGGCCGTATTACACGTACAAACGCACCAGGGTCATTGATGGCGTGGAGAATGAGGAGTGGGTGGAGGATGTAGACGAAGACAAGGATGCCGTATGGCCAATTGAAGGTATGTCAGATGGAGTAACAAAGTTTGAAAGGAAGAGTGAAGAGAGATAGAGAGAGAGAGATCATGGGCTAATGTTTTTTGTAGGTGGCCGCATCGTTCAGATGGACGCCTTCCTCGCCTTCCTCGACCACGTCCACGGACTGCTCACCACGACATACCACAACACCCCCATCATGCTCATGGCATCCCCTCAGTGGACGCGGCCCGACTGCGAGACCATTGCGCGCTACATCTTCGAGAAGACAAAGACGCCCGCGCTCTGCCTGATCCACAGCGGCATCGCAACCCAGTACGGGCTCAAGTGGCCCAACATGACCGTCATTGACATTGGCTACGAAAAGGTCGACGTCACAGCCATCCACGACGGGCGCGTCATCAACCACATGGACCTGGGCAGCCCGCAACCCGACCGACACATCAGCGGAGGAGAGGTCTTTACGCAGAAACTACAGGAGCTGCTGAAGAGCAAAAACTTTAACCACGACATGGCGGAGCAGCTGAAGAAGAGCGGCATCTGCGAGGTGCTGCCTTACGCCCCCACTCAGAAAGCTCTCGTGGAGCTTCCTGTCGAGTCTTCTTCCAATGCATCACAGTCCCAGTCACGCCCAGCAGGAGGCGCAGCGACAGAACAAAGTGCTCCGGCAGCAGATTCAGCGGCACCAGCTTCCACAGACGTACCACGGATTAACGAGCCGTCCGACGTCGTCATGGAGGAGAACGAAGGCGGCGACACCAACATTGATGATGATGGCGTCCTAGATGTCGCTAGCATCGTCACCAGCGGCCAGACTAAGGAGTTCCTTGCCAAGAAGGAGAAGGAAAAGGAAAAGGGCAAGCCTGGACGAAAGTCCAACAAGGAGAAGGAAGCCGAGGCGGCAGCCCAAGCAAGGCCCGTTCGACAGCCCAATTCGAAGAAGATGCGCAACACGTTCTCATACGAGGAAATTGTCATGGAGGAAGTCCGCAAAGAGGTGCCTGCGCCGGCTCCCGTATCTGTGCCTATCCAAATGCAGGGCGTGGAGAGCAGCAACGGCGGAGAGGCTCCCGCCTCAGAGTCAGTACCGGAGCCCGCACCAGAGCCCGCACCACAAGGAACAGAGGCAGATGCAGATGCCAAGCCCCCAGCTCCTGTAGGGACCGACGACGTACCTCCTTCAGAACCCCTTGTCAAGACTGAGGAAACAAAAGTCAATGGTGATGGCAATGGCAATGAAACTACCGCGGACTCTAAGCCGGAGGTTGTCAACGGGAACCAGACCAACGTCGACACTGACAACGCCGAGCCCCCTGAGCTCCGGCCCAAGCGAATCCGCCGCGACATCGAAGTCGGCCTGGAGCGCTTCCTCTTCGCGGACCGCAACGAAATCGACCGCATCGTCGAAACCATCTATCGCACTATTCAGGGTGTCGAGGACATGTACATGCGCCCGGCCTGCTGGGACAACCTCGTCTTCGTCGGCAACGGCTCGCGGCTGCGCGGCCTCAAGGACAACATTCTGCAGACGCTCAACGCACGCCACCTCATCTCGCCGTCCACGGCCACCATGTTCACGTCGGAGCTGCCGTCCAATGTCGCCACGCCCGCCGGCACCGGCTCGCAGACGCCCATCGGCTCCTTCAACGGAGCGCCGCACCAGCTGTCCAGCGGCGGCGGCGTCAACCCGCTCCTCCAGGCTGCCACGACGGCCGCTACCTTTGGCATCCCCGGCAGAGACACGATCCAGGTCGCCACGGGGTCGACGCCCATGGTTGGGTCTGAAGCGGCCGGTCCCGCCAGCGGCCACCACTTCCACAGCCAGACGCCCACTAGCATCAAGACCATCGCTCTGCCGACATATCTGAGCGAGTGGAGCAAGAACGGCTTCGAGGAGGCCATGTTCTTGGGCGCCCAGGTGGCTGCGAGAATAGCCTTTTGTCTGCACTCCAACATGGATGCTCAGGCCATCGAGGCGCAGAAATCAATGAGCCTGAGTAGAGTCGACTACAAGTGAGTTTTTTTTATCCAACTTAAACCATCTTTCCGATGTATACATGTATACTAACCCTCTCTCTCTTTCAACAGCGAACACGGCCCCAAGGGTATCCGAACACATTCCATGCTCAGCTAAACCAGTTCGCATATAATTTCAGGATGCTAAACGGGTTTTCCTCTTTTAATGTGCAATTTAATCCCTCGCGCTTTCGTTGTTTTCGAATAGGACATTGCTCGAGTTTCTTTATCTCTCTATCTCTCAGAATCTTCCATCTTATCTGGAGTTTTAACGGACGGGCACGGAGGGCGTGTCAGATGAAATGTGACTGTCGAAAAAAGAAGAACCTACACACTGGTGGAGGAATGGACTGCTTTCCGCGGCTTTTAGGGGTTAGATAAATGTCCAGAAAATATTTTATTTCCCCAAAACATATAGGAGAACGAGAGATACCATGAAATGCTCAAATTGTAAAAAAAAAATTCAAGTCTCTTTTTGATGCCGTAACTACCTTGTACCTATAACATGCCGATGAAAATGAAATACATGGAGGAATGCTGCCCTCCTCCTTGAAATATTCGGAACTATCCAGATACTCTTCTTCGTGGCTCTCCCGCAGCTGCTCGTGTCTTTTAGTCACCTGCGGATAGCCCTCGACTCATTCACACGCTTCTTTTCCGCTGCTTCTCAACCTTATAGATAATGAAGCAAAACTTCTCCTCTCGCTATAAATTGCGGCGTTGCTGCTTTCTGAGTCGCCAACGCGACCGGATGCACCGTCATTTCTCCTCCAATCTGGATATGACGCTATACACTGCCCGTAGTTCCGTAAAGAGGAGGACCTGGGATGAGTAAACGCACGCCTTTTGCGCGACTTCTAGCCTGCAGCATTTCTGGCGGCAGCCTCTCGAGCTGCTTGGTGCCAGTCCGTCTTCAGTAGGTAAGTGTACTCGATCGAGGAGACCCTAATCATCAGAGTTAGTCAAAAAGGGCTTGCCACTTCATCATCACTGCTTTAACAGGGAGTGATTCGATTTGAACATACAGTATTAAGCCCACGCTGACGCCGGCCCATAGACCCTGCAGTTTCCAGCCGAGTCCAAAGGCCAATGAGAGCGAAATGGGCAGCGAGACGACGTAGTATGAGATGAGGTTGACTGGTCCGCCTATGCTCTGTTTGCCGATACCACGGAGCAATCCATGCGCACCGGCGCTCATGCAGTCGAATACCTGCATGACAGCGACAACAGGCAGAATGCTGGCCACGATGGAGATGACTCCCTCATCATCCGTGAAGAGCAGCGGTAAGTGGAATCGAAGACTGCTATAGATGGCAAAGTTGAGGAGTCCGAGTATGCAGTGCGTCACAAAAGTCTAGGATGCATGTTAGTAAAGGCTCGCTTTTGCTTTTTTCCCTGCTTGTTCGTTATAGGAGCGACGTACCACTTTGCCAGTAACTCTGGCCGCGTCGACGAGCCCAGCGCCTATCAGGTTGGCAACGCGAGTAGACGCGGCAATCGACATGGGGAAGGGAATCTGGTATGAGATGGACGCAATCGTCGAAACGACACTCTGGGCGGCAAGATAGTCGGATCCGAAGCGGCTGGCCAATAGCGTCAGGATCTCGAAAGCGAGCCACTCGGCTTCGACCATGATCATGCCGGGAAGCGCCAGCCGGATCATGACCCACCAGTTGGTGAGTGCTCGCTTGCTGAATCCGCCCCAGCACTCGCGGCCGTTGACGAACCGGACATAGCAGAATAGAAGAACAGGAAGTATGTTCTCCGTAATGGCCACGGCAATGGGCGCGCCGACGAAGCCGTACTCGAGCTTCCAGACGAGCAACCAGGTTAGGAAGACGTTGAAGGGAGCGGCGAAGAGGAGAACATATGTGGTTGCCTGGAAGAGGCCCTGCGATTGGGTGAAGCGCTTACCGCACTCAAACAGAATGACGCCGGGGATCGCAAAGATCATGACGCGAAGGTAGAGAGCGGCAAGTCGAGCAGACTCTGGGTCAGGCACCATGCGCTGCAAGATTGGCTCCGCGCCGAAGAGCCACAGGAAGATGACGGGCACGGAGAGGGTCAGCAGGAAGCATGCCATGCGCTGACACTGCAAGCCAACGAGATGCTTGTGGCCAGATCCATAGGCCTGAGCGCAGAGGGTATCCAGACTTGTAGCCAAACCTTGGAAAGGGGCCAAGCAGGAGATGGCTTGCGACATGTTGGCCACTATCAGGTTCAAGCGTTAGTTTCAATCTCTCATGAAATCGCTAGAGATCACTGGTGCGACGACTTACATGATATAGCTCCCAGCTCTATGGTACCAATGCGACCAACAGCAAAGATACCGGCCACGTTGATCGAATATTGGAGAAAAAAGGTCACAATCAGCGGCCCGCAGTATGACAGCACCGTCTTGGCCTCGCGCTGCCATGTCGTGCGAATCCGTCCCGTTGTTATAGCCTCCTCCCACTGCTCATCCACGTCCTCGTCGCCCGCAGAGACGGGCAGCTGTCGATGTGTCCGCGTGCCATAGTCGTGGTCGCTGTCCCGGGAGAGTAGCGGCGCATCCTCTTCGGATTCTTCCTCATACTCCTCGACGGGGACTTTGGTGCTAAAGATCTTTCGGTACATTCGAGCAGGCAACGATTGGCTCTTGTTGGCATGTTTTGGGGGCAGGACGTGGTTGTCCCGCAGAAGGCTGCGCTCGGCATCGCGAGATTGCTTCCGCTCTAGTGGTGTCAAGATGGGCTCGTCCAAGGCGCTTGAGTTGAAAGCAGGCCGAGCTGCTCCGTATGCTACGCCGCTCGGCCGGCGATACATGAAGTGATGGCTATGCTCAACATCAAGCTGGTCGTCGGCAGGGTCGAAATCGTCATCAGTGCACTCTGCAATGTCTTGAGCCAGAACTTGCTCCGCTAGAGGAGATCCGGAACGGAACGAAGACGAAAAGGCTGGGTGGTCATGGCCAGAAGGCCCAGAGTTACCAGCGGCCGCGGGACTCATGGTGATGTAGTGGTCTCTCTCGCGGGGAGAGAGTGAGCTCGAGATATATTTGATCTACTCGCTCAAGTGTTGTGGCTCGAGAGTTGAGAGGGCGCCACCATTAAAACACTTGATATATCGGCTCGGTCTCTGGCTTATAACAGCTTTCTCTTATTTTCTTTCCGACTTCCTTCCTCGATCCGACCAGTGTCGTTGGGTGGCGTATCTGCAGGGAGATCGATCGACAAGGCGTAGATGCGGCGCTCTTTTCAAGAAAAGGGGAGAAATCTTGCTCAGCCTTGTTCAAGGCCTCGTGTTGAACCAAAGAACAAGCCAATTGCTCCCAGGAGTCACACAGAGAAAAGCTCTTCGGCTAACTCTGCCTTCTCAAATCGGCGTGCGCCAGACGGCAGCACGAGACACCGATGGAGAGAAGAGTGACAAGATCGAGGCCTCTGCAAATGGCTTTGGGCGAAGTAGACGGCTGGAGAGTCGGTCGAACAGCAGGAGGGGAGTCGAAGAGGAAGTGGGAAGAGAAAAAGATGAAGATCCAAGATGCGCAAGGAAGTTGCTGCAGCACCAAGTATCAGGTGCTAAGACAATATTAGTCGGACGCAATCCATGAACTAAGCATATTCGGATAGTGTGGTCCTCCGGGACGGCTTCAAATGGCAAGGTATAAAAAACTAGCAGATTTGGAGGTGGCACAAAGAGGATACACAAACACAGTACCTTACGTGGACTCCATCGAACTAAGCTACTCCATACGACCTATCAGGTAGCATCGCCATGATGCTAAAAATTACGAGTTACATGCTCCATCTTCTGCCATTACAGTCTTGACAGTATTCAGGCATCTCATGCTCATCTCCAAATTCCCCCAGTTCAGACTGTTCGGAGTATAAGGTCCCGTGCTAGCTCCGATAGCCCGCCGTGTTTCTGTCCGGGACGTTTGTCCAGCAAGGGAGGCGAATGTCTCTCTTCAATGCTATACTAGGTACTAATACTGGTTGGCAACTGACGGTACCTTCAAGCAAAGATCAACTCATCAATCGTGCAATCTGCGTGCGCAATTCACGCCATATTCCGCAATCCAGCGTGGGCTAGTCAAGTCATGGAAAATCCAAATAAAGACCAGCCCGCACGGCTGAACCGAGGGACAGGCAAGGGAAAATTGAAAATTTGTACAGCGCCAAGGAGGTACCACCGCCGATGGCGCGGCCACCCCCATCATGGCTCTGCATTAGCAGTTCTGGTAATGGATCCCTGTCTCGGCCCGGTTTAGCGGACGTGGTGGCGTGGAAGGCCACCGTTCATCCACTGGAACTAGTTTTTACAGGCGCTGTATCTCACTGCACTTCACTGCTCTCGCTGCTTCTCACTACTCCGTACCGAGTAAAGATTCGAACCAGTCTCTTTTGGCCCCCTCCACCATCTTCATCGCCGTCTTGTCTTGTCTCTCCCACGCTGATGATGCCGTTTTAGGTACGCCGAAGAATGAGGGGAATTCCCGCTGACTGACTGCTAAGAGTCCAAGGCCCGCGCTTCCGCCCTCTCTTTCTCCAACTGGCGCGCCGTGTTAGTCAGTCCTGCTAGACTTGGACCCATATCCATGTGCTCTTCAGCGGTGACCAGATGCCATCGGAGTGCGATCTACGGAGTCCCAAAACAGATAAAGGATGGAGAGCCGGAGAGAGGCGAATCAAGAAACGAGCCAGCTGTTGGGCAGGCCTGCGCCAGAATCCACACGTCACGCTGTCTTGTCTTACAAGGATTGCGTCCGTATATGCAGACATCTACGAGTACTGTAGCAAAAGGCGCGCCTAGCTTGACCTTCTGATATCATAATGGTTGCTCTGTATAATGAATAGCCGTCAGCCCATGTCCACGATGGATTTAGCCAGACGCCCTGCCGGTAGCATCTCCCCGACTATGTATGTACAAACAATAGCCAGCCTCGTGGGAAGCAGGAATCCCTGTCTGCACATCACATCCTTCGCTCAAGCGTCCACACCACCTTGGCGTCTGTGCGGCATCGCCCAACTAAAAATACAACCCCCATCCCAGCGGTTGACAGCAAGTCCTAACCCGACAGCAACGAGGTGTGGCCATTCCGTGCAACAATATTGGCCCCTTTGCCGCCTCACCGGCAAGCCACTGTATTATCGCCGGTGACGCCCATGCTTGTACTTTGATACGCGAGGTAACATCGGAATCCAGCACCCGTCGAGTAACAGAGTGAGTGGTACGGAGTAGAGTGGCCCAGATCGTTCACTGCAAGCAAACAGCCTCTCCGTAGTCGCTGCGCTCACACCGCATCCGCACCTGCGTCGGCCTCCGAATGCCGCTCTGTATATCTGCGACGAGATTTGGTCCCCAGCGGCCAAATGTCAAATCTCTCCCGTCTTGTCAACTAAGCAGTGTCGCTGGGAGTGTACGTCCACATGAAGCCTTTCCAATCAGGCTCGGAGTGGGCCGCAGTTGCAGCCCAAGGGACCTCGCCCTTCCCGTAGGCCTGCAGCGGCATGCTATATGGCATCCGAAGGCCAATGAGAGGCCTTTGTCCTTCTGTGAATGGCGATGCATCCGGGGTATCTGACTGGAACGAGCTCACCATGACCCCGTTTTCACTGAGCAGCCCCGGCCACACCAACACGCCAACCTCCCAGGAAGCGATTCGAACATCCCCGGTGGAATTGGGTGCCTCGCCCCACGCCTGTTTCGACATGTTTGCCGATGTTAGCAGGGCCCAGTCAATCGAATTGTTCTGGTTGAAGCGGGTATAAGTCTTGATGTGCGGGGCCGCACGGTTTCGCCCGCTATCGCCGCTAATAGTAGGCGGCTGTTCAAGAGGCCCTATTATCCAACGCTGTTAGTCCAAAACAGGCTCTCTCTCTTTCTTTTCTCCTGTAAGTCTAGCCCAATACTCCATCATCTCATCATATTAAAAAAACTACAAGGTAATTTATTCGCTAGAAGCGACATCAAGAGGACAAAGATAGAGACGAGTACTTGCCTGCTCCATTTGCACTGTCGTTGGCCCAGTGACGCAGCATTGGATGGAGATAGTGCAGCTGCCTGATATGCTGCGCCGATTTGATCTTGGTGTGAATGGATTGCCCCGAGGCGTATCCATCCAACGAGTTCCGGATCTCGTCTGCCGTGGGGAAGACGACCTTGAAGCTTGGCCTCTTCGTATTCTGGCTCCGGGTTGTGGCTAGCGTGTCAAACAACGTCTTTTGCAGCCAATCATCCTTGGCACCAAGAGTCGCAATAGAAGATATTTGAACCACGATTTGGGACTCTCCGGGCTCAACAGGCACGCCTTGTAAACATTTCTTCAACGCAGTCCAACCCCAGGTCGGGCTACTTGGATCATACAAGCTGTGTCTGCCCGGAACACTGGCTATCAGGGTTGCCCGTATGCTGGAGAAGTCGAAATTGAGGAGACGATCTACGAGCTGTTTGCAAGTAACCCTATGGGAGTCATATTGCATTAAGTAGGTCAATAGATCCGCCTTGAACTTCGCCCCACTGCCGATGGAAAATTGCTCTGCTTGCTGGAGCCCGGTATCCAGCTCCGGCATCCATGGGAGCTTTGGAGATCTCCAGACAGCGTTGGTCATGTTGGTCCAGTCTTTTGGAATCATGTTTGCTGTGTGGATGACGATTTGTGCGGTGTTGTCAGAGCGAAATAGTATCATCATCTTGGAGTGATGCGTCCCAAACATTTCAGGCATGGGCGCGCAATGCAGATGCACGTTGGGGTGTTGCAATGCGTGCTCCTAAATCAAAGTGAAGATGCGAGGCGACATCAGTCTCAGTTCAACTATGCATTCAGAATGGTAGAGTTCATTGAATTGTAAACAGGCAATGGGAAATAATAAGAATAAGTATCGAAAGAAAAGACAAGATGTAAAACTGCCAAGTGTATCTCTACATCCAGGGGAGCGTATCGTCAAGCAACGGCCACATACCGAAAGAACAACACGATTCAAATCATTTCTCTTCCAGAATCCGTGGACCACGTGTAATTGAACCGAGTCTCTGATGCGCTGATCAAAAGCATCCATCACGAAGGGGATGTCGTGAAGAAAGTTGAACTGCCAGCACTCGGTGATGGAGGGGTCACCCAGGATATCCTCCAGAGTCACGGTATCCTTATTCGATTCTTCCGGGACATCTCGAATTCTGATGAGCTGCCATGGCGACTTTTGTACAACCTGACGAAACCTTTTTCGAGGAGGACTAATGGGCCGTGAGAGAGATGCCAAAGCTCCGAATTCACTGCCCTCGTCAAAACTGCGCTGACGCTTGCGCGAGGAGTCCATGATCCTAGGGTAAGGCTGCCAAAACCGACATTGACTTGTTAGAGCTTTGTTTCCTTGGTGGCAGAGTGAAACGATGGAATTAATTGGGCTAGGGCGAAGATGCTGATGATGCATGAAAATGAGAGGGAAGAGAGCCCTGCAGAGGAAAAGAGGGAGAAAAAGGGCCGTTCTATGCTACTGCTGTGGTTGCAGTTTCAAATGCATCTCTCCTTCACTTTTGCCGTACCTTGATAGGTGAACATGTCGCATGTACCAGGCAACAACCGTGCACCTGCAACCGGCCAAAGGCCAATCAGCAGACGCCGTCAAGCCACAGCGCCTCAGTGTGGCGCTAATTTCTTGCAAACGCAACCACTTCGTTTCATGCTCCGTATTTCCAATCTCCCTTTATCTGCTCCTCCAGTATTGCTACTGGTCAGTAGTACCTAGTATATCGAACAACTATCTGGTACTATATCGTCTACGTCGAGGCCCTGCACTTGAGCCTTCACCTGGTCCTCGTCGCTGAACCACGAGCTCTCCAGGCACCGCTTGGGCTGCTCTGTCGCCACCAGCTCTGACAGACAGCATCCAGTCCCGCGCATGGATCAGCTCTGAACCCCGTCTCAGCACCCATTGCGATACTCTTCGCAATCTGGCTTTTTTGCTCGTGGAGCTGTCCAACATTACGTCGCAGTTTTGATTCATTGATTCTCAGCCTGTCCCTGCTCTCTTCCCGCCTACATTCACCCTCCCCCAGCACCTTCAAGGTCGCTCAGAAGTCAGCCTACCATGCGGCTGACAACCTTTTCTCTACTTTCTGGCCTTGCTGCCTTTGGGCTATTTGGCTCTTCGGCAGCTGCAGATGATAAAGACTCGACCGGCCCCGCGAACACATACTTCGACTCTGTTGCGGTGCCTCCGTTAATAGATCTGACGCCAGACAACTGGGAGAAGGAGGTAGGCAAAAGCAAATGGCTTCTTGTCAAGCATTACAGGTACAGTGGCCCTTCACCTACTCATATCATTATCGCTGAGTTGAAGCTGACATATTACCTGTAATTAGTCCGTACTGCCACCACTGCATTCATTACGCCCCGACCTTTCAGACAACATACGAATTCTACTATACGTCCAAGACTGAGGGAGCTGGCGATGCGACCTTTACCGATTTGTACGATTTCAGATTTGGTGTAGTCAATTGCATCGCCTACAGCGATCTTTGCGTTGAGAATGGCGTCAAGTTGTACCCTACCACGACTCTATTTGAAGATGGCAAAGAGGTTAGAAGCGTGACGGGTGGTCAAAACATGACCTTCCTCTCTGGCCTGATTGAGGAAGCCTTGGAGAAGACAAAGCCCGGATCTCGGCCCAAGACTCTCGCATTGCCTGAGCCAGGCGATAAAGAACGTCCAAAGTCTGAGCCAAAACGAGAGGAAGATGAAGAGGCAGCACCCAAAAGCGAAGCCAACGGGAAGCTCGAGGCAGCGCCCAAGAACGAGGCTGATGAGAAGAAGCTGGAGAAGAAGCCCAAGAAGCCTGTTGCTACACCAAACGAAGATGGAAAGTCAGTGGCACTGACAGCCGAAAATTTCCAGCGCCTAGTGACATTCACTTCGGATCCCTGGTTTATCAAGTTCTACGCACCTTGGTGTCCCCACTGCCAAGACATGGCCCCTACCTGGGAGCAGGTAGCCAAGACCATGAAGGGCAAGCTCAACATTGGAGAAGTCAATTGTGACAAGGAGTCGCGATTGTGTAAAGATGTCGGTGCTCGGGCATTCCCCACCATTCTCTTCTTCAAGGGTGGCGAGCGCTCCGAGTATGAAGGCCTCCGAGGACTGGGCGACTTCATCCAGTATGCCGAAAAGGCTGTCGATCTCGCCAGCGGCGTTCCCGACGTGGACCTGGCATCATTCAAAGTCATCGAGCAGAAGGAGGATGTCATTTTTGTCTACTTTTATGATCACGCCACAACCTCAGAAGACTTCAAGGCTCTTGAGAGACTTCCCCTCAGCCTCATCGGACATGCTAAGCTCGTCAAGACCAAGGATCCCGCCATGTACGATCGCTTCAAGATTACTACTTGGCCGAGGTTTATGGTCTCGAGAGAGGGCCGTCCCACTTACTTCCCTCCTCTCACCCCTAACGCAATGAGAGATACTAATCAAGTTTTGGACTGGATGAGATCGGTCTGGCTCCCCCTGGTCCCTGAATTGTTGGTAACAAACGCGCGCCAGATCATGGACAACAAGGTTGTTGTGCTGGGTGTCTTGAACCGAGACGACCAGGAATCTTTCCAGGGTGCGCTCCGAGAGATGAAGAGCGCAGCAAACGAGTGGATGGACAGACAGATTCAAGAATTTCAGTTGGAGAGGAAGAAGCTGCGAGATGCGAAGCAGATGAGGATTGAAGAAGCCGAGGACCGGGACGACCAGCGGGCTTTGCGTGCCGCCAAGGCTATTCATGTCGATATGACCAATTCTGGACGGAGGGAAGTGGCATTTGCATGGGTCGACGGTGTCTCTTGGCAGCGCTGGATCCGGACCACCTATGGTATTGACGTCAAGGATGGAGAAAGAGTCATTATCAACGACCAAGATGTAAGCCCCAAACCCTCCTTTTGATTGCAAAGGCTCTCCTTATGTTGAGAAAACCGATAACTAACCAATACACGCGAGCAGAACCGAAAGTACTGGGACACTACCGTGACCGGCAACTACATTCTCGTCAGCCGCACGTCCATCTTGGAGACTCTCGACAAGGTCGTCTATACCCCCCAGGCCCTCAAGCCCAAGCTCACCATCTCCTCCTTTGAGAAGATCTTCTTCGACATCCGCCAGTCCTTCACTGAGCACCCTTACCTGTCCTTTGGCTGCATCGTTAGCATTGCATTTGGAGTCTTCTCCTGGCTGCGTGGCCGAAACCGCCGTGGCCGCGGTCACTTCCGTCTCGAGGATTCCATCAGCATCAGGGACTTTAAGGACGGATTCCTTGGTGGTTCTAACGGCAACACCAAGGCCGATTAAGCGTACATCTATATATGGCAAAGCACGGCGATATCCGAATCTATCTTTTTCTATTTGGAGTTAATGGGAGGTGGGGGTAATATGGGTTTGGCAAAAGGGTCAAATGGAGAGGGCACACGAGGGCTTTTGATGAACCTTGACGAGGGGGGTTGGTGGTCAACTTGGCATTCAAAAGGAAGCTTGCAATCAAGCCTCTTCATCATGCATTGACTCATGGCTCTGGCGGGTTGAAGACTGCGGTGATGAGAGTTATATACCAACACCCGTCATAGCTCTAGTGGACGTGGGCAGGCAGGCTTCCTATCCCTTTCCCTCTGTGTGTATGTCTGGTGGTTATGGCAGTGTGCTTACAATCTCTTGTCTGCTATACGTATCAATTTTTAACTAGTGGCTTTTGTTTAAATTTTGTCGTTACTACCTTACGTTAATAATGTAAATGGCCCGTCAAATATTCATGCAGCTATCAGATCCTCTCATATAACCAAGCCTATGTGTACAATTCATCTGTGAGGCCATTCAGCGTCAGACCCTCCTCGGCAATATCCTCAACGTCGATGAGGAACTGAAGAGGCATGTTGACGAGGTTGCCACGAATGCGGCCCAGCCAGTCCTTCAACTCCTCCACGCCACCGGGGAACTCCTCGGGAACGACGTGGCCGTAAGGAACTTTGCCCTCCTCACCGTCCTTGGGCTTCTTGTCGTCTCCCTTGGCGGTAGGGATGATGAAGTGCTTTGAGAAGAACTCGTCGTAGTCGTCCCAGGTGCGCACGCGGTCGTCAGGAACGGGGTGGAACGCCCGGCTGAATACCTTCGTGTTTGTGTGTGCAACGTCTTCCCATAGATTCAAAAAGTCAGGGCTCAGGGGGTCTTCTACGAGCCTGTCGGCAGACGAGCCCCAGTCGTAGTCGTTGGGTGCGTCGGTCACCGGCAGCCAGTTTTGGGTTGGCTGGTCCCATCGCTGATCGGGGAGCAAGCCAAGGTGCTTGCGGAAGATTTGCCTTCGCAGAGAGGCGGCGAATTCACTGGCCGAGTACTGCTCGCCATTCATGTAAGAGTCAAGAGTAGTTGGGCCCTCGATCACCACTGCAATCTCAGAGTCGTGAGTTCCCAGCTGGGAGCGATCGTTCAAATTGGCGGAGCCGCAGATGACGAGGCGGTCGTCGGCAATGAGGAGCTTTGTATGGATATATAGCTGCTCGCTCACGAAGGCGTTGAACTCGTCTCCGGGGGCACCGTTCCATGGGATCTCGGAAATCTTGGGGCCGTTCTTCATATAGGCGGCACTCACTGTATCCCGAGTGTCATCTGGGACGGATTGGGCTTGGCGTTGATATCTATCGTAGTTGGAAGAATCCTCATCGCGTCGACTGTAGCGGTCTTCATCGCCTCGGTCGTAGCGATCCTGATCATAGCGGTCCTCATCACCTCGGCTGTAGCGGTCCCGGTCATAGCGGTCTTCATCACCCCGGCCGTAGCGGTCATCTCGGCCGTAGCGGTCTCGCTCATAACGCTCCTCATCGTCTCGGCTGTATCGTTCTTCATTGACGTAGTCATCGTGATATCTTCGCGCATCCTCATACGAGACGCCAGAGCGAGATTCTGCCTGCCGCAGAGTGCTGGATGTGTTGATGCGATCGTAGTTTCGAAGGTTGTAGAAGCCAATGTACTCCCTAGGGTTCTCGATACCGGCGGCGACAAGCTTCTGAATAATGCTGTGTCCACCCCTGCTGATGGAGTTATACTGGAATTCCATGATGGCTCGTGTTCCGAGGGCGTCCTTGGACTTCAAGTCTCCGGCGAAAGCCGGGACGGCGGGCATCACTACCCACACCTTGAACTGCTGACCTTCTTCATATGCTCGAACGATACGGTCAACTATGGCGGCTCCAATCTTGTTGGATACGGGGCGCTGTTCGTCGCTGGTGGCCGTGATGAAAAACTTGATGGAACCGTCAGCACGTGTTTTACGCTTAGCTGTCCTTCTGAATGCCTGGAGTTTAACGTACTTGGTTTTCTATGTAGACAAAGTGCCTGGCATTCGTTATAGCACTGACATAAGCATTTGCGATCGAGTGCTCTGTGGCATGGCCAGACGACCACTTGGTGCAGCTAGAATGAAGTTTAGTGAGGTTGGACTTTGCAGTTCTCAGATTATTTCGCCATACCTTCGTGTAAGCTGAATGCGAGCACCTCCCCTGCCACTGCGTCGGTCGTAGCTGCGTTCGTCATCGTATTCTTCAGAACGATGGGAACGATGAGAATGATGAGATCGATGACCTTCTGACAAACCAAGATTTCCCATTTCATCAGCAAGAGATTCGGTGAAGCGACTAAGCATGCCGCCGCCACCCCTTCGCTCTTCGTATTCTTGCTCTTCGGATCCCTCTTGTACATATCCCCGCTGCGATGGACCATAATTTCCAGGCATGCTGAGTCTTACGTACTTTCCGGGATCTTTTTCGTTATACTTGGCGTCATACATGAAGTTCCTTGTCTATGTTAGCTGGGCGAGGCTTAATGAAATTTGAGAACTGTCTCTCGTACCATCTATCAACAAAGTGAGAAACAAGATCAGACACGATGGGGCCGTTCATAGACAAAGCAACATCGGACCAGCCCATTCTTGAGCTCTTGGTTCGATCCACTATGCATTCTATCAGTATTCTAAGACTTTGGCTCTAGAAGTGAGGTGAATCTTACGCTGATTCTGATCCCAGTTTCCAACATCAGCAAAGTCGAAAATTCGGGCGTTATTGTAGTCTTGGCCGGGGAAGATGATGTTGTCGACATTTCCAGGGTGAGCATCTGCAATTGGATGGGCTGCACATCTGTGTTAGTCGGACTCTTTGACCAAGTTACAGTATAAATACTCACAATTAGTATCCCATCGTCCGAAACCTAGTTAAATCAGTTAGCCACTAAATAATCTTCAAAGCGAGGACCCGAGTCGGACGGAAGTCATACACAGATCAAGGCCACCCATGAAAACCAGATTACGGTCGACAACAAGGAGCTTTTCATGATGAGCCCAGTAGAGAACAACATCGTCTGCTGCACCGTAGATTGCCTTGAGAGTGTCCTTAGACATGGTTGCCAAATTAAAGTTTGTCAAATTCTTGAATGAGTTGCCAATTTCTGAAGCAATGTCGTATCCTGCGGGAGCGTGATCAGGATGACGGAAGACGCTAATGTTGGGGTGTAGCTTCTCAAGGGCATGCTTTGTGTGCTGTACGTATCGTCAATGAGCTATCATAGTCCTTTTCACATGATGCTGTGAAGGACATACCGCAGAGTCAAGAGTGAGAGCTGCCTCGACTTCTTTGTACACAATGACATGGACCTTGACTCCACGCTCGGCGGCAGCCTTAAGCATAGCGTCAAGGCGATACTGCTCGTTGCGAGAAGGAGGGCGACGTAGGTAGAGCTCAGGGCTCAACCACCAGTCGAGGATATATATGCTCTCCTGCGCCCCTGTGTAGAGAGGTGTTAATAAGGATTGCATTCGAATGAGACACCTCTACAGAAGCAGCAAGAAACTTACTTTGAAGGGCCTCGGACACGGCCCAAAAGTAGGAGCAGCCATCGACGAACCACTTGATGTTGCCGGATGAAGGAGCTGCAAAGGACTGGAATCTGTTGGCAGTGTGTTCCTCAGGGTGAAGCTCATCGCACTGATAGCCCGAGTGCGAATGAGAGTGCCTTTCCTCCTCTTGTCCACCTCCAAAGAAGGCTTCGACCTTGCCAAAGAGACCCATGATGCGGCTTTATGGACGGCCAGCCGTATAATGTGTTGCGGGCAGCACTAGAGTAAAGAAAGAATGGCTAGAGGATGTAAAAAGAGCTACAGGGCAGGCTGAAATCACGAGTGGCAGCTGAGAGAGTTGAGAGTTGAGAGTTTATGCTGGACAAAGGGGTCGATGAGGGGTGGCTTTGGAGCTGTCAGAAATGCCATGTCGCGTGTTTGCCGGAGGACTGCATGGCACGGCATCCATCGTATCACAGCCGCCGACAGCCATAGCTTGGCCCCGTTCTTTGTGGCCTCAGTGGATCGAAGCCATTATGCACGCAAGCACAGCCACTGGCCGTCAGTTTGTGCTTTGTCCGAATGGAGACGGGACGCCAGTTGATCAGTTCTGCTGCCAGCACAGTGAAGAGTGTCTCTTGGTGAGCTGATTGGCCGGCAGCTTGGAGGGGAGCATCCAAGTCTTCTCGATAGAGCCATAAATTTCGAGTTGGAGGGGTCCCTGTCCTTTCAAGATGCTGGGATTGCGGAGTGAGTGTGAATATGAAAACCCCCACTAACGATTGAAGCTGAGCTGGAGCTCCGAGTCAGATATGCGGGGTCCGGACAATGGAGCGAACCCCCTGGTCGATTGTCGTCACCGGCTTCAATGTTTCAACGACAGCAGCCGGGGTCACCCTGGAGCGACATTAATCACAGCGACCAGTATGAATATGAGCACGGATATGACGGACCTTTTGCTGCGCACCACTCTTTCAAACAGAAGAGTAAGTAATACAGAGTGGCCTAACAGCTCCGAACGCTGGCGGCACAAGGGACAAACTGTCCAACCCAAAGAATCTCTGCTAGACGTTGCTTAGCTTTTGTGATGCAGCAAAGCTTGTTGGATTTCAATTTACCTGAAATAGCATTGACATCGACGTCGATTGCTTCGTATTTGTGATTTGGTTAACTGCATTTTGAAGTGTTAGAAGGAAATGTAGCTGCAGAAACTAAAGTTGGGCCATCTACCATCTACTATCTTATCTCTGGGTGCTTTCCTCGACCTTCCTCTACTATCGCTACTTTCTTCCACCATCTCAACTTCCAACTACCAGGTAGTAGGTACTTAGCTGATTAGTCGTCATCACATGAACAATCTTCAGCCATCTACATACTTCACCGCCTACATAAATCCATGATGCCGGCACAAGTGAATAAGTGAATAAAGGCCAAAGATTCTAGTTCCTTGGAGTAATAAATAACGACTCCGCTGCAGACAGCTCTATTCCTCTATCTCAGGTACTCAATCAAGGCCAAGTACGGCTATCCGGTATGGTCCTTGATATTTTGATCACATGAAAACGCCTGCGAAATGCAGTAGCCAGAGACTACAGCGTTGGCCACATGATAACTCACACAGCAAGGATTGCAACTCACATCAAGGCAAACTCAATCAAATGCAACGAACTTGGACACCGCGTGGGAATCCATGTCCTACATCGTTAATGGGGTACGGTGCCTAACGGATAAACGGTGTACAATGGGGTGGACATAAAGGCACCCCTAAACTTTGTAGACCGTGTGGTGAGTCGTTGTTTTCTGGGGCCCTAGAATCTTCTGTCTCTTGACGGGTATCTGTAGTGATAACGCAGACACCCGGCTAACTTCAGTGAATGAATTGTAGAAGCAGGCACCCGCTGGAGTGAACTGATAGAGCTGGAACTATATAGCCACAGCTCAGAAGCTAGATGGCTTCAAAACAATACTGCACGTTTCTCCTACTTCAAGTTAAGTACTCATAGAATGTCTTCTCAAGTCTCACTTATACTAACAAGCTAACAGTTGGAAGTGTACAATATTGTACCTAAAGGGATCTTGTGTCTAGCCTCGACGCTCAACAATGTCACAACCAAGGAGCGAAATTTCCCCAGCCAGCCGATTGAGTGTGAATGACTTGTCTGGCTCATCAGCCGGGATGAATTGATTACCGAAGACATAGTCATCCACGAGAGTAGCGGCGACAAGTAGCCACAATAACTCTCATTCACCGTCGATGAACCCGAGTCCATCGAAGCAACATCCGAGGCCACAACAGATCCGTCTCAAATCGAAGCCGCGGGCACAATTTTGGCGCAAGCTGTCCAATTTCTCATGTTTGCCCCAACAAAGTGGTACAAAGATATCGGCTACTCAAAACCCAACAGAAACAATTACACAAGAGAGTATTCGACACCAAATCTGGCGGCAAAAAAGGGAGCTGCGAATACAGACTGTCTGTGTCACAGAAGAAGTTGACAACATGGCCGCGTAATTATCCTTCGTCCAGCCAACGAGACTAATCAGCCCCATATGGTGCGTCAATCTCATCGTCAATTTCGCGTTCGTCAAGAAGCTATTCGCCATTGGCTTCTCTTCTTACGAGTCACCCAGGATATCGAAATGTCCTCATTGACCAAGATCGTCTCAGCCAACTGCCCGTAAACGGCATTATCTCTGAGTCCAGCAGAGGCCACCAGAATCTTGAGACAAGACGACACCACGTGGGTACCAACACCGACGATGGAGGTGCTAGAGGAGACAGATGAGAACCAAAGCGCAAAAGCAAGGAAAAGGACAATCAGAGGGCCAGAAAACCCAAGATCGTCAAGCATAACAAACACACCCACCAAAACGCCACCATCAAGTTTCCGGACCACAACTCCACTGCCAACCATTACGGGAACCGGAGAAAGCCAGACAGAACGCGGGCGAAACAGGATGGAGAAACTGGAACTAGACCTCCAACTTGAAAAGCAGCTGCGCCAAAGGCAAGAACAAAAAGGTTGAAGAACAACGACTCAAAATCGAGCAACAACAACGCTAGATTGCATTCTTCAACTACCGTCAGCCAGGGGTTATTATCGAGGATACGGCTACTAATGCAAAACTTCCCCAGGATGACAATTACGATGGTACTGCGATGCCTAATCTTATCGCTACTCGAACTGAACTTGATCAACTTCGTGATCTCCTTGAGAACAAAGAGGTTCTTTCTGCCGAGCAATCTTCTTTTTAACAATTGCTCCATAAGAGTCCCCCGAGTCCAGCCCTCAGAGATATATTCGCATGCCTAACATTTGGTCGACGCCTATCAGCGAGTTTAATCGCTCACAATCATTGCTCTCTCTTGCATTTCCCACCCTTTATCCTAGGAATGAAGCAGACTTTGTGTATCCGCGTCTCCGACCAATTACAAACGGATATGGCAGCAACTGTCACAGCGTTGCTGAAAAATACGGCCTAGGAGATTGCATCCAATTATCATTCTGGAGTATCTGGCGTTATACCGACGAACTGCTACCAGAATCAACATCCGTACGAATCGAGTGCCTGGTACTCGCGATAATTTTCTCGGCTACTTCGATGTCGAATGACAAAAGCCGATTCCGGATGTCGCGGTAGAAGCAGGCCCAGTACACAGTGCCACCATAGACAGCATGAAAATTCCATTGCCTCTATTGGAGTCACCAGACGAAGGGCAAACACGGAAGCCTGCTGTTCCGTAGTGGTTGGAAGGGTTGCAACCCAAACCCGTGAACGACTCCAATACGGGTTTGATGACGCCGCAGAAGAACAAGTCAGAGGCAACAGCCACGGATGACGTTATTAGCAAGAGAGTAGCCATACATACTCTGTGTGCCGTATCTATTTGCGCCAAAGAAGAGCGTTTAAAGAACAACGGCTCAGACTTGCGGCACTCGGCCATTGTGGACAGGTCTGAAAGAGATAACTCAAGAAGCTTAGGATGAACTCTGAGCTTTTGCGCATACCCATAACCATTATTTTTGGGGGACCTAGATGATGCGCATGCCAAAATCTCCAAACAAGTTACCAAGTACACTTCATTACCTAGATAATTAATAATAACGAGATGTCCGGATTCTGCGACACAGGTGCCTCGCCATAGTCAGTGTAACAATTTCTAACTAAGAATCCTGTCGCAGAAAAGGGACTTGGCGAAGTGATAAGGCCAACTCATACGCTCGAATTAGTCTTCAATAGACAACCGACACCCGAGGATTCTGATATCGATTCAAGCTGCCGTCGTTTTAATATTAAAAATGGCACTTACTGAAGTTGTACCCTGATGATAACATTGAGCCGCTCAAGCCGCATCAAGTTGCAAATATTTCAAACCCATGGCACCTTGCAAGATATCGACTCCCATTGAGCAGACTCAAACTACAGTTTACGCTACCCAACACCAGCTGATACTACCTATCTATTATCTGTACCTGTCTCTAGGATTACCTGGATAGGCACATCCGCCTCCTTATCAACTTGGTCTTATTGCTAAACCTTCGACATATCTATGTCTAAAATTTCACATACGCGAAGGAGGACGCAAATTTCATAACAAAATATGCGAAAAGGTATCTCCAACGAGTGTACGAACGCGATGTGACGAAATACGGGTATGAAGGAAAGATTCGCTCCCCTCTCCCCCCAGATGAAATTCGCTATTTCGGGAACAACCAACCCCATAGCAAGTAACCGCATACACAAAAAATGAGGTAAAGGATGATATGATGTGGGTGCACTTCTGCTTTCTCCGGAAACTATTCGGACAACACGCGTGCTCGAAACAATCATGACTCAAAGATGTCGTGAGACTACAATCGTGGATGAAGGACGATGCACCGGGGGACAGTATCCTAGCAGATATGACGGTAATCTTTCAAGTAATGGCCAGAATTGGGTATCCGAATCACCGCGAATGGAAAAGGCAGAGATCCGGATATTCTCATACCATTAATATAGCTGGACATGTTGCAGTGGTGGGAGTGGGAGCTCGGACGGTACTTGCGTGGACCCTGATTGTACCAACGTTCTCTGCCCTCGATGTGATACAACTGATCATTAGACAACGCTACCTGCTACTATCGCTGCTTTATTCTAATATCTGTTGCTATAAACACTGCGACAACTGGAGGCACCTTGTGTGGGTTAACGGAACCCCTTTGATGCCAAATCTGCAAGACATTCTTTCCCCACTGCGACTTATTTGGCCTAAATTTCGTCTTAAAATGCCATTTCTGTCGTCTACCAAAGTCGACTGTATGGAGGGACTATGGAGGGATGACTACGATGCTCTGGAGGAATGGACAATCTTTGCTGATGGTCATAAAACCCGGGGAATCCTTTCAGATATTTTTCTCCAATAGCAAAAGAACTCCCTGGATTTACAGAGGCTCAAAAAGATTTACATGGATGCGAATGTCAAATCATGGTAACTGAACCCCTTTCTTGTGGAATCAGTTAACAAGTAGACAGAATGGTCCTCTAGCTTTGGGAAAAGTATAATATCAGTGATCACGCGCATTGTTTCACTTAGACGACGCTGAGATTGCGTTTTGTGTTGCCTGATGGTAGCGTCTGTTTCCCAGCCGCTGATCTGTTGCTCATGATACTCTCAACAGAAGAACTCAACTTCGACAACAGCCGCAGGGCTGTTGTTTTGAAACTTGGTCGTGACGCGGCAAACAACTCATTTTTGGCAGCGGCGGACGTGCCTCAACCCTGATGTTATTGCACCACCAGAACGACTCGGAAAGTTGGTCTGGTTAACTGCCACCAGCCGTGTCGGGACAAGTAAACCCGAAGCCATCGACAAACCCGAATAGAACTACCTAAATCACGAACTACAAAAGTAGAGTCTATAAAGTTTCGCTGAAACTTTCCCATGGTTTGGATTGGGACAACCAGATCCATAGCCGATAGTAGCAATTAGTAGAGAAAATAGTGATAGTAGCAGATACTTGAAGAACCAGGTAGCCTTTCCAAACGCCATCGATGCCTTTGCCGCAAATATTCCTCATGTTTGAATATAAAACCTTGGGAATTTTGCCAGTCAAATGTGAACTTAGAATCTGTTGACTTTTCTTCAGCTGTAAGATTAGCCCAATTTTCCGACTCCAGTCGGGTCTGCACGACAAATCTTGAAAATAGGGCCTCTTATTCGACCCTAACTGAAGCAAGATTTGCCGCCGTATTCCACACGAGGTCAGAGTATATGGCCTCTTTTAAATATGAGCCCATAAGAAACCTGCTCGTATGGTTTGAATAAAAAACAATTTGCGAAATCTCATCTTTATCATAGATAATTAAGAAATATGGTTTACTAAAACCCTTAGTATTTCTTAAGGTAAAATAAACTTTCTTTATTTTATTGAGGGATCGTCTCGGAGGCGTTTTTCGAATGTATGGAGGGCGGATTGGCCAACGAGAATGACTATTATAGTATCCATCTGCACATGTTCGACGCCTACTGTAAGCAGATCGTCTTTACCAGCCCGCCGGAGCAGTCGTCGCCGCTGCTGTTCAGTCATTGTCTGTGAAGCTCGATAATTCGCCAGTGCCTTTGACATCTTGTCCATGTTTTTGCCAAAGACGTTGTCCACAGTAGAGTAAAGAATCTTGATGTTGCGACAGTCATAGACAACAAGGATTCCTTCCTGGTAGGTGATGAAATTTATTGTCCCTTCAAGTTCACGCTCAGATCCTTTGCATCTGGCCGTCAATGGATCCCATACTTTTTAAGAGAGCTGCACGGAGACGCCACAGGCAATCCCGGGCTCTCTACCCGCCGAGTCGTCACAAACGGCAAGGGGGTTGCGTTCTAGCGCTTTACGCTTTACAGGTAGCCTCCCAGGGCGCCCTGCAAGCCGCACCGTTGCTAAGGCCGCAGACAACATTAGCTCTCAACTGACGTACTGTCTCATGCAAGGTACTGAAATTTCGTCGAGGCGCCGATTATTCAATTATTGCCTCCATCAAAGCCGATAACGGGCACCGCGTCAAATCGCTCATAGACCAATTCGATTTCGAGGGATACGAGTGTACCATCTATAGCGACTCGATACATCGCCCAGCCCATCGATCTGTCTTTTAGCTGTTGCCAAGCTTGTCAATTCCGGTGTTTACACAGCCCGGCGAAACGACAACAGTGACATCAGACGCTGGGTGAGTGAAGTCTTTCGAGGCCTCCGTTGAGATGAGCTGCTGCGGCTCACAAAGTTGTTCCCATCTCGTCACATCTCAATTTCTTGGAGATTGTCTTTTGTTTTGTGTTCAGGAGAAGCAAAGATTTAGCTTTTCCACTGCATGAATTTTAACGCTGACAATATAGCCTGTATAGTTTTTGCATTTTCAACGCCCATAATTTACAGGGCGTCGATTCTCTGTCAGCCTGGGCGGAAACACAGACGTCTGGTATTTGTATCACATTATCTGCCAGCACATCCCCCTTGCAGAGATCACAAACGTCCGTCGTTGTTTGCATTCTTCTTTACATTCTTTTGATCGTCAACTTCTCTCCTTCATACCTGCTATTTCAACAAGATGCCTGCTCCCGGTATCGTCGTCCCCTTCGACATCTCACTACACTCGCATCTCACTCCTTACCTGGCCGCGATTCACGCATCCTGCATCACTCACGACCACACAATAGCCACATTTCTTCTACCACTATCACATGAGAAGCTGTTATCCTGGTGGAAGGAGCGGATTGCAGAAACAAACGATGGGAGACGATTGATGCTGCTCCTGGTGAGCGAGCTGGATCCAAGCGGCCGTATCAAAGGGCCGGAGCTCATAGGTGTCGTCATGCTATGGATGCCATACTCAGAGACGGGGTCATTTCGAGGCTATGTCGAGAAGCTGCTCATCCACAAGCATCACAGGGGGAAAGGCGGCGCGAGGGCACTGATGAGTGCGTTGGAAGCAGAGGCCCTGAATCGAGGCCGGACATTGCTGGTAAGTCGCATTGATGAGTTTTGAGTCTACTGATGCGAAGAAACCAGCCTTGTGCTAACGCTTCCCGTTGCAGCTGTTGGATACGGAGAGTGGCAACCAGGCAGAAGCAGTCTTCAGCAGGCTGGGATATACAGAGCTGGGCAAGGTTCCGGGATATGGCATGAGCCCCGCGGGAGGATTAAAGGACGGCACGTTTTTCTACAAGACTCTTGAGCTGTGACCTGAAGATGTTTAGCGGATCAAGGCGTGCTGCTACTGAGTAATGGTAATACAGCTTCAATGCCTGGAGGCTGGACTGGGCGGTGATGCCCGCGCCGCAGTTGGAGGAGCAAAGGCAAACCAGCAAATGGCGAGTGTCCAAGGTCGCATCCTGATGCCACGTGCGTGCTGCCATCTATGCAACTGCATACAGGCTAATGCGAGATGATTGCGTAGCTGGTGAGATATTGACTTGGCAGCGGCTGAGATTTTTGCCCTCTCTGGGGGGCCTCGGTGAGAGAAACAAGAAAGAATGGGATTGTATGAGAAAATAGAATTTGAGAACGGAGTAGCATGGGGATTTTCTTTTTAAGCTTGGAATATTATTTTTGACGCCATTTGTATGCTTAAAAAGAGACATTGTTTGCATAGATAGTAGGCTCACGGGCAAAAACATCATCTTCCTTACCGTGAAAACAAGGACTAGAATCCATGTAATACCCTTAAACTTTTACCAACAATTCCAAGTGACATATCCTTCATTCTCCGCTGAGAATCACAAATCCTCGCAAGAGGCGGAGAAAAACAAGCTTACTCGCTGGCACAACATGCTTCTTTCTATGGCGGCGGCGAGCTATCAAAAGTTCCGAAAACGCCCACCTTCGGAGGACGCCGCGGTTCAGTTGATCCCTGTCCACGCAAAAAGGCACTTGCACCGAAACAATGAATCAAATCGCAAATCCAACGTCGTATTATCACTTATTGGGTAGTGCTTCTCAGCAGAATTACAAACAATTCGCTGCCCTCCTCCCAAGAAACCAACCAAAAGCGCCAGTCCCAATCTGGCGCCGAAGAACAAGCTGAAGCTCATGATATCGCTGCCCCGGCCGCCCTTTGCTAGACTGGGGGGCCCCTCGGACCTTTGCTCGATATGGCATGTCCAAAGGGCTATTTTGACAATCTTTTTTTTTCTCTCCCTCCTTCTGTCTTGCTTGACAAGGGCCCGTGCAGGTCCGTCAATGGCGGACTGTCGGTATAGCATACCGCTTTCTGCAAGTCCCAGGTCCCGTTCAAAGTGCTCCGGTAGGCAGTGGAGGATCGTTTGCATGTACATGTAGCCAAGACAGACCGGGATGAGAAGCGGTTTGACGTCTATAAAGCCATGGGTGCGACTTAGATGTGGACGATCTTTTTCTTCTTTTCCTTTCCCTTTCCTCAGCTTGCTTGCTCGTCTGTCTTTCGAGATTGAAGTTCTAGGAATCAATCAGTGTTTAGTCAATTCCGACGTCTGAAGCCATGTATCGCAACACTTTGGCTGTGATTGCAAGCGCCCAGCTTGCCGCTGCTGGGCTGTACCCCAACATGACACCCGACAACCACACCTGCATCTTGAGTATGTTGTTTCTATGATTTAGTATCAATTGAATGGTATGGCTGACTTTTATGATAGCTGACCCCGTCTTGTCCTGCTCCGAAGGCGCAGTCGCTGACAAGGTTGATTCTTGCTGCACCGAGACTTTTGGAGGACTGGTGGTATGTCTAACAACTATCTTGCACAATTGTGCAACGGCAAAGGATTTCGAGTTCAGTTACTGATTCGATCGATTTCTCCAGCTCCAAACTCAGTTCTGGGACACCAACACGGGTCTCGAAGGCATCGGGCAGCTGCTACCTCCCTATACCTGGACCATTCACGGTCTCTGGCCTGGTAAGTATAAGCTCAATGTTTCTAGTTGTGCCATCCTGATTCTGACCGTGTCAATTAGATTTCTGCAACGGCAGCTACACTCAGTACTGCGATCTCAGGTGTGTCCATGCTGCTATCAACTGCATTCTACCAAGCAGCATCTGACCGTCGTGTAATAGCCGCCAATATGATCCCAGCCCTGCTCCCAACACCACCAATGGCAAGCCTGACGGCACCCCTGTCCCAAAATATACGGGAGAGTCGATCGAGGCATGGTTCGAGCCGTACGGAAAGATGGATCTCCTTGCCTACATGAAAAAGTACTGGATCAACCAGTACGCCCCCAACTGGGAGCTCTGGGCCCACGAGTTCTCCAAGCACGCCACCTGCTTCTCGACCTTTGACAAGGAGTGCTACGGACCCAAGGCCAACGAGCACGACGACCTCTTCCAGTTCTTCGAGACCGTCATCTCCTACTACAAGGTCCTCCCCACCTGGGGCTGGCTCTCCGCCGCCAACATCCGCCCTTCCAACACCACCTCCTACTCCCTCTCCGACGTCCAGGATGCTCTGACCCTTGGATACGGCGCCGTCCCCTTCATCGGCTGCGGTGGCCCCAAGTACAACCAGACCGAGGCCGGCAAGGGATCTCTCGACAACGGCGGCACTCAGCTCAACGAGGTCTGGTACTACTACCACGTCTATGGCTCTCCTCAGCGCAACCAGGGCCTGCGAGTCCCTGCTGACATTGCTGGCGGCTCGGTATCGTCTTGCGCAAAGACTCCTGGTGCTATCTGGTACTATGAGCGTGCCGCCGGTAGCGAGACTGCTTAAATCAATGCATGGATGAAAATGTAATGTGTCAAACGTGGAATGAAAACGGCCCTGTCCATAGATCATACATAACGCCCGCTCCGCAATGGAGCATTGTGAAATAATTCTAATTTACCAATGAAATCCTCTTCGCCTTTTCCCTCGTCCACTTTCCATCAAACATCACAAGCAGCTGTGCCTTCGTAAATAAGCAGCAAAGGCTCTGATAATGCTCGGATAGGAGTGGCCCACGCAGTTATTTTCGTACAAGTACATTTTCGCTCCCCCTTCACTCGTCCGCCAGCTCCTCCACTTTGGGTGCCTCGTAAACCTTTGGCTCTTGAGGTGCCACATCCACCTGTGTATCCGTGCCCGTGGTCGTGGCAGTAGTCGGTGCCACCTGTCCAGTAGCCGCAGCCATGACGGAGTTTGCCGCAACAGCCTTGGACTTCTTCTTCTTCTTCGGCTTCTCGGTCTAGAAGGCTTGTTAGCGCTTTGTCCAGAGATGATAGAGGTGAAGGGGGCACCAAAAGAGAAAAGTCTTACCTCATGCCAAGCCCAAACTGGTCGGAAACTGTCCATGAAAGAGACGTCTTCCCAGAGGTTGGGGTAGAGCCAAAGTCCAGGGGGCACGGCAAAGTACGTAATGCAGAACAGAATAACACGGAATATGGCCATGGCGAAGAAGAGACCAAGAAGACCCAGCATGCCCCAACTCAAGTAGTACACTCCTTGTCGAAGGACCAACGGCCACAGAGGGTACAGGACAACGGCGAAGATGATGACAAGGGCAAGGGCGGCATACAGCTGACGCTTGACCTGGCTTCCCTCCCAGAGCCACACGTAGTACATGTCGTCTCTGGCCTCTTGCTGCTGCTCTATCCTAACATTCCACTGGCCCTTGACACGCTTGGGCTTCTTGCCGTTGGGGCCGGGTTGGGGCTCGAGCTTGGTGACTCTAAGCGCAAGCATGCTGAGGGGCAGCAGCTTAAAGGTGTTCTCCAGAGAGGCTCGGTCGGTGATTTCTGGCAACAGAGGGTTCTTCTTTCGAGCCTTTTCATATGCCGGAGACTGCAGCGCTCGCAGAGCACGCTTGACTATTGATTCGGTAAGCATCTATCAATGAATTGAGATTTGGCAGGGCACAATGCGGCACTCACCCTTGAACATGTCTTTGCGCTCGCCATTCAGAATCGAGGTACGTGGCTTCAAGTCCTGGCTACGCAGAAACTTGGCGACGGCAAGTCCCTTAGGGTTGGGCGGGCCGGGAGTAATGGGCTGTGGCTGGCCCTGCTGCTGATGAGGATGCGGGTGAGGGTGCGGATGAGGGTGAGGATGGTTGTGGCCTTCGTGTCCTCCTCCCTGCTGTTGCTGCTGCTGCGCTGCGGCCTGTTGCATCTGCATCTGGCGCATTCGCGCAAACTGCTGCTGCTTGATGTGCTCGATAAATTCGGGCACAGTCATGCCAGCCTTTTGGGCATCTTCAGCGATCTTGCGCTGGATCTGCTGGATCTGCTCGGGCGTGGGCTGCTGGCCCATGAAGCCAGGACCGGGCATGGGCATACCCATCGGCATTGCGCCTGGAGGCGGCTGCGGCGGCGGCGTGGCCATGGCGATGTAATGGGTTGGCGAGGATTAGAATTAATAATTGACAAGTCCGGGTCGAAGCTCAAAGGCGCAAAGAGTGTCGAGGAAAAGGAACAAGCTTGAGAGAAGCACGACTGCGAATGTGTCGGCCTTGGAAGAGTATTATAAAGCGAATGGGAGAAACTTGCTGTGGGCGACTGCCATCTCGAGGTCACTGCACTCAAATGGACAGATAGCAATGTGTTCACTTTCACCTGACTGGTGGACCGGATCGTTTATTCCCCGATTTCCGCGCTATCCTCCAGTTTGGCAGCTGCTTGTGGCTCCGTATTCTTAGCACTGTAATCCGCACCGTACCGGTAGCTCTCACGCATCCCACTTGCGCGATAGCCTTATTGGCACCTCTTTGCATCGTGTATCAGCCTCGCAGCTATTAGGTGCTACAGTATTTACGGTCGAAGCATTGCAATATGGGGGACCGACTCACGCAGCTGCAAGATGCAGTTGATCAGGTATGTTGTTCTATATGACAGCGCCCCGACTTTCCATTGAAGAGGAGCTCCGTTGGCTAATGGAAATTCATCTCCAGTTCGCTCAGCAGCTCGTGGCTTCTCTGCATTTCGTCCATATGAGGCACGATCTCGAGCCATTGGGCCCGAAGGACAAGATCCGCGAGCCTAAGGAGCAGGTACCAAAAGAAGGTACGAATAACTGCGGATAGCTGCGTAGTGGTTGGCGGTTGGCTCATGTGAGCATGCACTGATGGTTTCTATAGTGGACGCACTCCCTCCCCAAGATTTCCGAGCCGGCCTAGTCGAGCTGGCGCGAGACCTGATCGTGAAAGAACAACAAATCGAGGTGCTCATCTCCACATTACCCGGCCTCGACAACAGTGAACAAGATCAGGAACGACACATTAAAGATCTTGAGGAAGATCTAAAAACGGCCGAGGCACAGCGGGTGGAGGCCCTGAAAGAGAGAGATCACATTTTGAAACAGCTGGACTCCACTATACGTATCATACGGCGACCATGAACCATGAATGTTTCTTTTAATCGACATGCTTTCTTTTACTTGGTAGCGAGGCGTTAAGGATACCTAGATATTGGGTTATGGCTGGCTGATGGCCAGGATCACAGTGGCCAAAGCTTGGGAGACGGTTATTGTGTAACATCGCGAAAAGGAATAACATTTGATTGTATTTCATGTCCAATCTGTACCTGGTCATCCCCTCATAAATTTCATCCTCGAAATCAGCCGTGACTTCTTAGCACATTTTGAGATCTAAGAGATTTCAATATCTACGAACTCATGGTTGATTTCGAAGAGATATTTGGGAGGGTGTTGCCAGTTTCAGATGAGATATGAAATAAAGATATTCGCATGGTATCTACATATAAATCTTGAATTCATCTATGTAAGCTATAACGACATCTCCCTCCTCTTCTAGTAAATTGTAACTCTCAGCGCCGCTTCTATCTATACCATCCAGGGTACAACCCTCTAAGCAAATGGCTTTACACTCTTTAGGAGCTCTTGAAAAATTGGGGATAGACTTGTCGCAGCTCTCGCAAGTGGCGGATCTGATACTGTGATGCTTGGACTTCTGGTTGTGGGACATCTTCTTCCACCAAGTGCGCTGCCGTCCAGCCCAACTTCTTTGCAGCGGCACAGTTTGCAAAACTGTCATCTGGATTCGGATGTTAGAGATTGTGGATTCTTCATTCACAGAGATTGGCCACAGCCGTGAAGCAAAAAGGACAGCCGTACCAACAAAATAACAGTCTTCCACTCTTTCCACGCCAGCGTGTTTCATAGCTTTTCGGTACATGTCTGGGTGAGGCTTGCAGACCAGGGGCATCTCGGCGTAGTCGCAGAATGTAAGACCCTCAAAGAGGTCGTCAATGCCGAGCAACTTGACGACTCGCTTGCCGTGGGTGACATACGCATTCGTGAGAAGCCATACCTTCACCTTGCTTCTGTCGATATCCTCGAGCAGCTGACGCAGCTCTGGGTTGGGCTTGATGATTCCCTCCAGGGGCAGAGCGTCGTCGACCTTGGTGTTGTACTCCAGAGGGTCAATCTGGTGGTGACGGACCAGTCCTTCGATGGCCAGACCATAGTTTTTGTAGTACTCCTGGTGTAGTTTGACAGCATCGTCCCAGGGGAGGTTGAGATGCTCTTCAAAGTACTTGTCAATCAACTCCGCCATGAGATCCTGTACTTTGCTACCTGCCACCTAGTTAGACTACGATTGAGTCATGAGTGATATTGATCCTTACTCCTTGGGTAGAGACAGTTGTCAATGTCGCTTGAACACCGTTAGAACTACTGCTCTCATTATCTGTGACGACGATTCACTAACAAGAATAGGACCGGTTTCCCGGGGTTGGTGCCATTGGGAACAGTCATCTTAGTGAGAAAAGAGGAGGCCGGAGATTGGTGAAATGCTCGCGTGGCGGTACCAGAAAGTGCTTGCGAAAGAAAGCCGATGTTCTTGTTGCTAAATGAGGGGCGGGGTTTAATGGCTGACCGAACTGTAAGAGAGATGGGAAGCCTGTATAAACGCATCCGGTTCAGAATGTGATGAAGAGAAATAGATCGGATCTGTCCTAAAATAAATCGAGGCTTGATGACTCTTCACCGGTACTAATGCCCGGCTAGCATGCTGCTAAATTCAGCAGCCAGCCATCTTGCGCCAAGGCAGTGGCTACATTAGGCTTGAGGTCGCTGAATAATTTGCCGCTTAAAGACAGCAACCGAATTCGAATTCTTACTGTGATGAAATATTTAGTATCAATTTGTATAGTTGTATAATTTTGGCTTGTCTTTTGGAGTAGCATTCGACACACTCTAGCTCTGGTTTCACCGTACTGCTAGGTAATCATTCATCTCTTTCAGCTGCTAATCTACGGGGAACATTCATAGCAAAAGTCCCTAATACACAACCTCAACCCTGTCCAGATTACTGGGAAATTGAGAGTGAACTGTACTGCATTGCTGATATTCCGAGTCTCAGTTATTAAACGCCAAGTGAGGAAACTCAACAATATACCCGGTGATATATGATGGAATTACTTGGTATAAAAGCTTCTAAGCACGATAATGCCTTTGGGAGAGGGATGAAGCGTTTGACACTAAAGTGCATCAAGGCGGTAGCGGGGAGCTCCAAAGACTAGCAGGTACCCTTGTACCTGGACTGCCCCACTCTAGTAGAATTCTGCCCAAAACGAACCCTGTCACCACCTCCAAATTATTTGGCCAAACCAGCCCCAAATATCCTCCCTATTCCAACTTCCATTCTATTGTCGTCACTCTAGGCATCAGCACATCTCGATCACCCACTATGATCGAAGCATCAAAGAATCGCACGGCTGATTGTGTATTCTGAAGAGCGCCCTTGTAGCTTCTGCCAGGAGCCGCCCTTGAACGCTAAGCGCAACGTCTTCGCGTTTCCCACTGCGCTTTGTTGACGCGGCAATCCTTTGCTAACTTTAGGGAGCAACTGTTTGCTATGGGTCCGGGAGACAGCGGCCTGGCCGCCCCTACCCGCGCAAACGCATCTGCATCAGCCAGGTTGACAGAGAAAGAAGCGAAAGAGATTGAAGAATACGAGAAGATTGTGCGATTTCGCGATGCCATTCTCGCGGGAACCCACCCAACCATCAAGCTCCCTCCCGGCCTCAAGGCCTCGTCCCACTCCATCATCAACTATGCGAGACCGCCATCAGAGCCTGGCGAAGTAGACACAAGGCCTGGTTCTCTACAGCAATCTGCTGAGAAAACTCAGAGCCAGAACCCCAGCTTGCTACGGCCTGTAGCTGATGCTGGCGCCACCGCTGCTGATTCTCGGCATCCAAAGCCATTTGCAACTAGGACGACCGAGATCAATCCCATTCTTCTTGAAAAATCTGACGAGCTCGTTAGGGCTGAAATTCAGCTACAGAGGCAAAGAATAGAGCGGTCTCTGAGAGACGACATCGAACAGCGTCGAGTCTCAAAGCAAGTGCAAGCAGAACCAGTCAATGAGTTTGACCTATCCGATGTACTCGCAAAGGCTCTGACTCTTGTTCAAGCCACTACTATACCCTTTGCCGCCAATGGAGGCTTGATTGCTAATCATGAAGCTGCAAGTGATTCTTTTGACGATAACACCTTTTACTCCTCAAAGCATGACACGCCCGAGTCCAATCTGACTTCGCGCGTGCGCCGATCAACTGATGATGCCATGTTGATAGATGGCCGCAGGCCATCTCAGCCAAGCCTTCACGAACCCACAGACTATGGTAATAACACGGCAGCTTCTACGAATAGTTACCATGCCGCCGCCCCTCCCTCTCAGCCTCCATCCCAAACCCATGCTCCGATGGCGAATGTTGTCGCGAGTAGACCCGAGAAGGTGCGGGTTCCCGGGCTTCATATACTCGCCAACAGTGGAAATCCTCCAGTTACCCAAGGCCCTGCCCCTACAGAACCGGATCGGGTATTGCAAACACGGTCTCGAGGATCTGAAAACGACGAGTCCCAGTATAATCCAAATCAACCTCTGCTGCCACGTCCCCCCGTTATTCGGAATCATGACTTGATACCCGTTGCCCCTCAGCCAGCAAAGATAACACCTTTGACTGTAGTCAATGTGCAAACCCCCATCGTCGATTCGGGCTTGGCTGAATCTCGTGGTACGTCAGTACATGAGGCGGCACTCCGAAACGCGCCCTTGCCTGCAGGTGCTAGCTCCGACAGCTCTTCGCAGGGCGCGAGGGATACAGAGAGGAGAAGAGGAAAGAAGAAGAGAAAGGCCGATCGGCAAGCGCCAGAGCTCGAGGCCGGGCCACGTATTAAAGTTGAGCCTCGTTCACAGTCACCACCCTTGACAGCCCCAGCCTACACCAGACCCAGCAAACGCCAGAGACAGTCTCAAGGACATGCTAATGAATCTGGACAATCTGAGTTGAGATATGCCCAGCCTCCACCAAATGCTTCTTACGAGCAGCCGTTACAGGTGTTTCGAGGTGACCAAGCTCCCGTGGCGTACCAAGAACCCGGCCCCGCGCCATACCTTGCTCAATCCGCCTCGAGCTCTAATATTCGTGGTGAGCCAGTTGGAGAATTGAGTCGCAATGGGAATTTCTCCGGTAATGGTCGTTTGTCTGGTGAGAGCTATGTCCGCCCTCTTCCCTCAGGCGAGAGCTACGTACGTCAGCCTCAGCCTCAACCTCAACCACGGGATGTGGTATCATATCACCATCCACCGCCTAGAGAGATTCACGGCCCTGCCGCAGTGCCGCAAGTCGTTGCATATGACTCATCTCGGGAGCCCATACGCATCTATCGGGAGCCCATTGATGGACCCCGCGCGAGCGTACGCCCAGAGGGTGAGTCTTTCATAATCCCCCCACGGCCACCAACACGGGTCACGTATGATTCGTATGGGCGGGAGTATGTCGAGCCTGTGATACCCTCCGGCCGGCAATCTGTTACTCCTCTACCCCGACCCGGAGAGCCGGAAGTGATTTATGAGCGGCTGCCATCTCGACTTTCATCAAGCAACCTCGGGGCTGGGCCCTACAACGAAGGCAGTGTGGTATATGCCAGACCACTGTCGGTCTACGATCCAGCAAGAAGAGTATATGTATCGGAGCCAGAGTATCCTTACGACCATAGGGATGGTCAGTATCGTGAACATCAATTACAGCAACGAGGATACATTCAGATTGTGAGGTCTCATGATGGCAGAATCATCGAGGAGCGGCCGGCAGAATACGTCCCACGGCCGACAAGCTACCGATCATCGCGGTTCGAGCCTGTTCCACCATACATTCGCATGCATAGCACACATCCCGATGCTGCCGGCAGAGAGTATAGCGGGAGTATCCACATGGATGGTCGTCAGCCAGAAGGCCCACAGCCCTATGCCAGAGAGTATGCTGGTAGCCCCATGCAGCGAGCTGCAACTGTTCATCGGGAGTACAGCATGCGACCCCCTGAACGGTACCATGAGCCGCACAGAGGAGCTACGAGGGGATCGGATGAAATCGCCTTCATTGAGCGGCCTCGTGGAGCATCGCGGGAAATTGTGTACGTGGATGACGTCAGGCGAGAGGTTTATCGTTGAGCAGTGGCTATGGAGAAGAAGTTGATCGGAAAGGAGTGGTTACTATATTCGACCGCTCTGTTTGCAATTGTATAAGTTCTTGTATGAGTACATTTCATAACGGCACAAGGGACCAGGGACACGGAACATCGGATTAGGGATTCGGAATCAGGCGATTGGCACAACAGGAAGCCGGTATACCATGGACGAGTTGATATTTGCTTCATTTCAGGCAGACGGGAAGTCTACGGCCTAACCGAGGTCGTGAGTACGGGGTATTTACTCTGGCATTGTACAATGAGCTATTAAGTCATATGGAAGTCAATCTGTCAACCATACCTACCTAGGAGGTAGATGTTGCAGTTTTAGAAAATGTACAAGTGGTTTCACAACTGTGTTCCCCCTAAGAAGTAAGCTAAGAGAGTACGAATGTGGATGTAAAAGATAAAGCAGCCAATGACTCAGGTTATAATCAGGCGAATGGGCATATGCGTTTTCCTACTGATATCTCAATATTATTGACTCTGGAGGTCGCCTCATTAGGAAGAGCTATGCTTAGTAGCTCCAGATGACATGGGTCGATCATCAAGCAACGACTATGTGGCTGGCTCCTAGGAGAAGATCGATTACAGATGACACATGTCACAATTGACAGGCATTTACGGCTGTATGTACCGTAAAGCAGGGGCTTGAGCTAAGATGATCTCGCCTCATGCTCGCGGAATACATCTATACAATGGTATTGGTACTACGAGTCGCACATCACCACGCTGGCTCCAACTGAGGATCCGTTCACCCTCGAGGAAACCAGGAGATGCTAAGAGAAAAACCTGCGAACTGAGTGATTTTATAGCTACAAACGGGTCTTGAAAAGGCCAGACTCCTTGATCATGACATCAAAGGAGGTGAAAAAAAGCGCCTTTCCCCCCTCGGCCCGCATCGGCATCGAATAGTCCGTGGCTGCGTACTTTGGACAGGCCCAAACTCAGTCCCTCTCTCCACCTCCGCCGTCCGTGGCTGCGGCGTTCTGTGGGGATACGAAAGCTCCCATGGCTCCCTACTGTTTCGGCAGATGCGCGCTAGATGTAATGCTCTCTCTAGCTAGAAGTCTCCGGGCACCGGATAAGACGGGAAACGCATTCTCGCAGACGGCACGGGCGGAGGCCTTATGAACAGCGGGCTTTTCTTTCGCTGGGTCGCGGACGGCGGCCTCATCCATGGAATAGCACTCACTGGCTTGATGTTCGTAGAGTAGGTGCTAGTATTAGTAGCTGCGAGTAGTTTCATGTCATTCCTCTTTGTTTGGTCTACGACGATCCCGTCCACTTTAAACAACACCACATGTACCGGAGTCGCGGAATGGAATGGAGGCCCCAAAATCGGGCTTTCGGCGCCCTGTTGGCGTAGAGCTTAGTGAGCTGAACTGAGGGCGGAGTTGGGCGACAGAATGAGGAAACGCCGACGGATCTCGTGTTTCATGAGGCCTGGAAGAGTATGTAGGGTGTGCCCAGCGGCATTAGGACCAGATGAAACCTACAAAACGCACCCGGTAAGCACGCAGCCTTTCAAAACGCAACCACCCTTATCTCGAGCCCATCATAGCCCAAGGACATAGAGACGTTGACGTAGCATACAACCATCATCAATTTGGCCGGCCCGTGTATGGTCGATTAGACAAGCAACAAGGCAAGGTGGTAGCCGCCCAAATCAACCAAGAGCTTTCGATTGGGCCACGGCAGTGCCCCAGAGCGAAATGCGGGTTGCATCGTCGTGGAACAATCAATCAAGCTTGAGGCAGATACGCCCGCATTTCCAGGCGGCCTTTTTCTCACAGTGGCGGCGGTAATTTTGAGACACGGCACACATTCCGGTGGTGCTCGGCCAGATACAGCGAGGGTGAAAAACAACGGCAAGGAGCAGAAGACGGGCCAACCTCTGTTTGCAATTCGTGGTGTAGCAAGATATGTATGTACTCGCACAAATCACAGCGTACAAAGGGAATGCTTGTATCCGTACAGTACTGTAGCAAACCGCCTTGGACAACTAGTACGGTGATTGGCAGTCGTATGGAAGACGGGGCCAAGGATCCTGTCCTCTGCATGCCGACGAGCCTCATGGGTGTGATATGATTCCTAGGCTGCATGCCACCCTCGAGTACATGATACATACTTTGGTTCCAGGGGCTCATTCATCTAATCGAAGACCGAACCGAACGGAACATGTCAAATCCCGGGGTGCCGAGATGGTTGATGCTTGTACGTGTCGTATGATGGAAATAGATACAATACGAGAATGGAAACCACGTCTCCAGGAAGACTGAGGCGATATCGTGAACAGGAGGATTCGGAGCCTCTTCTCGCCCGGCGACTCGCATGGCAGAACGAGCCCTCGTATCGTTTGCGCAAAAAAGCTTGGTTGGTGCAGCGCCCCTCTCGCACATACTTGTACTGTACTCGTCATGATTTGCTGTATCTTATAGCGGGGCCCACTTCATTGTCGCTGAACCTGAAGATCTTGCCGTCGATCCCACAGCTTGTATGGCAGAGACAAATACCAACCACCCCAACAGCGCTTGGATGTCTCGGCGAGAGACGACGAAGAAGGGGCTGCGATGGCCAAAACTTTGCACAAGTAGACTATTGTATACTCCAGCATTAATGCATACCAACACTCTTAACAAAGAGTGCTGATGACCCCTGCCGGTGATGGATGATCTGGGTGATCCAAAGTGGCTACCAGTGGGCGAGGGCTGCGTGTGCCAGTGAGAGCAAGGAACCAACCAGGCCAGGCTAGGGAGTGGACACAGTAGTGGAGTCGGGGATCGAGAGCCTTCGTTCCTTGTTGCGTGCAAGCACAAGGCAGTGGAAAGCGAAGCATGTCGTGGGTGGGTTTGTGGGCTTTCGCCTAGCCGAGCATCTGATCTTTCCACAGCTCCGGCAAACGCTAGAAGAAAAAGAAGCAGAAAGAAGGGAGAAGGAGAAGCAAACGGAGACGGAGACGGAGGAGAGAAGGCTCATAGTCAGCATTTTCCCCAATACCGTGTCATCAAGGGCATCGTCTGGCCACTTGAGGCAGAGCCGAGGCTCCATCTTGAACCAAAGACTATCGGATGATGGTTAGCAGCAAACAGGTGCCAAACGGGTTAGGGGTGCATCCAGCCAGCCAGGTAAGGTTTCGCAGCGAAGCCATCCTGCTGACCACGGCATCTCGTTGGCTATCTCGAGATTGGCGGTGCTCGGGGCCTTTTTGGACCAGCCAGTGATGGCCACGAATGTGGGCAAGGTTGCCGCGAGCCTGCAGCAAAGCTGGTGCTACGACTTGTGCTGCTAGTAGCAAGACGAGTTTAGTGCTGGCGGCCATGCTGTGAACCGTTTGGACTGCAGAAAAGCTTGTTGCAGGAGAGATTTGGGCGTGTTTGGCCACCAGATGCCGCCGAGATGAAGAGCATGTTGTTGTTGGGAATCTACTGCAGTACGTACTGAGGTACATGCAAGTTATTTGCCGTCTCTCGTCCAAGCTTCCATCCATCGATCCCGACCACAAGGGGCAGGAAGCGTTCTTCCGTGGCCTCGCCCGGCTATGTGCTGTGCTGTGCTGTACAGGTACCGGCACCGCATTAGACAACCTGAGCTAAGGTCTCACCCGACTGTCAGTTCAGTGTGGGCGGAGTCGGAGTACCTCCAAAATGCGCTGTCCGCAGTCGCGGTACTTGTGCCCGAGGGTGCGAGTACTCGTACCTGGCCCACTCCATGGTTTAGTGGCCACCACCTGTAAGAACGCAGTCTTGCGCAGTGCAGGGCCGCTGAGACTCGCATCATGGGTACGCTAAGCCAGCCTAAGGCTTTGCTTGCTCGTACTGGTACCTACGACCAGACAGGTGTATAGCGGCCTGTCATTGTCCAAAACGCCTGTGCGTCCGGCTCTCTCAGTCCGAATACATGTACCTACGCTAATGTTACATCCATGTTCCTTGCCTGAGTCTATAAACGAAGAGGACGAGAGTGAGTACACTGCTCCCAAGTCACGGCACGCTGCATTTGTGCTCCCGTCTGTGGTGCCCTTGTGTTTGCCAAACAAACGGTTTCCTGTATTATTGCTTCTCAAATGTATCAAGGCAGGTATTATGCGCTTACCCAGTACATGTATGTGCCAAGTGCAACACTGCTGCCGTATCACTGCGTCAAACCGTCCGTGTGGTGCCAATGCATTTGAGGTACCTACCTTAGTATCTTGTACATTAGCGTTGCGGACGTACAGCACAGGTCATGATATCCCGGCGTTGCTTCTGTGTGTGTTGCACGCATTTGAACCTGTATCATAGATATTGATGGGGACGGTTCTGTTGGATTCCTCGTTTTGTACTCACATTGCGCCGTACGGATCGGTTCCTTGCCTTACCGCAGACATGGGACTCTGTTTGGACAAGGTGGAAGGGGGCTTGGGCTTGTGAGCCCTCCCGAGTTGAAAAAAAGACCTCTACTTTGTCTAGCGGTACTGGCAGACCCGGGATCCCTACGACGGACTCGGCCTGGCTGTGCTGGGTCCCTGTCAGTGATGTACTTTTTGGCGTCAGTACTACTTGATGTAATCCATGAATCATCCTTTTTCTTAAACAATCTGCGGCGTACATTGAATTAACTTGGCTCAGCATCGTGACTATCGTCGATTATTTTTTGCAACTCCATTCAAGGGCATCAACCCACCGAGGCCTCTGTTGTATCGTACGCTGGACATCTCAGAAAGTGCTAGGTAGAGGTACCACACACTGACGCCGGTACTTGTCCTGCTGCGGTCCAGGCCCCCGAAATCCCACACTACTTAAGCTCGACTTACTAAAAACACCAAATACCCGGCCTCTCTTAACGGCCCAGCGCTCCGTACCCTCTTTTCTCTTCTCTGCTAGACCTTTCTCCTCCACCCTTCTCTAAACTCGCCCATCCCTCTTCTTCTGCCTCTGTCAACCTCTCTCGAGATACCAGGAAAAGGGCCTCTACCACCAGCTCTTGTTCCCTTTCCTTTCTTCTTCTTCATTTCGCCTTTTTTTCTTTTCTTTTTCTTCTTCTCTCGTCCAGATCGATACCCCTTGCTTTTCTGATTCCTCATCTGGCCGCCATTTCCTCTCCTCGTCCCGAAATCGCGATCCGCCTCAACTCGACTCTTCCGGCTTCTCTTCCTCAACCATCATGAATAAGCTGGCCAATATGCGCCACTGGTCCGAGAGGATGAGCCCAAACTTCGGCATGGGTCGACCCAGTGTGCCCATGAACAGCTTGAGCAAAAACGTGTCACAGCCTGGCCTTCCTCTTACTTCTCCCGCCCCCGATGCCACGATACACTACTCGTTCAACGTTCCGTTCGCCTCCGATCTGGTTGGTCCCAACACTGAGGATATTCTGCATGCTACCAACGACGCTGTTTTGAGATGGACGCACCCCGAGGACGCACCGGATGATGTCCACATCTACGAGCTCCGTGCTCATGCCCAAAACCTTGCCAATCTGCACAAACTCTGCAAGGATCTGTCCACCGGACCTCTGCCTATTGAAGCTCAAGTCGTTACCACGACTCCCAATAACGGCAAAGACCAGCAGATTACCACCATCTGTCTTACGGGATCCCCGGAGCTCGTCAACAAGAGCCGAGAGACCATTCTCAACGAGATCCCCATATCTATGGTATGCCTCAAACGCCAGCCCCGGGATATTTCGATGTTGCCGCAGTGTGCTAACTTATTGTCAAACGTAGCGATGCACCACAATTGACATTGAGGGAAGCTTGGTCTGTGACCTGAGCGCTGGTGTGCTCAAAAAGCCTGTCCTCGAGACTTTGGACTCTATTTCCGCCTACTGTGGTGTTGACATCTTTCTATTGGGCCCCAAACTTACTCCCATGGTGGACGGAATGCTGGGCGATTCCGAGATGCGAATGGATCAACGATGGAGAGTTGCCATCTATGGTGATATCTTGTCGTCCGAGCATGCCAAAGCCCGAGTGCTCATTCAAATCGATTCTTGGGTTCGTATTCCCTGCCATTACTACATCAATTCTATGTGTTGCATCTTCTAACATGGCTTAGCTTGGTCGAATGGTGGATGTGGCGAGGATCGAGCTGTCTCTTCACCAGCTAGTCTGTGGACGACATCGCAAAAACATTAAGCTGATTGAATCGTCGACTGGGACAGCCATCTATTTCCCTCCCATGTTCTCGCAGATGTATCGGTACTGCCCACAGGGTGCGAATCGGCGCGACCCTGCAGAAATCTACATCACCGGAGAGTCTCCCCAAGCCATTGAGATGGCCAAGCAGAAGCTGCACGAGACGGTCTCTCGCATTCGCCTGTTCGTCAAAGATGTCACCATCCCAGCTGCAAAACTGGACAACATTCTATTGGGCCGCCTGGATAAAGTTCGTAAGATCCTTGAGGCCAACGGAACGTACATCATGCTTCCTCCTTTGGCATGCCAGCGTACGACGGTCCGAGTCCACGGAAGCGAAGGCCTGCCTGTTGAGCGAACTGTTCGGGAGCTCATGTCACTGGCTGGCCAGTTTTATGGCGCCGGGTGGTACGTTCAGCAGCCGGATGCCAGAAATATTCCTGCCCCCGCAGAAATTAACGATATGCTCGCCGATATCTGCGCCCACTCTGACGCCGAGGTGTCCTTTGATAAGGCCTCTTTTACCGTGACTGGTGCCGATGATTCCGTAAAGTCTGCCTTGGCAGTCATCTCCGAGCTGAAACTTGCAACTCAGTCTCAGTATCAAATTCGTGTCAAGATTGAGCTCGCGAATGAGCACAAGGAGTTTGTCTCTGGTAAAAAGAACGGCAAAATTAACAAAATCATGGGACAGAGTACGCTGGCCCCCTGTCCTTGCGGATTTGTTTGGTCAACTTGAAGCTAACAGTTAGGCAGGCAATGTTCAGATCATTTTTGACGGCTTCAACGAATACAACTTCAATATCGACGTCATGGCTGCCACCTACGAATCCATGAAGCAAGGCCTGACCTTGGTTGAACAGGAGATGCCGGCTTCCATCTCTTTCCATGTTCCCGATCAGTATCACAAGCGTATTATTGGCATTGGCGGACAACACATCCAGCGTATCATGAAGAAGCATTCCGTCTTTGTCAAATTTTCCAACGCTATGGATAGAGGTGAGCAAAAACAACCGAATGATCATTCTTTACACCAGGAGAGTGCTGACAATAAAATTTAGGGGGCATGGGGCGTGAAGATGACGACATCAAAGTCGACAATGTTATTTGCCGTACGCCGGCACGTAATGCCCAAAATCTCGATGCTGTCAAGAATGAGATTCTTGAAATGGTCGACCGAGCTGTAGGTGATCCTAGAAGATATGTGGAGAGTCAACCTTTGACTAACACAAAACCTACAATAGGATTCCGAGTACACTTCTCAGATCGTTAGTGTTGATCGGTTGTACCATCGTGAACTCATCGCCCGTCTTTCGGAGATCGACGAGCTTGAACAAAAATACAACTGCAAGATCAACTTTCCTAGCACTGAGCAAGCGAGCGACGAAGTCACTGTCACTGGTCCACAGTGGCAGGTGCCTCACTGCGTTGACGAGTTTCTTGGCATGGTCCCAGATAGACACGAGCTGGTGCTTGCTCGTAGCCCGAAGTTGGTCAAGTTTTTGGAGTCTCCTGAGTTCGCGCATGATCTTGTCCCCAAGCTGAAGAGCCAGTATGAGGTGGAGGTCACCGTTCACCAGAACCCTGATGAGACTACTGAAGAGGGTGCTCCAACTGCTACTCTCGTCTGGGGCTTCACGCGCAACAATGCTGGAGGTCTCCGAGACGCGATTGACTTCTTGCTTGCGCAGTTTGCTACCGCGAATGTCGAAGCCAACATCGTCAAGGGCTCCATTCCCCGCCCCAAATCTGACTCGTTTGAAGATACGCTCCAGTACTTTGACTCGAAACTGCTCCAGCACGCACCCGCCTCGGCAGCCAGCGACTCCCCCATCAAGAATGCCTTCAATGCGGACATTGCCCGAGAACGTAGCAGCATTCTTGATCGACTCAGGAAGCCCGGAAGCATGACGTCCATCTCTTCATTCCTGGACCGCAGAAAGAACAGCTCGCACTCGGCCGCCGGCAGCTTCTTCAAGGGCTCTGCCAATGTTTCCAAATCGTCGCTCATCTCGATCGAGTCCACTCGCAGCTTCAACGCTGACCGAAACCCTTGGAACGACAGTGGCGTGAACCTGGCTGATGACGAGAACCCCTGGGCCCGCCCCATCAGCAACCACCACTTCGAAAGCAAGTTAACCATCCCCCTTCCAAAAGACATCATCGCTACACGACACACTACCCGCGCGTCTGGTGATAGCGGGAGACCTTCTACTTCACACTCTATGAATTCAGGATACCCCGCCCCCATTGGGCCTTTCCGTTAGACTTTGCCGAATTAGACCCATTACATGCGAATACCCCCCCGGCTGGATATACCCCGGAGCGTCCAAAATTGCATCATATCCAGGCTTTGATTCGCCGGAGATGTTGGCGCGTTCCTCATTTTTTGCTTGTTGCGCTGTTTCCTTTTCTCGTTTTCGTTTCGTGCCTTTGATTTCCCATCTTTGTGTGTGTTTTTGCTTTTCCCTCCTTCTTTTTGCCGTTGATCGCCGTCTGTTTATGAGTCATTGCTCGCTTATTGAAATTTCGACAATGTCAGTCTTGATGACCGGCATCCACTTTTTTATACCCATTTGAACGTCCATGACGTCGAAGATAAAAATTGCGAAGAAAATACCCCTACGCGCTGGAGCTGAAAGAATTTAGTTTGCAAGATTGATGATTTTGATGCATGGTGGAGTCATGCCAAGGGGCAGCATTGATGAGAGAAAAAGAGTAGATGTCATTGGAGAGGCTGGTGTGTATCAACACACGCGGCAAAGCGAAGAGTGGTGTGTGTGTACGTGTGTGCATTTACTTTCACATGGAGGGGATCACCAGATCCCTCTTGTCCAAGATGGGAATCCTGGTGGCCCCCTATTTTAAACATTGATTTTTTGGTGTGGAAACGGGGGGGCACAAAAAGTGTCTTGTTCTACACAATGTACGGTTATGATCTGTCGAATGGAAAGACGCATGATACCCATGGCACAAAAAGCGGTTATGCCCAATCACACATATGGTCATCTTGACGCAGTATCTGACTGAAGAAAGTTTGGTGTCTATTGATCTCATGATAAAAACAAATTGGTTCCATTGCTGTGATGTGTCTCGCTTCGGCAACTGCTGTACCGTGCTCCGTGATAATTGATATGTAATCCTAGATGACACCATTGAGCCTGGCCTGTAGATCGAAAACTATCCAGCACTACCTTTTATACATACTGAGAGTATCTTGCTTTCCATTCCGTAAAACATCCCCTCTTACAGCCCTTCCCGTATCATATCGTGTGTTAATCATACATGTTCCATAGTTTCTCTTCCCAAACAACCCATATAACTCCAGAGTATGCAATATTTGGATAACAAAATTCGACCGCAGAAATGGGGCTTTAAGCTGATAGCGGCCCGACTCTGACGTACTCCCTGTCCTGCCTCGCATCAAGGGTATATCTCGTCTTCTCCCGCCTCCGCTGCTCCGCCTCCATCCGCGCAAACTGCCCGCGCGCCCCGTGTTTCAGCTTCGTGATCATGTCGGCCGCCTTGCCCTTTGTCAGCTCCTTCGAGGTCAGGGGCTTGCTCTTCCCGCGGAGCTTGTTGATGAAGTCCACCTGGCCCTGCGTCGGGGGCAGCCTTCGCCAGGACTGGTGTCGGTGGATGAAAGTGTGGGGGAATGCGCTGGCGGCGTAGCTGTCGGCACCGTGGACCGCGTCGTTGAATGTGGCGGCCTTGAGGATCTCGCGCGGAGCAGCGTAGGGGGACTTTGCTATGCCGGCGGGGAGGGCGCGGATTTCGAGCGCGTGGTATGTGGGTTCCGAGGCGCCCTTTTGCTCGGGGAGCCTCTCGATCCGGATGTAGGAGCCGCTGGGCGCGGAAAGGACGAAGCGCTCTGGGCCGACTTGGACCCATGCGTACTGGCTGATGGCGCGGATGTGTCTCTCGCCAGAGGTGTCGGCGATGAGATCCAAGACGGAGGAGTAATCGGTAAAGGTCACTGCTGGAGAGGAGATCGGGCTGGCGCCTGAGGAGTTTTCTTGCTGTTCTGCCTCTGCTGCCTTTTGATCCTTGATTTTCCTCATGTCGTCGACTGAGGCCTTTTCGACCAACTCGTTCGGATCAAGGCCGAATAACGTTGGCGTTGTGACTATGCCGGTCTCAAGACTAGAGACCATGTCGATGATGTGGCAATTCTTCTTGTCTGGATGCAGCCTCATGCCCCTGCCAATCATCTGCACCAGCAAGTTGCGTGATCTTGTTGGTCTGGCCAGCACGATGCAGTCGATATTAGGAATATCGGTGCCCTCAGTAAAGACGCCGCAGTTGACAAGCACGGGGAACTCGCGCTTCTTGAAAGACTCAAGAATGGCGCTTCTCTCAACCTTGGGCGTGTCACCAGTGACGTATCTAGCGTCAAAGCCGTGCTCGCGGAATTTCCGTGTCAGACCCGAGACGTGTGCTAGATCGACGCAGAAAACCAGGGTCGATTTGCGGTCCGGGGCTTTGGCCATCCAGCTGCGGACCGTGATGTCGTTGATGATGTCGGTGTTGACGACCTTGGAGAGCTCTCCTGTTTGAAAGTCGCCAAATGCGCCGCTCTTGACTTTGGACAAGTTGGCGGACGACTCGACTGTCGTGAAGACAACATCTGAGAGCCACTTGTCTGAGATCATGTCCACGTAGTCCTTGTGGTAGACAATCTCGTCAATCGCGGCTCCGAGTTTGACACCGTCAAAGCGAGAAAAGGTAGCCGACACTCCTATCAGGGTGGGTGAGTTGTATCTCTTCTCGTCGAGACCAAAGTGTTTCAGCGTTCTCAGATAGCCTGGCGCAACAATGTGATGGGCCTCATCAACAAGGACAAGCTTGAACTTTGAAGGGTCATACTTGTCCAGCCGGCCCTTTGAGGTTATGCTCTGGACGCTTGCAATGGTAATATCGGCCATGCCAGAGGCATGCAGAGAGCCCATTTCAATCTCAATCCTCTTATCCGGATACGCAAGCTGACAATGCTTAGCAGCTTGTTCAACCAACTCACGGCGATGGGCCAGGATGAGAGTCTGATTAGCATCTTTGACGCGGTCGTGGACCCTGTCTATGAGCTGAGTAAAGATGACCTTTGACCAGTGAATTAGCTTCACCGTTTTATAAGAAGAATAGGACATAAGAGGAGTATAATTTACTGTCTTGCCACTACCGGTGGCTAATGATATGCCAACTCGCTTATGCCCTCGCTTCAGGGCCAAGACTACGGATTTGATGCATTCTTCTTGATAGTCTCGGAGCTTCAACTTATTGCTGAGAGCAGCGGCGGCATATTTCCTGAACTGGTTGGCCTTGCTCCAACCTGAGGGGACGCCAGTCCCAGCATCAGGCCGGAAGAGACGTCTCACGACGGTTTGTAGCATTGCACATGGCAATGCCGTCCAAGATGGATTGCACTCGTCTATATGTCTTTGAATGAAAATCCTAGTCTAGCAAAAAAGATGCAAAGATTTGGTGTAAGTTGCCTTATGTAACCTTTCAGCCACTGTGGCGTCGATGGTGTGGCTGAGTTAGCTGCGGAAAGATACCTGTGAATGATTTTATAGCTGCAGCTTTGCAACCTTCAACTTTTTTCATATCTTCAAGGTATATGAGAAATGATACCAGATTCGAAATTGATATCCCCTTAAACTCAATCTGTGGTCCCGATTCGGTCACTGCTACAATGTTCTCTCCTCTCATTGCAATTTTTAACGCCCCAGTGACCGAACCATGGACCAAGATTCCGACTACTCATATGAAGAACAAGGTGCTGCAGTCATCTCACCACCGCAGATTAAGGCAGAGAGCCCTTCCAAAGAGATCGCGGAAGCTGACTTGAGTGCTGGATATGAAGGGCATGGAGAGCCATACAGTGAAGAGAGTGATTATCTTGAAGAAGACGAGAACAGCGCTTCATCAGCAGCAGAAAGTCAGGAGCTGCGGTCGCCTTTGAAGAGGCCGTTAGATGATACGACAGCGATATATAGGCCGTTCAAACGACAGAGATCCGAGCTCAACTTTGGCTATCTGGAGCTTCTCAACAAGGAGATTCAGGATGCTGCACAGCGGAGCTCTTTCGGCGACCAAGAGCTGCCCACCGCCGGTGCAATTGGTCTCACATCCTGGTCAGGGCCAGAGAAGCTGAATTTTTTCGATGCCGTAGCACGCCTCGGGAAACATGACTTGCCTGGTATCGCCGCCAAGATTGGGAGCAAAAGCGTCGCCGAAGTCAGCCACTACCTGCACCATCTTCAAGAAGCCAGCGAGTTGAGGCAGCAGCAAGGGATTCGTTCCATTTTGGAGTTTGCAGAGTATCCTGCTGCTCTGGAGATCAGTCAGCAGTGCTGCCATGCCCAAGAAGAAGCTGCGGACGAGATTTCGCTCAAGCAAGAAGCGCGTGAGGAGTTGCGGGAACAGAATCGGTGGGGAGATGCATGGAACATCACCCCAAAGGTTGCTAAGAAACTCAGCAGGGACGTTCATGGACAGGATGCAAACCTCTCCAATGCGCCCCAATTTGCTCAGCTTTTTCATGTGTCCAAATGGCTGGAGCTTTCAGCGCGCATGTTTATGAACTCTTCGGTTCCTGCCAACAACTGGAATTCGGTTGATGAAGAACCTCCATCAATGTGGGCTACAACGTTTGATGATTTTCACTCATTAGCCGTATCAGTCACTCGGAGACTTGTTCAGACGACGCTCTTTATGGCCATGTCCAGGATTAGAGCGAAGAATTCCATGGGAAGTAACGTCAGGGCCATGGTACAACTACAGGATGCCGAAGCAGCCATCTCATCTTTGAAGATGGCTAGCAAGTTGAATGAAACATGGATCAATAGTGCCCGAAGATTACGACTTGATGTTTACGAAGATCCTCCCGAAATAGATGAGGAATTCGAAGAGGAGCGCATGTCTTATGAAGAAGTCGAACAGGCTCTGTCTGGTGAGTGTGCGGCTGGGCCACGACAGCGAGCGCACCCAGACACCCCCTTTTCGACTCAACACAGCGTTGAATATGAGGAAGATGCTTCTTCAGATGATCTTCTTTCCAATTCAAGCAGATCACCCTCTCCCACCAACGAGGAAGAGCAACAAATCAACATGGAGGCAATGGAAGTGCTGGAGCATTCGGTTTTGGACATCCGGACCGATAAAGCTACAAAGAAGGCTCTCAAGGCGTTCATAGTCATAGACCGACAAAAAGAGAGGCAAGCTGAGGAAATTGACCAGTATGCAAGTTACAAGGCGGAAGTCAAAATGTGGAACTTGCTGCAGAAGAAGCCACCTATGGACCTACCTAAGAAGCATGATCCTGGCCCTCCTCGACGGTCAAACCAGACCATGGACACCTTTTATCCAAGTGGGCGAGAGTGGGCACGCAAGCTGTTGTACTATAGCGAGTGGGAAACATTGCCACAGCCGGAGCCGAAGCCGGAACCGGAACCAGGGCTGAAGGAGGAAATGGTGCTTGAGGAAGAAGCTGGGGATGAAGGAGGTGATGAAGCAGAGGATGAAGCAGAGAAGGGAAGCGAAGGGGAAGAAGAGCAGGATGAAGATGAGGAGGAGGAGGAAAGTGATGCATAATGGGAACAGCTCAAACAATAAACACATAGTCAAGAAGATAGGGGCCGGTATAATATCCTTAAAAACTCCATAAGAATATGTTGAAAACTCGGGGTATCTTGACTGTTGATCCAAGCCGCTATGCCAAGTCCACGGAAACCATGTACGCCATCCCACAGCTTATCCAACACTTCAATTAGCCTCCTCTGCCTCTGCCTCTCCTGCCCCGTCCGCGTCCTCTTCCACGGCCTCTACCCGGCCCTCCCCTCGCTGGTTTCGGAGCAGGAGATCCGCTCTCTGCGCTTTCGCTATCGCTTTCCTCCGAACCAGACTCTTCCTCTTCCTCCTCCGATTCGTCTTCGTCATCTTCAGAATTTTCCACCACCTTTTCCTTTTCAGATTTGGATTGACTAGCAGCTCTCTTGCGGCCCCTTGCTCCCTTTGTCGGCTTCAGTGCTGGCGACGCAACAGAAGCAGCAGTACTGCTCTCGGCGCCTTCAACAGAGGTCCCCCTCGTCTTGGGCGCGGTGCTGGCTCGCGAACGCTTCTGGGGCGGAGGGGAGAGCTCCAGCTGGGGAGGAGACGAGGGTGCTTCGCTGGGATCCGCAATGGCGCGCTGCAGCATCATCTCGCCGAATTCGTGGAAAGGGAGAGAAAATTCGACATATTTATCCTCTGATTCGTCGTCGTCAAAGTATTCTCGCTCATCGATCAGCTCGAGGTCGTAGTATGTCCGTAGCTTCTCCCAGATGTGGGGGATGCGCGTGTGGCGATGGATATCGGGGTCGATGCCGTGGTTGCGCAGGTGTTCCGATATTGCTATCATTCGAAAGTGTTTGTGCATCCCTAAGGCATGAGCATCTTGAATCAGCACAAGAGCACTTGAAGCGTCAGCGCGATGGGCGCAACGAACCAGCAGGCTTCCAGCGAATGACGCCTTTGAATAGTGAAGAGATCTGGTCATCCGTCCAGAGATTATCGTACGGAGTGACTGGTATGATGGGCTTGAACGCCGATGAGAGGAAGCCCGGCGTGCCACTTATCCGAGGAGAATCAACGTCCATGGCACTGTCTTCTCGGATGGTGGTGGGCGTCGAGGACATCTGGAGGCGCGATCGCTTCTTTGGAGGCATTGTGGCGTAGATTCGATATTATTAAGAGGTGAAGAGTAAGGTAGTGAAAAGGAATGGTAAATGGAAAAAGGAATTGATTCAATTCTAATACAGCATTGGGTGACAATGTTGAGGACAGATATAAAAAAGAGTTAATGATGGAAGAAGAGTTGGAGCTCGAGTGCTCCAGCGTGGTGTGCGAAAAGCAAAAAGCATCCATAAAGGTTGATCCATTGAAGCATGAGATCATTAGCTGTTTGAGCCGCTAAGCTGCAGGGTGGGGCACACGCTGACAGGCCGCCTTAGCAGCCCTGGAGCTCAGTATTGCTGGTGCCTTACAGGTGTTGGTTGCATGCTCTAGCGCGTGCTCCAAACCCATAACCACATGAAACTCTGGATATCAACAAACTTTATTGTTCGTTTGGAGTCTTCATCGACAACGAACGCGGATGGCCTCTGCTGGCGCGTCTGCCGTACCTTGTCCTCTATGCATTCATCGCTGAACCTGCTGTGAGCCATGGCCAGCGATGGCTCTGAGGAATATGTCTTTGCCATTCCCAACTTCTGGCGGCCGTCAAAGCTGCTACTAGACCAGGAGGCAGAAACACCGGCCAGCTTCTTTTCTAATGATCTCACAAGTAAGCAATTGGTTCGCGATCTGCTCTTCCCTTTGGTGATATAGTATATCAGAGGCTTACTATCTTCTTCTCTTTATGACCAGATACTCTATCCAGCCCAGACTCGGATCCCTTCGCGCTCGACCCCATAACACCAACCCACGATGGCTTCTTCAAGCTCGTATCAGTCCACGACATCACGGGTACTGCCGAGTCAATCGACAGGGAGGCGCCGGATGCATCACCAAAGCCTATAGATAATCCAGAAAAGCCACCCGACGGCCTCTCTGTGGCCCTCGATAGCGACGACGATGAAGACATGCCCGATATGTGGCTAGAGCCAGGAGTGCCCGCCAAACCGAAACCTCCATATAGATCGTGGGATGTCTTCTTCTCCGGCGATACAGCCACGAAACATCAACCTATGATGGTTAGCGAGGCTGGCCCGGCTGCGTACGACGCCATGCTATTCTCTTCAAGCGACCCTCTCAAGCTCAGGAATGTTGGTGTGCCCGTGGTTGATACGAAGACGTACTTGTCTTCACTGTTGGCTTTGGCACTTGGTGGAGAATCTGTTCTCTTTACTAAAAAGGACGGCAATCAGGGCCTCAAGCCTTCGCTTCCTAAAATGAGGGCCTCGGGGTACTCTAGCAATGTCCTACAGGCGCTCGAAAACAAGTGCCTGAGATGCGGGAGCACTTTGATAGGCCTACGCACCTTTGTGCATTCCGCATACTCAGAACATCCAAGCCGATGCGGTGTGGCTCTTGCCAGCACTGTTAGCCAGGTTTTACAGGTTGTTCAAGAATGGGTGGCCTTTAACGGGCGGAATCCTCGCTCGCTTCTGCAGCTTCAATCCACCGTCAACTCGATGGTAGCCATTCTGCGACCCTTCAAGGCGCTCACATCACAGCTCCGCCATGGTCTTACGGATGAGGATATTCTGAACCTCGTGTTTCATCAAGCATATTCGGTGGATAGCAACGAGGAGTACCTCCGTCAGATCATGCGAGAAGTACTGCGGAGAGTCTCTGGCCCGTGGATCGAGTTTCTCGAAGAGTGGATCGGAACAAGACGTGAGCAAGGGCTGCCCTTTACCAAGGCCAATCTTGGAGAAAGAAAAGGGTTTGTCAAGGTCGAGGCACGAGTCTTCCGAGATGATTTCGGCCGGGAGCTCGCAGAGGTCGACTACGTCCTAGACGCGGGCAAGATGCCGCGCTTTATGCCAGACGATGTGACGGAGACGATATTTGAGACTGGGCGCAACTTGCGATTTATCCGCACTTTCCATGAAGACCACCCACTTGCTCAGCAGGACGTCATTGCGTCTAGTGATCCTCCTCAGGCCAAGTGGCTTTATGACTGGGAGGCTATACTGCGCCTTGAGAGTCACGCTGTTACGTACCGCGACTATCTGGTCGATGCCATCCAATCAAGCCGTCCCGACTATTCTTATGACCCCATGGAAATTTCCATGTATTCATTGGGAGAAAAGCCCGGCTCCATCCTTACTTACTTCGGACTGGATCAGGTTGGCATGGAAGAGCATATTACCGCGTCCATGGAGCAATTTGCTCAGCCAGTTGCCACACATGACGCAGAGGACCCCCTGAGCAGGATTGTTCGCGATAGACTCTGTGGAACACATGCATCAGCTATTGAGCTCTCGAACTCCACGCCGCACTGGACGTTGCTTCCGGTTCTTTCGTTTGGCGTCATTGCCTCGGCACAGGCCCAAGTGGTCAACAAAGAGACTCTCAAGCTCCTATTTACTGCACACAATCTGCGAGACCATCTAAAGCTACAACGAGAGTTTCAGCTTCTCGGAAATGGCAATCTCTGCAGCCGTCTCTCTCATGCTCTATTTGACCCCGATATGGAGTCGGCACAAAGGAGGCCAGGGGTCGCAAGGAGGAGCAATGTCATGGGCTTGCGGCTGGGAGGCCGCGACAACTGGCCCCCAGCGACTTCAGAGCTGCGATTAGCATTGATGGGCATACTTTCTGAATGCTACGGCGCTGATGAAGACGGCAAGAAAGTTGTCAGGCATGAACGCATTTTTGACAAGGAGGTTTCTGGCTTGCCCGGCAACATGAGCTTTGCCGTGAGAGACTTGTCTGACGAGGAAATCAACCAATGCATGAACCCCGACTCCCTCGAAGCCTTGGACTTTCTTCGCCTTTCCTATACGGCGCCGCCGCAGCTAAGCCCCATCATCACGCCAATGAACTTGATGCAATACGACTACATCTTCAAGCTTCTGTTGCGAGTCCTGCGCATGATATTTGTTGTCAACCAGCTCTTCCGCGATGCCAACTCGTTGGCTCGTGAATGGGAAGATCCCGGTGATGCAACACTCCGCTTTGTAAGAGAAGCGCAGCATTTTGTGTCCAGTGTGTCAGCGTATTTTCTGGACACGGGCATTGGTGTTCCTTGGCGAGTGTTTGAAAAGAAACTGGACAAGATTGAGGCGGATCTCCACCGACCAAATACGAATAGCTCGTCCGAAGAGGTCCAGAGCCCTGACAAATTGCAGGAACTTCATTCTCTCGTCCTAGATCGAATCATGCTGGCTTTATTCCTGCGAAAGAAGCAGCAGCCAGTACTGAAGCTACTAGAGGACATCTTTAATAATATTTTGCGATTTGCCAAACACATAAGGCTACAGCGGTTGGGTGTGGAAGATGACCTCGACCCGTCGACTCTGTACGCAGAATTCAAGAAGAAGGTGCAAATTTTCATCACAGTCTGCCGCAGCCTATCAGAGAAGGCTCGCCGCACGGACGGTAAGAGAGGGAGGGAAGACAGGATATTCAAGGAGCAGTACGGGACTGGCGATGATAGCATGGTGGCCCAGCTTCTGGTCAAGCTGGACATGTTTGACTATTATCTCAAGCGGCAGTAGGAGGAATTAGTGGTTTAAGGAGCCATGTTACCAAAGTATTGAAATGATATAATAAAAACATTGTAAACGCACAATTCGAATTAAATGACTGTCCGATTTCTATAATCGTGCTCTTGTTATTGCTTGTATAAACATCAGCGTTGAGCTGCCCCTCCATCCATTGACCGCTCCGCCAAAAAGTGACATTTTGCCCCTCATCGCGTGGAGACGCGATCAAGACAAACCTAAACAATAACAAATGCGCCAAGCATATCGACGCAGGAATTGTTGTCTTTTCTACCTTTTCTGCTCTTGAAATTATTTGCCTCCTATCCTCAGCCATTGCGCAATGTCTGGACAAAGCGTCGCGCCGCAGCGCAGTCTGAGCTTGACGGAAGAGCTGGAGAAGCTGGAGCAATCCATCACTTTAACGCTACAAGGTGGGTTCAACAGTTCTCCGACAGAACACCTCTGCTGTCCGTGTTCCAGAGAGCTGATTATATTCTAGAGATTGATCATAATTTCAGCAAAGCACATAGAATCGTCACAACGGGCATCTTGCCGCTGGTGGAGCAGTATGGAGAGCACTCGCGAGCTGTTTGGGAAGCATCCAAGGTATGGCAATAGCTTCAGCGGCCGTCCCGACAATGGTATACTAATTGCTGCCTTTTGCCAGTTCTGGAAGCAATTCTTCGAATCGTCCGCAAACGTGTCTCTTTCCGGCTACGAAGACCACACCAACGAGAACCAAGATGAGACGAGCGCCGCTGAAGATAGCAGCGCCGTGCGAGACGAGATGACAATTGACGTAACGGCCGACCTAGACGAAGAAGCAACAATGGTCAGCGGCGCGGGACAGCATTCAGCACTGCATGGCGACGAGTCGATGCTGGATGATGCCGAGCTGGCTGGGAGCACGCCTCGTCCTCCACTGAGTCAGACCAATAAAGCCAATGTCTCCCAACTTGAATCTCCTTACGAGGCCATGCGGCGGGAAATGAATGATGAGGAGGGCGTTACAATGAAAACGGAGGAGTCAGATCAGGAGGATTCTTCCGTCCTGTTTGCGCAGCATACGGCACGGCTACCTGATATATCAACGACACCAAAAGGTCAACCCAACCCGCAAAACAGAGACGGGTCGGTGCAGCGCCACAAGGATCCTCTACTACATCGCGTCCTCGACAAGACTTATCGCCTGCAGGCTACGCCTCACAAGTCAGGTATTCGGATATCCCCCCTCAAAGGCAAGCAGCCGGAGCTGCCACCGCCACAACAGAGAGACGTGGCGATGTGGCAGGACGATCCCATGTCGTCTCCCGAAATTGCCATTCCAACACTACGAAGCGAAGCTTTCATGTCTCCGTACAAACGACAGCGCCTGGCAGCGGCAAGTCAAGCTCCTAGGACCCCTGGTGTCAGCGTGCAGACTCCCGCCACCGCAAAAAAGACCAAGGACGTGTTTGCCACGGAGAGGGGTGCAGCCTCCGCGGGGAAACCGCATGAGATCGACTGGGAAAGCGATGACGATGACAATCTCGGCATGAGCCCGCCCAAGACAATCCAGTTTGCACTACCGCCCTCGAAATTGCTCCAGACACCGGGTAAGTTGCCTCTGGAATTGCATTACTTACAGATTGTGACTATCCGAAAGTGGCTAACCTATTGTCTCTCTTTTTTTCAAATATAGCACGAGAAGCTAGCAGGAGGATCGTAGACGATATCCTCATCGATGCTGGGGCGGGAGCAGACTCTTCTGAGTTCAGTCCGTCAATGGTGAAGATGAATGATGATATTCTCAATGAGAGCTTCTAGATGGATAGAATGGACAAGGAATGTCACTGAAATAATCGATATACCCTTTTCTTTTTTCTTTTCTTATTTTTTCCTGTGAGAAGTAGAGCAATTCTCATGAAAAGAGATGTATCTTTGCAGCTATAACAGGCCGCCAATCATCATCGCGGTCGCTGGGCCTAACCATGTCAGTCACATTCTCGGCCTCCCTTGAGGTTCAGACTAGAGTGAGATCTATGTTCTCAAAAGCCATCCATAGGTGTCCGTAATACACCTTTCAGGCCCTTTCAAGGAGCCTTTCGATCGCTGTGGCATTGCCATCTCATCACCATCGCGGGGCCCCAACTGTGCGTCAGAACTTCACGTGAGTCTCTTCCCGCGGCTCCCCGACCCCCAAACAAAGCCCCCAGCACTGGATTGACAAACCCCAGGTCCCTCTGCCTAAAGGCAAACAAAACTCGACCACGCCAACCGACAACAAACTGCGATTCCGATGCCAACAATCCCCGCTAGAGGAGGGGGCTGGCCTGAAGTATGCAAGGGGTGAAACCTGACAACTCGTTTTTTTGCTTTTCCCTCATTCAGCTGGGCAGTGTTTAATTAGCTGCCAGATATCGGCGAATGATGTAAGAGTGAATCTCGAGGGCCGTCCAGAGTGTAGGTGTGATGGCTATTGGCGAGCCGCTGTCCGCTCTTCACGCCACTGTCTCATCCATCCCACCCTCCCGCAGCATATCATTTACTATCATCCTGCTGCTGCCGCTCTTCTCTTCCTCTTACTTTTCCTCTTTCTATTCATCTGCCTTTTATCCTTTGTTCTTCATTCTTCCACCACTCGTACCCATGACTTGCGTTAGCATGACTGCTCCGACGGATCCTCAGATCGATCCTCAGATCGATCGTTACGCGGCGGAACGCCGTCGCTTAAAAGCAATGTCCAAACCCTTCCTCAATGATGAGTTCTTGGAGGGGCCGCCTCGATTCCGGGGCAGTGACTACAGACAACCGCGGCTCCGCCGCAGCACTTTTGATCTGAAGACGCTTGTTTTCGAGTCTCGGCTTGGAGGCGGCGACGATGGCTTCGTCTGGAAGGTCAGATTCGGCAACGAGGGACCATTCGCCATGAAAGTTGTAAGTGACTACCCATCTCACTATTAATCGGCTCACACTAACGATGCGAGTTCAACAGTTTTGGGACCAGGTGCCTCCTCAGGAGGTTGGATCCTACTACCCGATGCAGCGAGAGTGCCAAAATGCTGCTGTCCTCCAGATGATGGAGGCGGCCGTGGCCAACGAACCAGTTTTGGTTTACACACATCCGTATGGAAAAGGGGACGCCCATGAGAACTATTTCTCATTCTGCGAAGAAAACGCCATCAGTAAGCTTGGCATTAAAGCTGACCCGAAGACGCTGCCTTCAGGCACCAAATTGATCACAGAGATTCCACGATTGGCCCAATGCTACGGCTGGGTGAAGTTCCCTAGCGACACGTTAGAAGGACTCCCCATCAGCTTACAGGCCACGCACGACGAGCCGCACAAGGTCAAGAAGCTTGTGGGAAGCCACATGGACTGCATAGCGATTGTCTACGAGTTCATTGAAGAGGGTAAAAACTCATTGGGGCCCGTGGAGAAGGTGGACAACTTCCTCTGGTTTGCCGGCTTTGCCTATGCGAACGAGCCCGAAGAGAAGAGCTGGAGGAGCAACGTCTTGGTTGACCACTCTGAGATCATTCACACTCGTGGATATGGGTGGAATGAGGAGGATTACATGGACAGAAGTGCCGAGCAGATCATTAGCGACGAAGACTTAGAGCATGAGATGGATCCTGATTACAATCTTTCATGATCTTTCGAAGCCTTCGATGAATATCATCGTATCATCGAACAGCATGTATTTATGAGTGCGATTGGGCTAGCTATTATGCATACTTCTGTATGGGCCACTAGGATATAATGGATCATGAAAGGGCAATGGGCGGGATTACTTGGGAAAGCGACATGATTGTGCAACCAGATTGTCATAGTAACAGCACTAGTCAGCGCAAATTGAAAACCGGTTTTGCTATTTGAATTTGATGCTATATCTAATGATCATCGACAAGACTTTTTGTTGAGCCATCTGCCAAGTAGGCTTTACTCTGTACATCTCTCTGCTACATTAGAATACAGAGGCGTCCAAGGCGGCATCATGAGCAGGGTGCTTGACGCCTATGGATTTCGTTCGAGACCATGTCTATCCAAAAAATTGTCTCCGGAGTTTGCTCCACGGCTTGGGGATAGGCTGATAGGCAACTGGACAGCAAATGTCTCACATCGAGTGGGAAAATCTTGAGTCGGTATGACTTCTAGGCTCTTGTCCTGCATCGGCTTTGAGCAGTTCCGTGTCTTAGTTGACATTTCTTTTCTTTTTTTGCAAAGTCAGCTGCTCCTCCAGCATGTATCAAGGCTTTCGAGTGATATCATCACAACCCCTATTCTTGTTTGCTATTGGGCACGCAAAAGATCGGTGAGATGGATATCCAATGAGGTCGAGTCCTTGTCAAGGGAGATGAAGGCGTCCAGGCTACTCCGCACGATTGGTCAAGACGGTTCCCGCGTTGTGCTCATGTGGTGTAAAAGCTGACTGCTCCCTTGCATGATTTGATAGGGGCTTGCGTGTACAAGCGTGTTCCATCTTTAGGTTCGGGGTCTTGGCTTTGAGGATGGGAATGTCCAATAATGCAAGCCAACTTATCAGATCCTGATGTGCATAATAATAATACCGAGTATTACCAATTGATTAGGTAGAAGAGACTCGGCTTATCATTACTGATAGGAGTGGGAGTAGAGGATGGTAACGATAGTAGAAGATGGAAGTGGTGGTAGATGATAGTAGCGGTAGTAGATGATGGTAACGATAGTAGATGATAGTAGTCTACTATCATGTCTTTCTACCAGGGGTCTCATCTGATTCAAGCCTCTCTCGCTCCCTCGGAAGCACTCCCCTCATGCGACTGTAGAGGCCTTCATCTTCTCAGTTCCAGAGAACTGACTGCTCAGAAAAGTCAGCTTTAGATCATCCAGCAGCGGAATCAATCGTTGGTGATAAGACGTGAAGTTACTTCTGACGATCCTCATGAATAATTCCTCCGAGCATACGGTTCCCAGGCCATGAAAGCTCTTGTCCCAGTCTTTGTCTTCGCTCCAGAGGCGCCCAAGCATTGCTCTTTAATAGCAAGGCCGCAATCGATGAGAAACGCCGGCCACGAAGGGTCGGTTCTATCCTCGTTGATCATGAGATTGTTGACGGATATGTCTCTGTGTAGAATTCCAGCTTGATGTAGAGATTCATGCCCTTGGATGCAGTCTTCAGGCGCATTTAGCAGAACTGGAGTGGTGCTCACCTTGTATATAGCCTTTCCACAATCTCGAGCAAAGACACGCATGTATACCTGATTTGCCAATGCCTATTCGCTGTCCTGCTAACTGGCATTGTTCGCCGTGCTCGTTTACGGAGAGAGCTACCGGATTGACTGTGAAGAGACCGCTTAGCATCAGCAGTTCCGTCACTATCACCTTCGCCATCAGCCGACTGGGATAACGGCTCCAGCTGATAGACTTTTGCGTCTCTAGGGATCAGGCCACGACGAATGTTGCCGTGAATCTCATCGAGTTGTGATCGGACGTGGACGGCCCCATGATGGTAATGCCGTTGGATCATGACGATTCGTCTATCGCCTTTGGAGCTGATAGTTGGGTCGAATCCTAGTGGTTCTTCATCCATCCATAGATCCAAGAATTGTAGAAACAAATCGCAGCCCGGTTTCACTGTCTTTGTTAATACCGAACTCCTCAGACGCAATCACTCCCAAGACGGTCGAATTCCCAAATCCTCATCAACAAGCCGCAAAATGTAAAGTCCAGCACAGAACGACAAATATATTAAACGGCAAAAGCCTCTTGCGTATCTTTCCAAGTCAACCCAGGCCTTGGACGGCTTGTCGTCCAACGGATCACTCTTTAGCTCCCCAGGCACAAGGATCCGGGATCAAGGGTGTCGAGCTTTTTCTCCAACACAACATCAACGGTATATGCTATTCAATGGTTAACAAGAGACCCAGCAAGTATATTTAGTCCTCCACAAACCCAACTACTGGCTTGCGCTGTGCTGTGGAACTGTCGATTGGTGTTTTGGGCTGCACCAGCGGTCTGTGTTGGGGAGAAGCATTTAGATTGTGATCCTCCGCCAACGCTGCTAACTCGTTGCAAGTTTCGGTAAACGAGTCTAATACATGATCCTGAGTTGCGTTCTTGGGCTACCCGCGTCATCTATCGCCAGGGCCAACAAGGGGGCTATCACTCTCCTGACACTTGTCGAAGATGGCCTCCGACGCGGCCTCAAGGCCGGCCACATCACCAAAGAAAAACTCGTGGAATCGGGGGAGATCAACGTACATGGCATCTAGTTCTTCTCGGGGGACTCCATCCACATTTATCCGATACTCGGAAGAATTTGCGAAGCTGCTTGTGTTGCGGTTTGTTGTAAAACGAGTAAGATCGGGACCAGGAGAGGCGGTGGAGGTGTCTCTTCGGCAACGGCGCGAAAGACATGATTTCGAGATGCGAGCATCGTCACAATCCCCCCTGAAGGCAATTTTTAATAGTGGCGTAATACGGTCGACGACATCAAGGGCATCATCGTTAACGTATGGAACCAAACGCGATATATCATCGAGGAGGTTCTTCCTCTGCCCGCTAAAACTGAGCAGGCTGGAGGGCATGAAGAGCCGTCAGCGTTATAATAAGTTTGATAGCAACAGTTTGGAGACCGAGTTGGACCCAGTAGGAGAGGCGTCTGCTCTACATCTGGTCAACGCGATATGAGAGATGCGAATAATACCTTCCTAGTATGCGATATCTCTTTCTTTACAAAGAGGGACAAAGGAGGAACAAATCTATCAAGGTCATTTCCTATGGGATTGGCACAGATAATATTCGTACCGTCAGCCATGGTGCTTGTGGTTAGTCTCAATATAAAGAGAAAAAGTCAGCTGTTGATCTTGGCTATGTAACCGCTATTTCCTTCTACCATCTGCTACTATTATTTTCTTCTACTATCGCTACCCTCCCCCCGTACCTGCATGCGCTTTTGTGACCCGGGATGTTCTATGGCCAACTTGGAATGCTGGCTACTAAGCAAATCCCTATAGATAGACACTACCCATAATCAGTGAGAATTTTGGTGAACTCTTACAATGTGTCCAGTAAAAGTAAAGCAAAGAAATAGAATGTTTGTAATTGTCTCGGTCCGTATACTAGATGTGCAGTCGTACTCATGTTGCGTATCATATCTATTTACATTTTTGTAAACAAATAGTCACGATTGATAACGATGATTGCAGTTTGCAGCAAAGTGATGATAAGACTTTTATAGTGAATATCTAGAAATATATAGAGAAAAAATAGTCATAGCAAAGAATAAAGGGTTGAATAAGCAGAAGCTTTCATCTGCTCGATACAAATCATGCCGCGTAAAATCATCGTCCAGTCCCAACTCCATGTCGCTTCCCGTGAGCGCTTCTATATTAATAAAACCGGTGGCATCTCGCCTTATGTTGAAAGAAGATGAAAAAGAAACTAAAGTCGAATGCAGCGGGACAGTGCCCGCATACTCCTGGCGCTAATTCCAAAATCTCACAGGAGGCATCAGAGTCTCGTTTGGTTTGGCAAGCTTTGATGTTTGCCTGGAAGAGCTGCTGCTATTCCTGTCTCCCAGTAGGGCTCTCTTTTCTGTAGCAACGGAGGAGATGGAAGCAGTTTCGCTCCGGTCATCCCCTCGTCGCTGGCTGTGGAGAATGCCGCCAATTCTCTGGCTGAGGGAAGATGAAGACTTTTCGGACTTGGATTCGAGATCCTTGTTGATCTTCTTGCCCAATGAGGGGCCAGGTCGTTCAGCCTTGCCGATTTGAAGGCCGCCGTGGTGTCCGATGAGAGACATTATGATAGAAGATTGGTTTGAGCTGTTGCTTATTGTTAGTCGGTTTATGCTTATAGCTTGTATTGGTTGTGAGATTGAGTGGGTGTGCATACAGATTGGAGTGGATTGGTTGAATTGTGGAGGGTGGTTGATAACCAAGCTTTGTTGTTTTGGTTTCCAGAGCTGGAATGTTGCTTTTGTTTGTTGCTGTTGTTCTGATTGATGTCTGCCTGAGATGGCCACAACAACCAGGCATCAGCCAGGTCTATATATACACAACCAGGCTTCCATGAAACTTTGTCCTTGTCCCGCCCGGCAACATCTCAAGCCATTGAAAAAGCTTAGTTGCGTGTGCTTGGCCCACATTCCACATCATGGCCACGATGCTAGCGTCAGCAGATTGCCGGCACCAGAAAAGTTTTCCAGCAATACGCACCCACCCAAGCATCCCATGCGTATTGTCCCTGTTTGAGAGATGGTGTGCGTGCCGGACTCCGTAATGCAGTCACCACTAACTAGCCTGGTCGCGCGCACAGCCTGCCCAATTGACTCATTGCGCGGGTCAGCCGTTGCGCGTAATGGATCCCAGGGCCAAGCACCAAGAGAAGCTTGTTCGTCCCCCCTGAGCCAGCCTTGTGGGGGAGGGGCCGGGGTGGAGACGAGCCAACGAAGGATGATGACGAGTTCTGCCTGAGGAGGAGGATTTGGATTGCTCAGGCAGACAACGTTGATGGCCAAGGATCGAGTATGGATGCGCCAATGACCACGCGGCACTTGCTGCAGGTGTGGTATTGCTCTGTGAGCCTTGGCTACTCGACATGTCCAGAAGCTTCTTCTGATTCTTCTTCTTCAGCTCCGTAGTATTAGACGATGGCTTCTAGATGCATTGCTGTCAGTCGCGATGGAAGCTTCGCCTCATCCCCTGATCCCACAGTTGCCAGATTCACACCAGGACAATCAACATCCACAATTAAAGTAACATAAGCTCATTCATTTCCCATCGTGACTCCAAGACCTGCTCTGTTAATTAAAATCCATGTAAGTCACGCCTATTTGGGAGAAGGACCAGGTTTGATGTTGGCAGTGCCCGGCTGAGTCACCGTTCACAAAGAAACAGCCACGTTTTCCCCTTTGAGAGAGACGCCAGAGAACCTTGAAGGGATTGATCTGAAATTGGATGCGCTAGTGGTGATGCTACAGTACTGTGCTGCACGAGTAAGAGATCAACATTTTGGAAGCCCGTGAATCTTTGCATCAGAAATGGAATCTCGGGTAAAACCGACGGTGACGACACTGTGCGCACGCTGATACGTGTGCGTTACGCGGACTCTCGTCAGCACCGCGTATCTCTGCAGCCAATTTGATATGAGGAGATACTTAGTGCGTGCAAGCTCAATATCCCTCTAGAGTCTAGCCTTAACATTTTCCCCCAGCAACTGCCATCAATACCTACTTGACACTGGACATGCAATTGCACTTTCCCTCTGCTCAGTATCTATCTACATGTGATCTATTTCGGTGCCCGGATATATCCGTCACAAGCCGTTAAGAAAAGTTTTTTTCTTCTCTTGCAACTATTTTGTGCTATAGACACAGCCATGTAAAACGAACGAACTAGGTGCAGCACATCGTGACTCTTTTCATGCAGCCTGCAATTTCGTTATGACTCCCATTTTCTAGTCCTAATCCAAACCCGGTACAGCACGACTCCATCCGCCCAGCGGCATTCGATGCGATTTGCTGAAGCAAACACAAGCGCTCCACGACCCTTGCTTGGGCTATCAAGAGCCAGAGTCATCACGGGTCAATTTGCAGCCAAGCGAGAAACCTTATGTTCGAAAAGCTAAGGAGCTTACGAAGGGCGGAGGATGCCGTTACGTCGTGAATGAGAAATGGAAATCTACGAGGGTGGATCGAATATCAGCGCCGAAAAGAGTAACAGCGAAAACATTGATTGGTGCCTTGTGCCCATCAACCTGGTAGCCGTTGTCAGTTGCTGGGACTGAGATCTCGCACAGGATTATGTACTCGAGCACAATACAGTTGCCTCGACTATCTCCTACTCCGTACTGACAATGATTATCAGCAAGTGTCTGTTCCATGATTGGGGCGTCGAGCAATGAGCACTTGGACAGAATGCATGTCTCTTGATCAATCTTGATCAATCTTGATCATTTTCCTCCAGGCCAAAATGGACGTTAGCATCTATATAAAAAGATAGTCATTGGTAAAAGACAAAAACGCCTTGGAACTTGCCAAGTCTCCGGATATTCTCTATCCAGGCATCTGTCCAATCTCGCAATGCACAGCTTCATCAAAGAGCTCTTGAACATCACCAATTCTGTCTTGTTCATCGACTCCGCAGCTTCTAGTGTCATGTGGAGCTGCTCCAAACATTTCATTCTGCGCTAGCCTTAGCGGGGCGACTTATCGCATCTTATCGATATGAATCCAACATCTTATCGCTATCAGCTAGAAAAATTTCCCAGTTTACTCTCAAATTCTGCCACTGAGCGGCGAGCGCAGACTGCCACGACAAGCCATCATGGAGGACCAAGCGCATAAGCCGCATCGCAAGAGCAAGGAGAAGAAGGAGAAGAAGCAACACACTGGGGGTAAGTGGTTCTTAGAATTGGAGTCTGGGATCGCCCAGAAATTGCTATACAGACCGGATGTTGACCTTTGGCAGAGCGCAATCCCAAGGCGTTTGCCTTCTCCAAGCCCGGCAAGCTTCAGAAACAGGCTGCCAGATCATCTGATGTATGTTCCTGTCCCAACATCCTTTTCAAATGCTTAACGATTGATAAATCTCTTTATTCGAACATTTTCAATATCTAACCATTTGCTAACTGCCTCCGAAGATCAAAGAAAAGCGTCTCCATGTTCCCCTTGTCGACAGACTCCCAGATGAGGCGCCGCCGCGTCTCGTCGCCATTGTCGGCCCCCCGGGCGTCGGCAAGACGACTCTGATGAAATCGCTCATCCGGCGATATGCCAAGGAGACAATTTCAGATCCCCAAGGTCCCGTTACCGTCGTCACCTCGAAGAAACAGCGGTTAACCTTTGTGGAATGCCCCAACGAATTGGAAGCCATGGTGGACATCGCCAAGGTTGCCGACATCATCCTTCTCATGATTGACGGTAACTATGGCTTCGAAATGGAGACTATGGAGTTCCTTAATATTCTGGCCGCTACGGGTATGCCAGGTAACGTGTTCGGCGTCTTGACCCATCTCGATCTGTTTCGCAAACCTGCCGCTTTGAAAGATGCCAAGAAGCACCTGAAGCGAAGGCTGTGGACTGAGCTATACCAGGGTGCCCACCTTTTCTATCTCTCTGGTGTTATGAATGGCAGATATCCTGATCGCGAAATTCATAACCTATCTCGGTTCCTATCTGTCATGAAGAGCCCTCGACCCCTCGTCTGGAGAAACTCCCACCCTTACGCCATCATTGACAGCTTCCGCGACATTACTCACCCAACCAAGATTGAAGAAGATCCCAAATGCGACCGATCCATCGTTCTATCGGGATATCTGCGAGGAACAAACTTTTCAACCCAGGGCCAGCGAGTGCATGTTGCCGGCCTAGGAGACTTTACGGTATCGGCTATGGAAGTGCTGCCAGACCCTTGTCCTACCCCAGCAATGGAGCAGGCCTTGGCTAAGATCACAGGAAAGACAGGGCGGAGGAGACTGGACGAAAAAGAAAAGAAGCTGTATGCGCCCATGTCTGATCGGAGCGGCCTTAAAATTGATGGTGATGCCATCTGGATCACTAGAGAAAAGGGTTTCACCTTTGACAAGGATGCTGATAATACTGAGCGTGGCGAGGGTGAAGAGATGATCATTGGACTCCAGGCTGAGCGAAGATTACTTGGCCAAACAGAGGATGGTGTACAGCTATTCAGGGGAGGCCAAGAAGTCAAGGCACTGGATGAGGTAGAAGATACCGGCAGGAAAGAGCCACGAAAGGCCAGAATTGCTGAACGGGAAGAAGAGGACGACGGCGAGAACGAGGATGATGAAGGCTTCGTCAGTGGGAGCGACGAGGGGGAACCAGATGAGGAGGAAGAGTTCAATGAACGAAAGTTGGGTAAAATGTTCCGCAACAAAGATGCCGACAAGGAGATCAACGGGGATGACGATGTTGCATTTGCAGACAGCGACTCGGACCTTGGCTCTATCACAGACCTGGACGAGGATGCGGAAGATGATGAAGAGTACGACTCTGATGAGGAGACTGCCGCCCTCAGATGGAAAGAAGGCATGGCCGACAGAGCCATGAAACTTCACTCCCGGAAGCGTACATACCACACCGCAGATTTGGCTCGCTATCTGTACGATGGCTCCATGACTGCCAGTGAGGTTATCAAGAGATGGAAGGGTGAAGAAGACGAATCAGAAGAGGAGGACATTGAGCAAGACTCAGAAGACGAAGAGTTTTTCAAAAAGACATCACATGAGAGCGAAGATCTGGTAGAAGACCGGTCAATACCAGAGTACGACTACGAGGACTTGGCAGCCAAGTGGGCTTCTCAAGAGAACATTGAAGCCCTGAAGAAGAAGTTCACATCAGGAAAGAGAAACGGAGGCGGAGACGACGATGACGAGGATGGTGAGTTTGGTGGCTTCGATGACGACGAGGATGGAGATGGAGATGAGGGTGACGAGGACAGCGAAGGTGATGGTGAATTCGAGGACCTGGAAGCCGACCCCCAAAGTGCACCCCAGCAGCAGACAGCGGAAGAGATCCAGTCAGAGCGTGAAAAGAACGCCAAGAGGAAAGAGGAGCTCAAGGCGAGATTCGAGGAGGAAGACCGAGATGGCTTCATGAACGACAAGGCAAAGGCTCGGAGAGAAGGAGGCGAAGACGAGCAAGAGTTTGGCGAGGATGACTGGTACGACGCGCAAAAGGCCATGATCAAGAAGCAGCTGGACATCAACAAAGAAGAGTTTGAAAACCTGGATGAACGCCAGAGGGTCGCCGTCGAGGGTTACCGTGCCGGCAAATACGCCAAGCTGGTCCTCGAAGGTGTCCCGTCTGAGTTTGTCTCACGCTTCGATGCCCGGCTGCCCATCATTGTCGGCGGCTTGTCGGCTACAGAGGACCGCTGGGGCTTCGTCCAGGTGCGTATCAAGCGTCATCGCTGGCACAAGAAGATCCTCAAGACCAACGACCCCCTGATCTTCTCGCTCGGCTGGCGCCGCTTCCAAACGCTGCCCATCTACAGCATCTCCGACTCGCGGACGCGCAACCGCATGCTGAAGTACACGCCCGAGCACATGCACTGCTTCGGCACCGTCTACGCACCGCTGATAGCACCCAACACGGGCTTCGTCTGCTTCAACTCCTTCTCAAATGCAACCCCAGGCTTCCGCATCGCCGCCACCGGCACCGTTCTCTCCGTCGACGAGTCCACCGAGATTGTCAAGAAGCTCAAGCTCACGGGAGCCCCCTACAAGATCTTCAAGAACACCGCCTTTATCAAGGGCATGTTCAACTCGGCCCTCGAAATCGCAAAGTTCGAAGGCGCCTCCATCAAGACCGTCTCCGGCGTCCGCGGTCAGATCAAGCGCGCTCTGTCCAAGCCCGAGGGCCACTTCCGTGCCACCTTTGAGGACAAGATCCTCGCCAGCGACATCGTCTTCCTGCGCGCATGGTACCCCATCAAGCCGCACCGCTTCTACAACCCCGTCCTCAACCTCGTCGGCTGGCAGCCCATGCGCCTCACCGGCGAGGTCCGCCGCTCCGAGAACGTCGCCACCCCTCAGCTCAAGAACTCGCAGTACCGCAAGATTGAGCGCCAGACCCGCCACTTCAACGGCCTGCAGGTGCCCCGTGCCCTCGCCGCCAGCCTGCCCTTCCGCTCCCAGATCGTCGCCATGAAGCCTCAGAAGAACAAGACGTACATGCAGAAGCGCGCCGTCGTCCTCGGTGCAGAGGAGAAGAAGACGCGTGCCTTTATGCAAAAGGTGCTCACCGTCCACAACGACCAGGTCGCCAAGCGCCGCGCCAAAAAGGACGAAAACCGTGCTGCCTTCAAGAAGAAATTGGCCGAGGGCGACGAGAAGAGGGAGGCCAGGGAGAAGAGAGAGAGCAAAGAGTACTGGCGCAAGAATGGTCGCAAGAGGAGTGCTGGAGACGACGAGGGCGGCGGTGGTGGTGGCAAGAGGAGAAAGTGAGGGAGCTGATGGAAATAATGGCGCGAGTTGCGTGTTTAGCAATCAAAGTTTCAGCATCAGAAATAGATTTATACTGGCTACTGTACTCACTTACATATTCATATTATACTTATTGCCAATGCATATATAACACTAAGCACGTCTCCTACCTTCTTCATACACCATGTGATTATCTTATGGCCGTCACTCAATGATTACATACAATCATCATGGACATAATCATAACAAATCATTCAATTTAGGCACTCTCAAACAGAGGCAGATAGGGCGGAGGGAAATAATATGCAAACCCAACCTGCAAGAAACATTTGCATGCTACTTAAACTAGAGAGGATTCCACAACTAGCTCTCTGCATAGAGCCACCAAAATCCATATGGAAAAAAAAAAGGGAGGAGAATCTCAACACAGTGCAAGGGAAAGAATAAAGGGAAAATAAACAACCATCCCAAACTGATAAGGGAAAAAAAGAGTTTGCAAAACAAACCTACCGGCCTTGTAGCAAACGCCGTTATCCTCCACACTCCTCCCCGGTGAATGTGCCTCTATTAGCGTAAAGGGTCACTTTTCTTCAACAAACGTTTCCCCATTACGCCGATAGGGCGGATATCATGATGCTCCGATCGGTGGTACACCGTCGGTCCCCAAAGTCATGTGTCCTTCCTGTTCTGATTTCAATCTTGAAAATATCCATCACCCCAGGGGGAGTTATGATCTGCCGTATAAAGAATGTGAAAAGCACTATTGGATAGCCCAGCGTTGCGTTTATCGCTTCTTTAACCGTAAATAATCGTGCGCGTCGACAAATCCATTTAGGCATGGATGGGTTCTTGAGGAACAACTGGTTCGGTGGCCTTAGGCTCCTCAGTAGGAGGGGAAGGGAATTCAGGGGACTTCTTGGCGGCTCCGGGAGCAACGCCGTGGCCGCGCAGAATCTCCTGGACCTTTTCAGTATAGTCTCCAGCATACTGCTTGCCGACGGCGGCGAGATGGTCGGCCTGCTTCTGAGCAGCATCTCGAACCTGGGCAGTCTGGGCATTGATGGCATCGGCAGCAGTCTTGAGCTGCTCGTCAATAAACTCCTGGTTGGTGGAGTAGATCAGGGGGGCGAAGAAGGCGAGGGAGGTTCCGATGATGGCAAGAACCCAGTAGGGCAGCACCTTGATCAGGAGGCCTGAGATGAAGGCAGCGACGCAGGCCTAGGGTGGGAATAATTTAGCTCCTAGTCAATCAAACCACAAAGCTCGCGTGCGACTTACGGCAGCCGAAACGCCGACATTCTCAACAAAGATGATGCGCTGGCTTTCAATCAAGAAGAAGTTGATGAGTCCGTGAGCGTCGCTAACCAGCCTCTCAAAGGTATCGCGGGAAAGTGTGTAGTACTGGCGGGGGCGGAACTGAGAGGCCAGGCCGTTACTAAGGACCAGTTTGCCAGCAACCTCGGCAGCAACAGTGGTAGCCAAAATCATCCAAGACAATGAAAGAGTCCAGCTAAAGAGGTTGAGGTACCGAACGGCGATGATGGTAGCAACGACGGAAACATAGGCGATGGCCGAGTTGCCTACAGGGAACAGTCAAAAGTTAGCATGAAAAGCCGTGCCATGTCTGCCACGATTCGTTGTATCAAGAGGTGAAAGTGATCCCACACACACGAAAGAAAAGAGGCGGGTGCATCGCAGCTAGAGAGTGGGCATATGTTTGCAGCAGGCAGCGGGCATTACTCACGAGGGTTCTTCCAGGACAAAAGCTGGGAGAAGAGCGAATGGTAGGGCGTCAAGGGCTGTTCAGTGCTGCCGTTGGCGGCTTCTAGAGCTCATCGTCAGCTATACAGGAGGGGCAAGGGGCGGCTTGAGGCCTTGTTCTGTCACATGCAAAACTGCCCAACCCAAGCGTCAGCATCCGTCATCCAAGATATTACTGGGCAGACCCCGTTTCCCTGTATGTAGGTACGGGATCGATCGAGCGGTAGGCAAGTGGGAAAGGGAGCAGAAGCGTAGCAGTGAGCCCACATACCTTACTGGAGTGGCCATTTACTGTGCCAGCTGTATCGGCCATGATGATTGCTTTGTTTTGCTTTGTCGTCGGGAATTTGGTTGGAGAGACTTTTTTTCTTGGAGGGGTCTGTCGGTCGCACTACCCTGGCGAGAGCTCCTTTGATGCGGGCGGCGGCGAAGAGAGGTCGGAAGCTCTGGATTTCTAGGGCTGGGCAGCTGTCGGCTCAGTATCAGACCAGAGATAGGAAGAAGACGAAGGAGAACAGAAAAAAACAACTGCGCAGAGCCAGAGGCGGCCAAAGCAACGGAGCGTCTCCTTTTGGCCTGTAGGGAAGCAGGAGGTGGTGATTCGGACAACGTACCTTTTTGCGATGTGCTGATGGAGGAGAGAAGAGTCGCAGTTCGGAGGAGGGGGAAAAGCGCTGAAAGTATGGCGGCAGGTGGGATGCTTTTTTTTGCTTGCCCTGGACTGGAGTGTGCAAGAGGGAAGTTTATGGAAGGACCTAGGCCTGGTCTTTCAGGTGATGGTCTGGTGGAAGCTGCGGGCAAGCTTGCTCTTGCTAGCGGCAGGTGTCGACGTGGTTGTGACGCTGCGATTTTGTGTGCCCCTCCACTTGCTGCCTGCCAGTTTTTCTGCGGCACTGGTTATGCAATTTTATCGATTTTTTAATTTATTTGCTTCTTTAGGATACGATTCTGGGGCTCTTTCCTCTTTCGTATCTTGTGGCTTCTATCAAATATAAACTTTAGGGTCTTTTCTTTCTCCCTTTTTTTCCTCTCCCGCCTCCTCGCTACCAAGGTACTTGCTGTATGTTACGGAGTACCTCCACCAGAAACAACACCTTCCCACTCTGAGAAATGAGGAAAAAACTAGGGGAAAACACAAAATCACATCAAAATCAAAATTAACATGTGCTGGTGGGGAACTGGTCTCCTGCTCTGCGGCGAAGAGGGTACCTGTTCGGTATGCACAAAGTACCTTAGCTCCGCCGGTGGAGTCTCTTTGCGGAGGGCCAGCGCGGAACAGGTACAAGCTCGGGCTCGTAAAGCTACAAGCTCGCAGGCATGATGCAACACGATGGCGCTAAGAGCAAAGAGCTGCGACAAGGTGCTACAAGGCAAGCATCGTCACCTGCCCACCAATGACGCAGCGCCCTGGAAGCTCCATGAATCGCTACAATCTTGCTGTTCTGCCCACATCCGCTCGCCCACGTTGCCTCTTTAATTATCACGAGAACTCCCTTGCCTTTGCTGTATGTAGGAGTACCTATACTCAAGGAGGTACTTATATGCACCAGACCCGACCCGAGCATTGGCATCAGCATCTTTACACTAGACGCCCAGTATCCGACGCCTGCTGATGCGCTCAAACCAAGACCGTGATGCCGGCCGTCGCAGATAAGCAAAATGAGACCTCTGCAGCCAACCAGGCGCAAAGCCGCCCCCGGGGAGCCAAGCGGCATCATGTATCATGTACTGTACCAGCACTGCTGCACGCATGCATGAGACTGTAAAAACCAACAGGCCTGTCTGACGAACCAATAGTGCTCCGTTAGAGAGATTAGAATAGTACCAAGGCTGGTTTAGATGCTCCGTAAATGCGAAACCCTTTTCCCCCCATTAGCTCCATGCAATCGGCAAGCATCGACCTACCACAGCGCGCCCAGTAAGTTGATATTACAGGTTGAAGGCAACATGCTCGGCACCTCCACAGCTTCCAAATCTACAAAGGTCGGGAATGGTGGCATCATGCCGCCCAACCCTTTTAGTCCCACCAGGGCGCTCTTCCGCTCTCCCGCCATCTTCGCACATGGGGTTTGCTTTTGCTTTTGCCTTTTCCATCATGCTCTCGACCTGATGTAAATCATCCGTAGCACGAGAAACGGTCATTCGCCTTAGTTGCCTCCGGTTTCCGGTCCAGGCACGACGAGGCTTTGAACAAAGAGAGCATCAGCTGCCTTTAGCCAGGGCACGTGCTCCATTGCCGCCATTGGTCATTCATTCATTGGTCAGGTTCTGTCGCGATGTGATGCCGAGGCCAATAGGTATAGTAGATATGATTGATAAAATATGAAGCTCCTGCAGCTGTGATGCAAGGGAGATGCAAAGGTCATATTGATGATCAGAACTTTGGTGGTTGATTCCGATATGCTTGGTCTCCTGGGGGCTCTAGGTTAGTACTACCTGGTACTTACTGGCTCGATATATGTGCGCGAGGATCATCCCTAAGACGGTGTGGTCCATCTGCCTTCAGTTTTGTTTTTTGTATTAGACAAAAAAATAACACACTCTCAAGTTGAATAGCCAGTTCATTATAGGAGATCATAGGTTGAAAACTGCTCATTGTTCTAATAATGCTACACTATTCGACCAATGTGAACCCGAAGTGTGAGGTTCAGGCCACGCCCAGACTTGCTATTGCATGACATCGTGAAGTTACCAGTTCGCACCGCGACAGGCAGGACTACAAGCCAGCAACCACAGTCTTCCTATGTTTTGGCACTGGATAGCGAAGCTCAATAGGTATTTCGATGAGTCCGATGAGTACCTGTGACATTGAAAACTGGGCAGATACATGGTGGGCTGGGGGCAGGCACTAGCTGACGACAGTGCAGGAAACAGCGATGGGAGGATGCTCTCAAGCATTGTGAGGACGGAAGCTGACTAAAGAATATTACAACTTCGTTGTCCACTTGAAATCGCTTGAGGCATTGGTCAGAGCAGTAGATGAGATGATTCAAGGCGAAGCACTCGGACTGTTGAAGTTTGCCGTCGCAACCATCAAGACACTCGAGTTTGTGAGGGCAGGGCAATTTCACGAGCATAGCAAGTGCCTGATCTTTCCTACCGTCGCAACCCCTTTCAAATCCCAGGCTTAGACCCGTCCTACAGGATAAAAGCAAGCACATCGCAAACTGCAAGGCGACTTTCGACAAGACTTCAAAGTACATTTTGCATCGTATCCAAACGATCAAGGAGAAGGTACAAGCGCAGGTCTTGACCCAGGATAAGCAATCATCACCACGGACTGAGACGCTGACCTCCCACAAGCCGCTTTTGACAGCGAGAGAAGGGCTCAACTCTCTTCAATAAGCGCTTGCGGAGGCTTTCGAGCTGGAAACGTAGCCTCCCAGGCACTCATGAGCTGAACGAGGAGAGCCTCTTGGTGCCTTCCGGCCAGGGCGGCAAGCCCAAAGGGACGGCCGTTGAAGTCGAGGTACGACAGTGGCATCGCGGCAACAGGATAGCCTAAACGACATCATGATGGTGAATTTAGTCAACTGCGCATCCTTTGTCCAGGATTAGTTGTGTAACACTCACCACCGCTCGTGGCCATGGTTGAAATGAAACCATCGGCCGGGCCAATGATGACGTTGACTCCATGGGTTTGAAAGACACGCTCCACCCCCGAATCCCTCGCCACCTTGCGCATGTGGGCAAACAGGCGGTCATACTCCGTCGCAGAAATGTTCTGGTTCTCACATTTGATAAAGGTGTCCTGTCTCGGATGATCTGGATATTTTCGTCAGCGGCAGTAGTGCGACTCCCCAAGTGTTAACCATTTACATACGCGGGGGCAACTCCTTATCTGCGTGTTCTTTGTTGAACTCGATAATGTCAGTAATGGTGCGCATCTCGCTTTCTCCAAGGTCCTGAAGGTAAGCTGTGAGATCTCTTTTCATATCGGACACTATGGAGAATCATGTCAGGCGAGCTGCAGGAGCTAACAAGTGCTGGCTAGTAACATACTGGTGATGATATCCAGAGTATTCTTGCCTTCCAACTCAAATGAATCGACTGTAACAAGGTCGACGTCGTCGACGAATTTGTCTATTTTTGGCTTAATCAAATCGTACGCCTCACGAGTTTCCTTCAACTATCTCCAAGTCAGCCGTGTTGACGAGGAATTTGGGTGTTGGGGATGTTATATACTATCTGGGCTTCGGCGCCATCTGCCGGCTTTATGAAGCTGTCCGGGTATCTCCACTTCGAATAGTTGAGAGTTGCGACCGATATACCGGACCATGAGCCGGTTAAGCTTTTTGTATACGACTCAGACGGAGACCTAGAGGCGAGAACATCAAGCAGCACCGCAAGGTCATGGGAAGTCTTGGTCATTGGTCCAGCTGAATCAAAGTTGGTTGACATGGGCACTATGCCGTGCTGGGGGATGAGGCTAATGGTGGGCTTGATGGTGTACAGGGCAGCTCTTCCTGCTGGGCAGAGGAGCGATCCATCAGTCTCAGTGCCGACGGAGATGGGGGCGTAGCCAGCTGACACGCCAACAGCGGAACCGGATGACGAGCCCGAAGGATTCTTCAGGCGGGTTAGGAACATTCCCTTCCCTGTGTCGGGAACAGGAGTTTAAGGCTCACCGAGTGTCCGTCTTTGGAATCGTCGTGATCCAGGCCGCCACGGACATAGGCAGACTGCACTGGCCACCGATGGCAGACCAGCCGCTCGGCATCATGGAACCACTATTACAAGCCGTTAGATGTAGACAGGTGAAAGAAACCCCAGGGGACCCGACCGAGAATTGGAACACTCCTGCAACACAATATATAAGGTTAGTTAGTCCATCAGATCGATGCGGGACGGGGGAATATGAGTACATACGCTGAGATTAGCCTTGCCCAGGATAATAGCGCCCGATGCAATAAGCTATGTTGATCGCCAGTCAGCCAGTAATCTGGCAAGGAACGCGAAAGATATAGGGGCCACTGTACCAGATCAACGAGCTTGGCGTTTTTCCTTGGGCTTGGAACTCCAGAGAGAGAGACTGCCCGCCGTTGTTCGAAGACCGGTGTTTGGGTGTGTCGCGATGTTATCCTATTAGGCGGCCTCGTTAAGAAACCACGATAACTCAATGCCACAATCCACGCGGCACGTACCTTGACGAGGACGGGGATTCCGTGCAGTGGACCGCGGACTTTGCCGGCAGCTCTCTCCTCGTCCAGGGAGGGCCCTGGTGACCTCTCGGAGGAATCCAGGGGCGTAGTCTGGATCATGGCGTGGAGGTAGCCGTCATGCTTCCGGATCTGGGCGAGACAGGCATCAACGAGGCCAACGCTGGTGATGGAACCAGCAGTCAACATCTGCTGGAGATTTTTGACGTCGGCCGTGGGTAGGTTTGGCACCATCTTGATCTTTTGCGAGCGCAAGGCGAAGCTAACAGGAATAGGGGGCGTGGCGGCGCACGAAGTCGCGGAGAGGACTGAACAATGTCATGAATGCCAGGCTTGCCAACAAACCGCAGACTGCGAGCTTGAGCAAACCGGAAGGGGGCCAGGGACGAAGAGAAGGGGACAAATGCTGGCGTCCAAGAACTAACGTCAAGCACGGGTTTGCCATTAAACATTGAGCGCCCGCAGGTCAAAGCGGGGGACCAGAACGCAGTTATGATAAGCTTCCAAGATATCAACAAGCTGCTGAAACTGGCGGATGTACAGTACAAGGCTTTCGTCCAATGCTTGAGTTTATACGGCAGCGAGGAAATTGGTGACACATGGCTGAATTACAACAAGGCATTACTTCTTGATCAAGGTTAACAATCTATCTCAGCCCGATTCAATTCCGTTGGCTACTCTCAAAATCTCAGCGTCTACATCAGAACATTCTCCTTGAACCATGGTAAATAGGTATCCCTTGCCCAGGCAGTCAGCCGACGGACACCAGCAATGACCGAGTAAATATCCATCAAGCTCTTGGTGGTGCCAAACACCCACTCCGCCCAGAGCGTGGTTTTCCCTTCATGATACGTGGAGATGACGAGGTGCCATCGATTACCTTGTACAATGATGCCTGGGATAAAGCCAAGTTTCGACAACACCGCACGCTCTTCTGCCTGGAACTCTACTTCCCCTTCATCGGCGCCTTGAGCTACGCGTCGTTTTAGAAGCTTCTGACGAACGGCCCATCGAAGAAAAGCCCACTGGGAAGCATGCCAGATGCCGATTTGCACCTGAGCCCTGTCCCATTCCACCCCGGGCTTCCTGGTTCCGATGCCAAGTACAAGTGGGCGAAGTTGGAGAGGTTCAAAGTCGGTATGGTTGACAGTTGCAGTTGGCGCAGTCATGCAGAACTCAGCCATGGCCGCCCTGAGTTCCTGATTCTGGTCGAGCGAGGCGTATATGCAGACGTCAATCATCCTGCCTGTGGATGGCATCGGTTCGAATTCTCGATCCGGTCGGGCTGTGGTGCTGTAACGAGCAACAGATGATGAAACTTAGCATGGTTTCTTATATCTATACGCTGATAAGAAGTATGGAAGCTTACCAGAGTATGGCATTAAAGTCATCGCACTGTCCACCAAGACGGTCTTCGAATATGCCCCGAAGCAAGCGTAGAAGAACCCCACCATTCCACATAAGTTCTTCACCCTGAAACTTTTCACACTCTACGGCCCTTGCTAAAATGATTTTGACCTCTTCAAAAGACGGGATCTGGCCAGGCAAATCATCGTCGTGGCCTTCGGGCATGAAGGAAGAGTCCCATCTTCTTAGTGACATTGGTTGGTCCTTGAGCTTTTCCTCAATGGTCGACTTCAAAGCATGTGGTACAATATCACGGCCACGTCCGATGTCATCCATGAGAAAGAACAGCTCCTTGGCGGCATCAGGCACCGTGTTCTCATTGAGGACTTGATATTCTACACTCGCCTCACATAGGCGCAGGCTCATCATCTGTCTTTGTGGCGGTGACACTCCTGAGATAGAGCTCGCCTCAGAAGCCGATGAGGAAACTGAAGCCGAATCGCTTGCAACGCTATGAAAACCTGGACGAGATGTTCCATTGAACTCGGCCAGCGATGGAAATCGGCGTGTTTCCGGGGTGGTTAATGTCATGTTTGCTTGTTATTGTCGTCGGTGTCTCAGCAAAACTTAGCAGGAGGACTTGGCGAGACGATTGTCGGGCACGGATTTTGCGTGTTCTGGGAGGGAGTACGTGCTCGGCGTGCTCAGGAAGACCTTTGAACCTAAGTAGGAATATTCCCCGTTATCTATGATCTCGATGACTCGCTATCAACGTATCACGACGAGATGCATTGTTGTCATAAACAGCCGAGCGGGCGAGAGACGCGATATCTTGCATAGGTAAGTAACGCTTCTATGCACTGCTTTACACATGTACGGAGCTCATTGGCCCAAATAGATGAAGTACCAACTCGGGGTAAAAGCCACGAAGTGTCACCCTCCAACAACGGAAGACGAGGCTTTGGTTTGAAAAGCGGAGACTTGCGTTCATCGAACCAAAGAGCTTCCGAGAGCCCTGTCGCAAAATGAAACCGGCGAGCATTGGCCTACCACAGCGCGCTCAGTTATTCCATATCACGGACACGTCGAGGCACAGCTTCCAAACTTTCTCGCCACGAAGCATGTGATTCATTGCCGCCATTCGCTGGTCAGGTTCTGTTGCGATGTGATGCCGAGGCCTCGCCTGCAGCTGTGATGCAAGTGAGATAAATGTAAAGGTCATACTCACCGCTGGTAATAGCAACAAGTCAGTCATTTCCGCAGTCCATCGTATTCGTAGAAGCAGGCAGAAGAAGAGACCGGAAGCCAAGAGGGAGAGACAAATGAAAGACAAAGTATAAGCTACGACGACTTCACATGTGCTGCAATGCAATGACACCCCGTTTCTCACGATGCATCTCAACCCCTGTGCTAGGTATTTGCGTCCGCTATGTCTGCTCAAAACTGCCTCGCAAGCTTCGGCTCGCAGGAATATCCTCTGACCCATCCCATGCCATCAAAAAACTCCGTGCTAAGTTGGAAGAAAAAAAAGAACGAAAAAGAAGAGAAGAGCAAAACACGCCTCGCTCCAATAGTATGAGCTGACCCTAATGCATAGATGAAAAAGACAGAATGAAAGAAACAAAAAAGCCGGGCTTGTCCGTCTCAGAGACAACACCCTCCGTTCTACCATGGCCATTCCTCCCAAGAGTGAAACCCTTCCCGTACGAGTACGTACTGCGCGCCCTCCCAAGCAAATGCAACCTTGATGAGCAGCAGCAGACCAAGGGCTCATTTTCACAAGTCGTGCATTGTAATCAAAGGCCCCAGGTAGGTGGCGACAACCATGCGTATGGGTATTTCCCAATCCAACTTGCTCGGTGGCATGCTATTCTCCCATCTCTTTATCCGGACCTATCCTCTCTCTTCCTCTCCCACTCCGCTTCTCATGTCTCACCTGCGCCAACCCCAGAAGCCACCGGTGCCGGGAGATGTTGTCGTAGCTGGGGCTGGCGCCACTTTGACGGTGACCGATCCCGGGACAATAGGAGCGTTGGGAGAATCGTTTGGTAGCCCGTAAGCCTTTTTCAACGCCTCCAGCTTCTGTTTCGCTTCTTCAGCCTCCTGCTTCGCAATGGCCTGCGCCGTCTTGGCCTGCACAAGATCCAGGAGCAGCGTGTCGAGGTCGTTCGTCGATGACCTACTGTCATCATTTGACACCATTGGGGTCGCTGGCATCGACGCTGGCGGCGGCGGGACAAGATCGTTACTCTGCAGCAATGACGACTTTCGTCTATTATTCGTAGCGCCCTGAGCAGCCATCGACTTGCTACGCCCAAGCTTAAACTCCCTCAAGCCGGCGGGTGGCTTCGGGGTCCACTCCGCTCCCGAATCGCGGCCACCAAGGGGATCCCCGGATATCGGCCTCGATCTCATAGCTTGTATTTGCTTTTCCAGCCGCTGTTTGTCCTGGTGGAGAGCTCTGACATGGCTATGACTTTCCCGAACCTGTTCTTTGAGAGACGACATTTCCTGGTCCAAATCATGGATCCGTCGGCTAAAGTCCTGATTCTGCGACATGGCACTGGCTAGCTGGTCCTTGGCTTGATCTAATTCGACTTGCAGTTCCGACTTCTGACCAGATGAGGGCGACTGAGGTTTGTCCTTCTTTTTGGTGTCGTCGTTTTCATCTGCATTTCCGAAGCGGCTCTCCACGCGATCGAGCAGCTCTGAAAGGTCCTCGGTGGATGGCGCATCCTTTGCCTTGGTCGAGCTGTCATCAGACTCCTTCTCTGCTCCTCCTTCTTCCTCCCCTTCTTTGGCATCTTCAGTTGCATCTTCAGTCGCATCTTCAGCGGTCGAGCTGTCAGCTCCATCCTCGCCTTCGCTTGCTGCTGCTTCATCCCCGCCGCTGGCTCTCTTCCTGAGTCCATCCAAAAGGGATCGCACAGCCTTGCGATCCTCCTCTCTCTCCTCTCGCTCACGCTTCAGCTCGCTCGACAGCAGCGCATGATTCCGCTGCAACTCGCTCAGTGCTGTGAGGAGGTCTTCGATCTGGCTATGCAGATACCTATCTTCTGTGTTCTTATTGGTGCTAGGAGCGGCCTTGGGTCCTACTGGGGTCGATTCACGGCTTCCGGAATCGTCCTCATTTGTGTTTGAAGAATCTCGCGACACGGTGGTGGCATCCGTCGAGGATGAACTCGTGACGCTCATGGAGCTTGCCTCAACTGAGTTTAGAGTCGAGGCAAGGCTCTGTTTGGAGGTGCTCCGACGCAACATGCTCAGCGGCCGTGACGGCGCACTCAATCCCGGAACCAATCCTGAGCCTCTGGGAAACGCACCAGACGATGCCCAGATGCGACCGAGGAATCGGGCTGCGGCTGTTGCGATGTCAGATGTGCGAGCGGTATTGGCGGTCGCGACTAGAGATTCGCGGTATCCCTGCTCGAGCTGGGCGAGCTTCTCTCGGGTGACTGTGCTTGTGAGGCTTCCGAAATCTTGCACAAACTCGTCGGCGTTGTAATGATAGCAGTCCCACAGACCCCTGGATAAAAGGAGCTGCATCACGTCTTCTAGCTCGGTGCAGGACAGCAACCTGGTCTCATTCCTCCGCATCAGTGATAGCGCGACGCGCATTAGTGTCTCAGAAGCGCCCTCGGCGAAAATAACGTCGTATATCCGGAACAGCATCGGCAAGGGGCATGTGGTCGCGAAGAAACTCAAGAACCACTGCGAAACATATGCCGTTTCCACCTGCAGATCTTCCAGGTGGCTCCACAGCATAGGGAGATTAGCCCGCAGGAGTTCTCGGAACTGGTATATTCGCACATGGAGTCCCGAAAGATCTGGCAGAAAGCAACTCCTCAAATCATAGCGATCCATGAGACTAAAAACAGAAGATGCCCCAGTTAGTACAATCACTTGTGTCACATCGGTCCAAGGGTAGCTGTGCCACCTTTGACTCTGGATGGAGAGACAAAAAGGTAGGGAGACGGAGAAAAAAAACAAGGGCAAGGGAAGCCGCTTACCGAACCAGAACGCAAAATGCCTGCTTGTCGGGCATGTGCATCAACAGAGGCCCGACGAGAAAGGCGAGGCCCTGGCAGTAGCCAATCTTGGTGTCATACAGACTAAACGTCTTGAGTACCCGACCAAGCATGCGCTGTCCATCACCATCAGGGTCGCGAAACATTTCAACACCAGGGAAACTCCGGCCGAGATCCTTGCCTATGAGACCCTCATAAGGGCTAGATTCGCCATTGAGTCGCTCGTACTGTTCCTCCAAGCTGGCGTCGCGAGCACCAGACATGCTCTGCCACACAACGCCTCGCAACGGTGGAGGGATTCCCTTGCGGATCTTGTTGGACAGCAGCGTGGGGAGCCTTGCCGCGGTCTGCTGGTAGTCCTTGACGAGAGCTGCGTAGAATTCAAGATCTGTCATCGGTGGTGGGGGCAACATCGAATATCGTAACGCGGCGGGTGTAGGGTCGCGAACCATCTTACGGAGCTTAGCCATCGATGGCGGGCGCGGTCTACTAGGCTGAAGCTTCTCAACAAGCTGGACCTTGACGGTCTTTGGATTTGTCGCCAGCTTGGCATTTTCCTGTTCTAAACGGGCCAGAAGCAAAGCGGTGGACTGCAATCACGGGTCAGCGGGGATGGGAGTTCGAAGGGGGAGGAGACGACATGGCCTGCATGTCATGACAAAGTATGCGCAACGTACATTATCAGTCTCTTCGTCTTTGGTCTGTTCATCTTCCGTCTTTTCCAGTTCCGCCCAGTTAACCTCCTCTGGATCCGAGCAATCGCTATCGACATCGTCAAACTCTCCAAGCTCGTCCTGAAGGCTGCGGTTAGGTTCTGCCGGGGCAGCCAAAGTAGCGGTCGAGTTTCGAGAGGCGGTTGTCGCATCGAGGCCGCCCTCGTCGGCTGGCTTACTGTCACTGTTCGTGTCACTGTTCGTGTTACTGTCCGTTGGCAGCGTGGGTGAGTCGGGCTGTTTGCTTTCGAGACAGTTGTTGGTGTCCAGCGACAGCGCCGGCGGCTCAGAGAGCCTCACGGTAACCATGGAATCACGGGTCGTCTTTGGTGTCACAGTTTCGGCATCGTCGACGGGCTTCGGGACTGTTTCGGCAGCCAAGGTGGGAGTGGACGGCTCGTGGCCGTGCTTTTCGCCGGCGTCCATTGCCATCAGGGCCCGCCTGGCTGGTCGTCGAGAAGAGGTTTGGTGTTGAGCCTGCTCTAGGTGGATTAAGGTAGTGAGGGCTTGTGGTGAAGCGGATTGCTTTGCTCCAAAGCCTTGTCCCTATTGTCCCGGGGGGAAACTTCAGATACCGCCTTCCTCCTTTCCGCCGTGAAGACGGCAGAGATACGGGTAGCGCAAAGTGGTTCGACTCGATTCCTGGAGCAGTCTGTGCTCAGCACCTCGTACCCAGTACCCAGTCTCTACCAGGTACATACGATACTCAGGGAACAGGTAGATCGGATAGTACTGTACGAGTAAGTACAGCACCAACGTAAAAGCGGCCCTGGATACCCCGAGCCTGCGCCGGTGTGAGAAAGAACAGCCTTGGTTAGCGGGTGTTCGGTGAGCGGAGTATTCGTACGGCAAAGGCTCGTTTCATCGAGGGGTTAAAGGAGTTGCTTGTCTGAAGGCCGGGGGTCGCCTTGCCGGGTCCGTAAAATCAAGATTGGAGAGGGAGAGAGAGAGAGAAAAGAAACGACGAAAAATCCCCAAGGCCAAGGGCAGAAAGATCCTCCGGGGACAGGCCTAGGCTGTGGGGAAGAAGCGGCGTGCTGTATGTAGGTGAGCGAGCAGATGGTACAGTCCACAGTCCGGGCAGCGTGGATGGATGGAGTCGTGCCCAGATTGCTAAAGTATAGTAGACTGCTAGATACCGTGCTAGTCCTGAGCCCCGGAAGCGTCGTCGATGAAGTTGGCAGCTCAATTGGCGTGGGCGAGAAATTGCACCGGCTCGATGCAGCGACGGGCTCATCATCGAGTTTCGATTTCTGGTGTGTGCAATGCATATGGGGTAGCATCAGGTCAACCCATTCGTATCATTGGATGCTAATTGTCCGCTTGAGTACACGGCACCTCCAAGCACAAAGGTAACAGGGTACTCGACCTTGTGCCGCCTTCCGTGTGCAGCTCCAGGTATCTCTCAAACCTGAGGTGGTGCCACGGTACGGTACCTAGGCTGTAGCGTCAGGGGTCGTTCGACCCGCCCTGACCACCTTTGCGACTTTGTGTGCGAGTGGGCTCGTCAATGCATCACATCGAGCGGTCACTTTCAACTGGCCGTGTGTAACATTTGGCGTCATGCAGCAAACTAACGTGAGGTTACTGTGCAGACGTCAGTCATGTTTCTTTCGGGAAATTTTGTATGTGTTTTTCCTTTTTGTTGTTTTTCATGTTCTTTTTTTCTTTTTGTGGCGTTCTGCCAGTGCCCGTCATTTCACTAAGTCTAGCCGCTATCCGCAATCCCCTGATTTCCGTCTCTCTGCCCTATGTACTCCGTACAGCCGTAAAGCATCTCCTGCTTCATCTCATCTATCAAAAATACAAACATCTCCACAATTTTAAAGCGCAAAATGAAGCATGCAAGCGGCTTTGCCCTCACTTTGAGATCAGCGCCATTGTCCCTCGTTTGAATGGCCAGCAATCGCTGTTGCTGGGTAAAAATAACCGCCGACACTCGCCACAAAGGGGATGCCAACGCCAAGCAAGATCCACCCCACGCGCGGGAGGACATGGGTGGATCCTTGCCACCTCCTGTGGCGCGAGCTGGTGGGAGAAGAAGCTCCAGCCACCTCTTAAAGCCCCCATCTTGACGTCTTCTAGGGTATTGGGTACAATAGGTACTCCGTACTGTAGAGATTTTAGACGCCAGCCACCAAATTACAAACAGATGCCATGCAGCAAATCAGAAGATTCTCTGCCTTCTTTTCTGGTCGGTGGTGTGTCTGAAGACTATTCTATTTTTTGCGTTGAATGTAGAGTGAAGCGCTGGTTGCTCATTCGCTAGACGATATGGAGTCTATAGGTATTCCTGTTAGGTATGAGTTGTACAAGATGCCGTTCCACTTCGAGATGTCCTCATCAGGTTTGGGAAAACTTGGGCGACGCTACTCATACATGGGTCAGGCGAAGATCCCATTGGAGCAACACTGGTTATGATCCGACAACTTGGTGCTTTTTCAACGTAGAGACATCAAGGCTTTACAGTGCAAGGTTGCTCGCTTGTCAGGCAGATGACCTCGGCCCAGCATGATTCATTCGTCGTCCTCGCCATTAGGCAACTCAATGCCTAGAACCGATGCATTGGCATGATGTTACAACTCATAAATCGACAGTGACCAAGAAAATCAATCTTGCCACCAGCATACCTAGAACAAATCCGAGTGAGGAGATTTTTTTTCTCTCTCATACTGCATCACACCGCTGTTCTTCTTCAGCGAAGCTACCAACGTTAGTCTCACTAGCATAGCGCAGCAGCAGACAGGGATCCAATTCTCCAACTCAGCATCATAGAGAACTAAACTGCTTGCAGTACAAGTAAGCCAATGCTGCATCGAGCTAAGAACAAGCGATTTCTGCATCGCTCTGCTTTGGGGAATACTGACAAGGAAATGAACTGCTTGTTCCCCAGTGCGGCTCTCTCATAGGACCGATGCATGTCTCTGGTCTCCATCCGGCATCCATCCGGCAACTGACGTAGAGAGATCTATCGGCCAGGCATCGAGTCTACTTGTACGACAAGACATGAGCTTTAATTCATGGATGCCTTACGGCAAGCAAGTATGGAGTGTACGTACGAGTACTCGGCGGGATGAGCTGAAGAGGTTTGCACAGGTAGTTGGAATAGCATTGCACATGTATGTCTATTGATGCCCTCTCTACCTCATGCTGTGGAATGATACAAGTGTTCAATAATACCCTGCCCCCATCATCATCTTGACTGGTCTTTTTTAACAAGGCTTCTTTGACTGGCACCCCCCCTTCTTCTATCTAAATGGGCCTCTTGAAAAGTGTCAAATGCGGATCAACAATATTTCGAGACGCATCTCCACCATCGAAGAAACGTTCGCATATGACCTCGTGCCAATTGGGTCCATATTTACTCTCGCATATAATCGCAATCTCATTTGCCACTTCCTCGCTCACATCTCTCCACTCTATCTCTGTGGTTTCAGCTCTGTGTTGTGCCAAAGTTATAATCTCGAACGCGTGTCCTGCCCACACTCCCCTGTGAATAGGTATGGGACAGTCAATGCTGTCGCAGGGATCTGTTGACCAGCAGATGCGCGATATGATAACTTGGCCAAATCCAAATCCATCAATGAAAGGACCGTGGATGAATTCTGGTTTCAGAGCAATGGCTTCCGAGCGGACAAATTCCCTCGCTGTCAAGTTCCGAAGAATCCATGGCTGGTCTTGTGGAAAGTAGGTTGCCTCTTCGGCAATGATGTCCCGATATGTCGACTTGAATGCAGGATCATACCTGAATTTGTTCCGATCTCTGCATGCTGCATATATATCTATCGACAATTCTGACAGAGTGTGAAATCTTTCCTTTCTGGCAAGGAGGGGAAGAGTGAAGTGATACAGCGTCATAGGGACGTCCGACGTCCACGTGACATCGGGGACGTCGTAGTTGTAAGGTATGTCAATTGTTGTTGGTAGTTGATCCAACTCTTCTGCAGAGAACAATCCTGGAGGATAGTCCCCTGTTTCAACGTCATCTCCCACAAAGACTATCCTCAGAGCAGCCCAACGCCCCAAAAATGAAGCGTAATGTGTGCGGAGATGATCCCTTGCAATGGCCCAGAGATATTTGCTTGCCAGACCGAGGCAAACAAGGTCTTCGATGAAGTTGATTTGATCAAAAATCAGTCGATGCAATTCCAAGGGGAGGTTGGAAAATGTGGCAGGATTGGTATTGACCCCGTCCTTTGCGTCGCTGGGCTTTGTTTTTGCCCGCTGCTGGTGCGGAGAGGAGTCGGTATGCTCTTCGCTGTTAGCTTTGCGCTTTGGATGCTTTCTTTCCTGCATTTCCTGAGGCGAGCCTCCAGCGGCTGCTTCGACAATCTGGTATTTGTTCTGGAGCTGTGACTCTGAGCCCGTAGATGTGGCCATGTCAGGTCTCGGCGGGACGTCTTGCAGTTGAATGGGTACAGCAACGAGGCGCTCGATTTCGCTTCCCATCCAGTTGAAAAGCATGTGTCCAGGCGGACCTCTTAACTTGGTGTATCTCCCGACTTTTGGAGCTATGAGTTGGAAACATTCATGATACGCCATGCTAACGATATCAGATATTGGACTGTGCTTTGACACGATATGAATTTGATAAAGATGAGACTCCCTGAGAATCCGCATCTGCAGCTGGACTTTAACATACCTGCCAATGGAAGAAAGTGAGGGCAAGAGCAAGAGCGGTAACACGGAAGGTTCAAGTTATTGGAAGCCATCTGCACTTACTTTGCCTATCTGTTGACCTCTTCGTGAAGCCAAGCCTCTTTTTCCGGACACTGGTGGCAGGTGGTTGGCAAAACCTCCAGATCTTTGCAGTGAGTCACATCCAGGCATTTGACCTCCATGACACTCAGTCTGTGCTCCTGCTCCACGAAGCTGGGCAACTGGCATCACCTGCTGTAAGCCGACACTTGACTCTGATACAGCGAATGCGAGACTAAAAACCACAGAGTGACAGCATTCCAGACACTACCGAGGTGCTATATTAGCGTCAAAATGTCGGACCAGTCTTGGTCGCCGCCAGGCTACAAAAGAAAGCCCATAAAGACTTGGTGAGCAATCCGAGAAGCTATAAAGGGACTCAAATGCGTATCCATGGATGAAAAGAAGTCAATGTCATTACCATAGAGCAAACTTCTGGTGGCCCTAAACCCTCCTCTATGCTGGGTGAGATCAAAACTCCTCCATGGAGCTAGAGTTCTCCGAGGTTGTTGGACGGAAGCTTTGTGGCGTTCATGGCACAGACCGTCGATTCCATGTCCCACTACGAAAATTCCATGGACGGCTCGATATGTCGACTCATGACAGTTACGGCTCGACTCTTCTCTCTCTATTCTTCTTTATGATCTGATCTCATGGAGGGCTGGCTGAAAGCATCCGGGGCGACAGGCCTGGATGACCTGGAGCTGGTCGATTTTCCGGTCACCGGGCGCGGTGCTAGAGCACTGCGGCCTTTCAAGCAAGGAGAAAGGATTCTCACCATTCCTAGTGACTGCCTCTGGACAGTCGAGCATGTATACGCAGATCCTCTTCTTGGGCCAGTCCTTCGCTCTACAGAGCCGCCTTTGTCCGTCGAAGATACCTTAGCTATCTATCTCCTTTTCGTACGATCGCGCGAGTCTGGATATGATGGCCCACGAAGTCATGTGGCGGCGTTACCCGCGAGCTACTCTTCAAGCATCTTCTTTGAGGAGGACGAATTGGAAGTTTGCGCCGGGACTTCACTATATACCGTCACGAACCAACTGAAGCAGATAATCGAGGATGATTACAGGGGATTGGTTATGCGATTGCTTGGATTGCATCCAGATCTTTTCCCACTCGACAAATTCACTATCGCAGATGTAGGTATTATATGCGCGTGATGGATATTGCGAACCATTGACCAACGTCTCCTGCTCTTCTCTTTAGTACAAATGGGCTCTCTGCAGCATCTGGAGTCGTGCGATGGATTTCGTACTGCCTGATGGAAAATCGCTTCGGGTTTTGGCGCCCTTTGCAGATATGTTCAACCACTCACCTGAGGTTATGCAGTGCCATGCCTACGATCCCTTGTCTGGAAGCCTCTCTGTCCTTGCGGGGAAGAACTATGAAATTGCAGACCAGGTAAATCTACCTTATACCCTGATTGTACTACATGTACGCTTACTTGAAACTATTTCTTTAGGTTTCTATCTTCTACGGATCTATACCAAATAATCGTCTTTTGCGTCTCTATGGCTTTGTCATGCCCGATAACCCTAACGACAGCTATGATCTTGTTCTTTCAACACATCCTATGGCCCCCTTTTACGGAAAAAAGCAGAAGCTCTGGGCATTGGCCGGGCTCGATTCGATTTGTACCATCTCCCTTACTCTCACAGATCCTCTACCGAAGAACGTCCTTCAATATCTCCGTATTCAGCGGCTGGATGAATCAGATCTTGCTGCCATAGCGCTTCAGAAACTCGATATACGTGAGAAAATCGGCGATGCCAAGGAAGCGGAAGTTCTGCAGTTTGTGGGAGAATCGATTGGAAGTCTTCTGGATAGCTTCGGCACTCGATTAGAAAAGCTACAGGAAAACCTCGCAGAGGGCGTCTATTTTCCAGGAGGGAACGCATGGGCGGCGGCGCACGTCAGCCTGGGCGAACAGCGGGTGCTGAGACTGGCGAGAAAGAGAGCCGAGGAGCTGTTGGCGGTTGTGAGGAGTGGAAATGGGATGGAAAGAGCTTTATCATTGCCGCTGCATTGGTGTGCAAATTGTGGAAAGGATTCTGTGCCGTTGAGGTTGTGCGGGAGGTGTAAGGGGGTCATGTATTGCGGACGGGCTTGTCAGGTTGCCCATTTCAAACAGCACAAGGCGATATGTCGGGCAACAATCAGTAAGAACTGATATACAATGAAATGAATATGGAAACATTCCCGCGTTCCATATGATTGCGCAAGACGACTTCGCTTATTAGATATCTGGGCTCTTGAACATACTCGTATGTGACAGGTAAAAGAGCGATTGCAGCAGAAAGTTGCGGTCACAGAGATACATCCGGCACCATAGGTAATAATCTTTGAGACAATGAGGTATTCTCGTGCAAGTATTACAAGATCTTGCTTGATTTACATTGGGCTGGACAGCATAACCATGCATTCTTCAGACTCCATACAAGTCTGAGACTTGAGGGTGCACCGGGCATGGCCTCATCAATGCTTACCTACGTTTTCGTCTACCCAGAACGTATACGCCGGCTCTCATTTACTGCTCTACCTCAACACTCGCCATTTGGTCTTCCTGCCATTGCTCTTACCTTTGAACTTAGTAGACGACCTGCTCTTGTTCTTCCTAAAACGTACACCTCTCTAGGACAAGGGGCAGAAGAGGCAGGGTGTTCTCTTCGTAGCCTCATCCAACAATTAGATTTTGCTGTTTATGCATCGCTCCCCAGTAGAAGCCTCTCTTCTACCTGGCTGCAGCAATTTTGCAATGATATCACGGAGCAAAAGTACACAACTATTTCATCACTTGTTAACTTGAATATTCTGTATCAAGGCCAGGGTTGATGCCCAAACAGCTGCTTGTAAAAGTGATGTTGACCAGAACATAAAGTCTACCGAAGAGTGACTGAAAAGTAATGCGATGAATGAAAGAATGCGCGAAGAATTGGATGAAGTGCAAGAGGGTGTGATGGAGCAGATTGCATCAATGCCGCTGCAGGCACATTTAACTTTTCCTAAACACCCATACGTTTGAAATGGAATGGAACATGTCATATATGATTCTTTTGTTGATCTGACCGATTTCTCCATCGTTGACCTTGATCTCATGACCCTTGCCTTTAACAGACATGAGATGGTCCCGGCCCGGACAAATAGTAACACATCCCGAATTCCATGGCTAGAGCTGGTACTCATGCTATCAATACCCTACCTGGATCTACTAAATATATCGAATCAAGCCACACCGGATTTGATTCTTTATATATCTTGAACTAGGTATCTCTATACCGCTGCTATTAGCTCGTAGGAACGGTGAATGCCCGCCACCCGTCGGCGCTATTTGCAATAAGCATTGGAGCTAGCTCTGGCGCGAATGGCCTCATGGTCGCCTCAGCCCGCACCGGCTTATCGCATCAGTGATCCTAACTGCAAGCTACCTAGCCAGTCTGGCGCAGAGACCGTCAGGCAGCCCGAGCCGGCGATCTCTTTCGGCACAGCGCACGCCTCGGAGGTCACGACACCTCTAAAATGGCGTTTTGCAGTCCGTCATCTCGAGCCGCCCGACGGATTCTCAGCTAAGTAGCAACGGAGCAACACGCTCATCTTCTGCCGTCTACGAGTCACTCTCTAGCGTTTCCCCAGCCTATTTGATTTGATTCGCCTGGAGACCAAAGAGCCCGAGCAGGAGGGAGAAACAAAATGCCCCAATCGGCGGCACTTGTCTGGCATGTGGGAAGCCCACCCTCTTTTTTTTTCTGGAGATCGACGCCCACGGGAGTCATGCGTCCCATGAGCTGCATCTCCGGTTGGCTCTGGACAGGATGCATGTGGCATGGAGCACATAAAAAGTCGCTGCGTACACATCATCATGTACATCCTCTACTGTACGGAGTACTTACATACATGCGGGCATCAGTCAATCAATCAAGCAATCAATCAATCAGTCCGCCAAAATGCAGGGACTTTTTTGTACCACCCCAGAAAATGGGCAATCTGCTGCTGATCTCATGATGTCCTTGCATCAAAGTAACGCTCTGGTGTTTGATGCGCGAAGCAAGGGTACAAGCCCGCTAAAACTGAGAAGAGATCAGAAATGATGCATCGGCGACTCCATTCATCCCACGACCCAGAAGACAGAATGCGTTATGCCGTTGCGGGTCAGCTAAACTAACGGTCTGGATGGGAAACCAGGGAATGGAAGCCCCGAAAATCATCACCGTGACCGATAAATACGGAGTCCGTCCAGACTACTAAGGTAGCATTGCAACACTATGGAAGGGGGTCCTAAGCCAAACTCGACCCAGAAACACATGGCGGAGGAACCACGAGGACAAGCACGTTTGATGTTGTGAGAAGTTTGGGTTTGTTTTCCAGGCTCCGCACAGACCAGACCCTCCCTCTGCCATGGATTTATTCGTTCCTCGCTTCTGGCTTCTAGTTTCTAGATTCTAGTTTCCGTATTCAGCATCTTGGGAGGTATTTGTTTTTGTTCATTGGCATCGTGACAGGGAGGCAGCTGAAGCCCAGCTGATGCAGATCAGATCCAAAGCAGCAGCTCAGCTGGAACGGACACTCGCCCGACAATCTACGGGATAGCTTCGAGAGAGCTCCTGTTTAGCGCGGCTCCCTCTAATAAACCACTAAACCACTAAACCACAACTGTACCGTAGGCTGGGGAAGACTGACACCCCTGCCAAACAGCCCGCTTGTGGGCTTTTGCGCTCCCAACCCAGATTAGAAGGACCGCTGCACTCGTCCAAGCCCGTCGTGCTTCTCGCCATCCGCGATTCTTCTGCTCGTCTTCCTTTTTCTGTTCCTTTTCCTTTTCTCTCCCCTTTCCCTTTCCTCTTCCTCTTCCTCTCCACTCCAGCTCGCGAAAGCGGGAGCTTGTCGCCTCTTTTGCCTTATTTCGACCTCCCCTGCAAATCCCCCCCATGGCGCTCCCGGCTGAGTGCTGAGAGACAGACGGGTCTCGCTCCAAGCTGCTGCTGCCGCTGCACTGATCTACACAGGCGCTCCGGCTTCAAGCACCAACCATGTCGTCCATAGCGCTCCGTCGCCCTCGACCAGCTCCCCGTCGCGTATCTGCTCGACACGAGAGCGTCTCGCCATCAACCGTCACGCCGCTTCGCCAATTTGCCGTCCATCGAGCTCATGCCACGGCGGACTTTACAGAGGCAGACGAGGACGAGGATGAGGACGAAGATGAAGATGACGGATTCGAGAATAACAACAGCAACAACAACAGCAATAACAACAAAACGGACCCGGGCCCCATTGATGATACCAACAGCAGCAACAACGCCCGTCGCCGCCATCCCTATAGCTATGCAACCGACAATGCTGCAGGACGAGATCAGGGGGGTCAAGGAGACGATGGAGACGAAGAACGCCACCGCAGGAGACGCAATACGCTGCCCGTCCTTCCACTCTTCTCCTCAACGCATCTTGGTATGATATTCACAATCTTCAGGCTGGCCCTCTGCTTCACGAGCCTTCAAGTATCCCCCAAGCCTCCTAGCTGACTTAAACGCCACTCTTGTTTCCCTCTTTTTTAGACGTCCTCCCGGTTTACAGCTTGACTCACGCAATCCGAATCATCGTTAGCTCTCGTACTGAGACGACGCTTACATGGGACCAGCTACGCTCTCCCCAAGTTTCTCAATTCCTGATCAAGCCCATGCAGCAACAGATTCGCAATCAACACTTCTCGCGAGCCACTCTCTATGCCCTCATGGCAAACTGTCTGCAGTTCACTAAGGAAGGCCAGATGTATGCCGCCAATGCTGGCACCAGCAACACGAGGGCCAAGGTCTGTGAGCTGCTGTCTCTGAAGCTGCTCAAGGAATACTCTACCCGCGAACTGATTGATGCATTGGCCTACGACTTCTACCCCCTGCAAGGTATGCCCGGAGCACGACCACCCCCCACGGCTGGCAGCTCTGCCAGCAGGTCCAAAAACACCCCCCTTGTAGCGTCGCGGACGTCAACTCTAGAGGTTGCAATCCGAGCCTCGGCTAAACATTTCCTCGCCCACCCGGTTGTGGTCCAGCAGTTGGAGGCCATCTGGAATGGTGCCATTTCCTTCTATTCTTCTGCCGATAGCCTTCACCGGGAGTCGCCCTCGAGCCCCTTTTCGCGCTTCAATAGCCAGCCCAAAGTTGATGATAGGACTCCTCTCCTGGGCTCTCTGCCTCCCAAACCGGGGCAGTTTGCCGTTCCTCCTGGCAGGAGAACTGTGATGTTGTACGACCCCAGGCAGGCATCACTGCTTAAGCTGTCTCGCCTCAGGGTGCCGCGATATAGATCCTTCTTATCTACGCTGTCCCTTGCTGTTCTCATCGGGCTCTTCTTGGCTGTCCTATCTAGACGATCTTCACAAATCACCGGCCTGGAACTGGTCTTTTGGTTCTGGAGCGCTGGCTTTATGCTTGACGAACTGGTGGGCTTCAATGAGCAGGGATTTGCACTGTACATCATGAGCTTTTGGAACATTTTTGACCTGGGTATCCTGGTGCTGCTCATTGCCTATTACTGTATGCGTGTCTATGGCGTCTTCCTCGCCGACCCTCACCATTGGAATGCCATGGCCTACGATGTACTGGCCGCAAATGCCATCCTGCTGCTGCCTCGCATCTTCAGCATCCTGGACCACTATCAGTACTTTTCTCAGCTGCTTATTGCTTTTCGGCTCATGGCGGCAGACTTGGCGGCTATCTGTGTGTTGATTCTCATTGTCTGTAGCGGATTCTTTGTCTTCTTCACTTCCTCCACCGCCTCTAGTGATGGTGGCGAGGTTGCCTACAAGATATTCCAGATCCTCATGGGTTTCACACCCGCCGCGTGGGATGTGTATGACCCCCTTCTCCCTTTTTTTCACGCCTCATGCCTCACAATTTTTGAAACTAACATGACCACAGATGGCCATCGTACAACTGGCTTGCGCGTGCATTGTTATGCTTGTTCCTTATCATCTGTCATTTCTTGATTGTGTATGTGCTCCAACGAACCATCATCCTGTTGAGTCTCCTTTTCGAGTTTGCTAACTGTTTAACCCAGGACAATTCTCATTACCGTCCTGACCAACTCTTTCATGGCAATCGCCTCCAATGCCACCGAAGAGCACCAGTATGTGCCATTCCCATATTTACTGTTGCAACGTCATTCATCACTAACCCATTATGTAGATTTCTCTTCGCCATCAACACCATCTCAATGGTGAAGAATGACGCTCTATTCTCTTACATCGCACCTACCAACATCTTCGCATGGCTACTCATGCCTCTACGTTACTGCATGCCACTTCGCCACTTTGTCTTGCTCAATCGCATCATCATCAAGGTGACTCACTGTCCCATCTTGTTCTGTATATTCTTGTACGAAAGATTCTGGTTGGCGCCGTCCATTTTTGAGCCTACAGATCTGGTGGAGAATCCCGGAAGGAGTCGGGGTCGGGCCATTTCCTTTGGAGACATGGCCAACAGAACCAGTATTTTCAGCCCAAGCATGCGCGTACGCGAAGAGTCTGTGGCAGGTTATCAAAAGGATAGAGCCCTCGATGAGCTGTTCCTGCGTATGCCCGACGCCACGAGGACACAAAGGAGGCATGAGAGACGAAAGACACAGACGGCAATTCGAAATTGGATGGATCGTAACGACCAGGACGGAGCCGGCGGCACCAATTGGCCTCCAACGGATAATAGAGCTGTGCCGGACTGGCAGAGGAGGATGAGCATGGGCTGGGATCTGCGCTCCAACTCTAGGCAGCTATCCGATCTCAGGTCCATTGTCAGCGATCCGGCAGACTTTGCGTCCAATGTTGGGGGAACTTCATATCGAGCCTTTCCCATGATGGATCCCCGGTTCATGGACCCTCGATTTGCCCATCTGATGCCCGAGTATAAAGACCACACCGATGCCGATGGAGATGATGAACTGGTAACAAACGATGAAGATGAAGACGACCTCGGCACCAGCGCCGATCCCAATGGTCCGAGGGGAGGAAATCCTGCCCCGAGCGAAACTGATGACTACTTTACAACAACTCCCACGGGAGCGCGGTCAGCCGTTATAGCTTCCTCGCATAGCTCGGACGAAAAAGAAAAGCCTCCCAGCAAGCCCAGGCGAACCGGAATACACAATCGCACACTGTCTACAAACACCATACTATACAATCCTGGGGAGATGGACATGCCTCCCGAGAGCTCCGCTTCAGCCTCGCCGCCTAAAGGGCCCGTGCCTGGAAGCCGGGGCGGCCAAGTTGCAGACATGATAGCAGGCGAATCATTTACGCCTACCGGCATGCGCAGCCCCCCTCGACGATCGCTCTTCTCTCCGCCGAGCCTCAATACTCGCTCCACCATGCCTCCTCATGGCCTGGCGGGTATGAGCAACTTGAACAAATCCGCCATGTTGGGCATGGATCAGAGAACTCGAGAACGTGCTGCTCGAAGGCTATCCTCTGCTGATCTCAGCATTCTATCTGATAACACCAATCTCCCCTTTGTTGGAGATATCAATGCTGGCTTGGCGGGTAGTTTCCAGACGCAGATGGCCATGGCTATGATGAAGGACAGTCGACTGCGAAGTAAGGGGGAAGCCGAGTCAGCGGATCGCGATAGGATGGGAAGGCTGGTTCTCGCTCGCATGAAGACCCTGGAAGAAAGTTTTGCAGATGTTATCAAAGAAATGCGAGATTTGAAAAGCTCCACAGCTCCGACGACGAGACGAAACTCATCCGGTGAGGACCTAAAGATGGGATCTCCTCTCGAAGTGGGAAGATCGGATCGACCAAAGAGCCGCAAGGGGACGGCAACACCGAAAAAGGCGACTAACAAGAGGCCCGGTAGCCGGCGGAGCATGAAGGAGAGCAAGCTTGGTTTGACAATGACGGCGGATGTTAAAGGCAAGGGGAAGTATGTTGCCTACTCGACAGAGGAAGAGGGCGAAGGAGCAGGCGATGTCTTTTCAGACAAGAGAAGCTCCCTGTAAAACTCCGCCGGCCAATTTTCTTTGTCCTTTTTCTTTTCTTTCTCATGGCCCTCTTTTTCTCCAACTCCTTGTCTATAGGAGGATTTCAGGGACTACTAAGAGCATGTACCGGCGTTGGAGGGAAGCGTTTGATGGCATTTTGTGCCCAGTTACGTGTATGAGATTTGAGATATCTATTTGTTTCGGCGGATGAGGTCTAGGGGCCGGCTGAAAAGGGGAGAGGTTGGCTTCGTCTCTGTCAAGATGGGGCTGCGATTGGCTGAGAGATGTGTTGGCAAGGTCCATGTCGGCTCTTTTTTTATATCACTTTTGCATGAGATGATTTGTAACATGCGGCTGTAGCTCGATTATATCATTTTATAGGACGACTGATGTCGGAGATGATTTCATCTATACGAATATCAAACGAAACAGTACACAGCTGGCTGATCTATTTTTGAAAATGGTTGCAGCATTGTCGAATGTGTGAATAAGTGATTCGACACTGTTAATGAAAACATTGTCGCTGATTTTTAAAGCGCCTATGGTACGTGTGATGATTTCTTCAAGGACGATTGCACCAAGGGCCCCAAGGGCTGGTTGGTTCGTTATACACAGACCAAGAATCCCCCGAAACTAACGTCTGAAAATGCTATGAAGGCGAATGTGAATCGCTATTGATGATACGAAATGATGGACGAAGTACCTGATGGTAGTTGGTGGTAGTCCTGAGAAGTTTAAAGATGAGTAAGGTATTGTACAAGTGCTGGGTACGTCGTAGATCTAGCATGGGCTTTTCCAGCTTCAAATTGGAGCACAGAGATGAGCTGATTAATTCCATAAGCATGTGTTTAGACGACATGTTAAGGAGGATTCGGATTCCAAGTTCGACGGGTCGGGCAGATGGCTGGTCAAACATATATGACAAGCCTGTAAATATCCTTGATCTGATACGGTCGAGACTGGGATCTACCAGGCCGTATACTCAAAATATACAGCATTAGCCTTTGAGATCTGGAGACCAACCGCAGATAAAGAGGGAGAGAAAGAAGAGGCCTCATCTCCGTCATCTCAAGGGCTGGCTACATCTGCTCTTCAGTGCCCGAGCAACAGCCTCCCCAAACGGCTCAGGGGCCAGCTTCGACGCCGCGACTGGGTTGTGAATCGTGATCCATAGAGTACCCCTAATCTCTTTCCCGCCTCCCACGCCGTTCTGAAAGCCGAGGTCCTCCAGACTCCGGTAAATTGCGCTCTTCAGCCGTCTCTGCGTCAGGGTACGCACCACCGAGGCAGCTCCAGCACCTGTGATCATGATCCAAAGGGGCTCCTGCTGAGATTTCCGGAGATACTTTGCTCGTCTCGGAGCAGCAAGCGGATGGCCCCGAGGATCAAAGAAGCGCAGGTCGTGCGGATGGATAATGTGCCGCGGACTGAAAGCGATGGTTGCGTGATAGGCCTTGGACACGTTCTGCAGGCCAGGACCCGTGGTGAGTCTGCGGGCGGCGCCGTTGTCAGGCTCGAGATTGTGCTCGAGGAAGAAGGCCATAGTTTCGGGGGTCGTCAGGAGCTTGCCGTCGGGCTTGACGAACTTTTTGGCCTCTTCGGGGATGTAGCGCCTGATGGTGTCTCGGAGGATGGGTTTTCGCTGGGAGGGGGCGGGTGGTTGGCGAGGGGCTTTGGTGGAGGAGAATCGGGACTGCGTTGGGATAAGAGATGGAGATGAGATTTGAGTGAGTTTCTTGGTGATGAGATGCCTCAGAGGCAGGGGAAGCTGAGCTGCCACTTTCATGATGGTGTTGGTGCTGTGATTTGGGTTGTCATAGAGAAGGTCCCCTTTTCCCTCTCACTTTTGGTTATGCTATTTTATGAGTTGATCCAAGTGATTTAAATGTTTTGCTTGTAAGTTCTTTTCATTGATGTCTTGTAGTTTTGAGCTGTAATGTCAAAGTGTTTACATAGATCTATGAGCTTCGATAAAACTCACGATGAGCTTCAGCTTCACCTGGGACGTTGCAGAGCTTGAGTGTGATTATGTAATCCAGGTGTGGCGCAAGAACTTGAAAGTGTTGGAAGAAGAGAAAAGAGCCAAGGAAAAAAATACACATCGCCACCAGTTTTAGTTCCTGAGTGCCTGAATGGTACCACAGGAAAATGTAAGTACACGTACCTCAACGCCACTGTGGATTGTACAGTTGATCAGAGATTTTTCAGAGAGCAAATGCTATGTGAAAGAGAGAGGCAGCCAAATTGGATTTATGGAATCATGCCATATAAATATTAAATGTTTTTTTTACCGAAGTTGTTCTTATACTTCCTCATTGGATTCAAGTTTTGGCGGAATCTTTTACGCTTGGTGATATTCAATTTTCAGCCACACTTGCCTGAGGTAGATGCGTAATCTGGGTACCTCGTGCATATGAACTTTTGCCCCGGGAATGAGTCAAAATCCTTTGCTATTACTCAAGGAATGTTATCATTTCAACTATTCAGCGTCATGGGTAATACAAGGCATTTCAAGTCCTACTGAGGTACCTCAGCTCTCTAGGGTACTTCTGTTGCGTGAATCATAAACAGCAAAGGGCGCTGACGGGTGACTCCCATCACGTGACTATTGAGTCACCAAAGCCGCATGCGTTTTCGTCGACTGCGCCCAAATGCTAATATTTCGCCCCTACATAAGAAATCTGAGAGTCGCCGACTTTTTGACCTCCTGCATCCCCCGGTCACCGACACTCCAGATTTCTCGAGCCAACAGTCAAGATGCCCAAGAACAAGGGAAAAGTACGTTTTTTGCACCTCTTTTTCGCAGGGGAAACAACCACAGGGAACCGGGCGAGAGAAATTAATAAATAAATTAATTCCAAAACAACCCCTCCCCCGCCAAGTTTTTGTGTGGTTTTTTTCCCCTGACGCGGCGATCGGAGAAAAAAAAAATTCTCCAAATCCTACCTGATGACTTGGAACCAACGGCTAACAGCTTCTTCTTTTTTGCGCATAACAGGGCGGCAAGAACCGCAGAAGAGGAACCAAGGAGAACGATGACCAGCGCCGAGAGCTGACCTTCAAGGAGGACGGCCAGGAGTATGCCCAGGTCGTGAAGATGCTGGGTAACGGCCGACTCGAGGCTATGTGCTTTGACGGCAGCAAGCGTCTCGCCAACGTACGTTTGAAACTCCCCCCTGAAAAGCAACAACACAGAGAGAAAAATCAACACATCACATGCATGACGCTGCTTACGTCGCTCCACCACCCTGCATCGAGAAACAGCGAGAGAAAAAACGGAAGAAAATCGGGCTAACCAATACTTCTCCTCGTCTAGATCCGTGGTAAGATGCGCAAGAAGGTCTGGATCAACCAGGGCGACATCATCCTCCTCTCCCTCCGAGACTTCCAGGACGGCAAGGGCGACGTCATCCTCAAGTACACCTCCGACGAGGCCCGTAATCTCAAGAACCTCGGCGAGCTGCCCGAGAACGCAAAGATCAACGAGACCGACACCTACGGCCAGGACGGCGACGACAACGCCGGCTTCGAGTTCGGCGCTGACGAGTCCGAGTCTGAGGAGGACAACGACGATAAGAAGGAGCTCGACATTGACGACATTTGATCGCGCAGCTCCGAGCCGCCTCCCGGGGAAACAACTTGCGAGGGAAAAGGATCCATCATTATTTTTTCGCCTTTCCTCCTACTCTCTTCACATCAATACTCGACAACGCCCCCTTGCCCGTTTTTTTCGCCTCCCACTTCTGTGCGCTCTAGGGAAGAAGCGGGGGGGCGAACCCGACGAAAACAAAGGGGCCAGCCTACGCCCTTGGGGATTTGGCACTGCTGTCTTCTCTCTCAAACCTTTCTAGACGTGGCATGATGGAGGGGGCAAGGAAAACTTCAGATCTGCAGAATTCAAAAGTTAACCTTGCTCCCTCCCGGCTGCTGCTCGTTGGGTCCCACGACAGTTATACGGAGTGGAGGTTTTTCGATGGCCGCGGTGGGAGAGACGGCGCGGCTCGTCACAATGGTGTCTTTTTGTCTTTTCACACGTTCATGTTTTCCATCTATACTAGTACTAGGACTGTTGATACTACATATTTTTCTTATGGTTACGACTACATAATATTTTTGCCACAACTCAAGTCACCTGTGATGAGAAACGATCTTGCTCATATTGTGTGGATATTGCTATGCATGCTGCAAATTCTCTCTTGTGCAATCTTTGTTGATATTTCCCACTCTCCCTCCTCTTCTCCCTAAATCCTTATAACCTGTCCCACCACAAACAGAAAGCGGGAAACTCAAAAACGTACTTTATGCTACCAAAAACAAACTTGAAGCCAATCAATCTATCGAGCAATGACATCAAAAGGCCCTCCCCTCCAAACAACTCCAGACTCCCATACGGGCTTGCCACTCCAAAACACAAGCCATATTCTTCTCTCTCTCTCTGTAGCTTGCGACTTTTGACTGTCCCTTCTTTTTGCGGCAGCAACCGATGATCAAGAAATCCTCACGCTGGCACTGCCGTGAGTTGCGGGCAGCTTAGTATATAGCCATCGTGATCCCCTCATAAGGCTTAGGGATAATAGTAGGGAATGCGGGTTTCCCTCTGCGTCGTTTGCTTTCCCGGCCATCATAGGCATCATGCCGCCTGACGCGTAAATCTCTCTTCTCTTAATACTCCAGGTTTCTTCTTTACCAGTCATCATCTTCCTCTTCATCGTCTATGTATACAAATGGATTAGTATTCTAGTATCTTTCTCACTGAAATAAGGAATAGAAAAGGCGAAAACTTACCACTCTTGCTGACTTTATCCTTTCTCTTTTGTAAAGCTGCTGCCAGGGCATTCGCCATGCCACCACCAGCTGCAGGGCTAGGCGCAGCTCCACCGCCCGAACCAGAAGCTCCTCCAACAGTGGCCGCACTGCGGTCGTTGATCTTGCTTCTGTCGACCTTCTTAAGTGATCCGATGCCTCCTGCCTTTTGAATATCTCCAAGAAGAGACACACGCCCACCATCCGCTTTGGGAAGAGGTGCCGTAGGTCCTGATGAATATCCAGAATCTCGATCTGGCATTGCCGGAGGCGGAGGGGGGGGGGCGCCTGCTGCCGAAGGGAATGGCGGAGGTGGTGGGGGAGGAGGAGCGCTTCCGGCTCCTGGGATTGGCGGGGGACCGGGTGGTGGAGGCGGCGGTGGTGCTGGAGGTGCACTGCCAGCTCCCGGGATCGGGGGAGGGCCAGGCGGAGGTGGAGGTGGATGCGCAGCGCTGGCGACAGGCATAGGAGGAGGAGGTGGAGGTGGAGGAGGAGCGCTTCCAGCCCCTGGTGAAGGCAACGGCGGCGGCGGCGGCACCGAAGGAGGAGCGCTGACTGAGGGTAACGGAGGAGGCAATCTTGGTGATGGCATCGGCGGAGGCAGAGGAGGAGCTGGAATGCTGCTGGCTACCGGCATGGGAGGAGGGGGCGGCGGTACGTGAATGGCTGCCGGCGGAGGAGGGACTGGCCGGGCACTCGGAGGTGGCAGTGGAGGAGCGCTCGAGGTTGGCACCTTTGGAGGCAGCGGTGGAGGGAGGGCCACGGGAGCCGGTGCGTTGGCATCGCTGCCTCGAGGGGGAGGCGGAGGAGGGACGGGCCCGCGGCTTGGTGGCGCAGGGGCGCGTTGGCCGGCGAATGGAGGCGGGACATTGAACCTGTGATGCTGGTCTTCGGGCTCGAGAGGCGTTTTGGCGGGTACTCGAGGAGGAGGCGGGGGTCCGGGGACGGACGGAGCAGCAGCAGGCACGGGCTTCTTCCTCTCGACGACTGGATGCGCAAACTTGCCTGCGTCGGGCAGGGGTGGCGGAGCGTTGAATCGCGGCCGAGGAGGAGATGGTGCTCTCGGTGGACTGGGATCACCGTCAACCTTGCCGCCCGACCGCCGAGGAGCCGGAGGAGGAGGCGGCCCGGCCCTCTTGGCATTGGGCGAACCGGGGATGGGAGAAGCGGCCGCAGGAGCAGACGCAGGCGGAGGAGGAGGAGGCGCCCTCACGGCATGGCCGTTGGTCGAAGGTGAAGGCAGCGCGGGAGGAGCAGGAGGAGCGGGTGGTGCGGGCGGCGGCGCTGCTGCTGCTGCCTCTCTGTTCAGCCTGGCCTGTTCTTCTCTGAGGAAGTCGACAATAAACTCCTGGTTGTCCTTAATAAAGTCGTCCGTCAACCCCTTCTCGCTGAGATCATGGCCGTAATGCTCTCGCCACATGGGATCAAAGGCGTCCAAGAGGGCAAACTCGGAACCGCCTCGGCCGTCGTTCAAGCTAACCGAAGAGCCGGAGTTGTGAGAAAAGCCCGACAAGTTGGAGGTTGTAGTATCCGGCATCATGGAGACCGTTGAATGTCGGTGGAAGATGTTTCCCAGCAGGCTGTGTTTTTGACCTCCTCCCGCTGCATGGTTGGATCCGCCAAAAGGCGTTGCTTTCGTGGCTCGGCTAGCATTCTTTTCTCGCTCGTCCATTTTCTTTTTGAACTGCTTAGCCTCTTTTTCGTCGACGAAGCTGAGCGCGGCGAGGCATTCCTCCAATTCAAAGGTATGGAAGAAGGTTCGGTCTTGGTTGTAGCTCCATGAATCGAAGATTTCCTGGTCCCAGATGACCCCGCGGTTGGAGGGCTGTTTCAATTTACCAAAGCTGTTAACATGATGATCCTTTCTCTCTGTTTCTTCAATCGCTTGCGTTCACTTCCCGTCCTTCTTTTGTGTGGGAAAGACTAATGGCGAACGGGTTTTGGGGGAAAGGCAATTCGAGGGTTATTCATACCGAAATATCCACCATCTTGAGCCAGTAGGTGTTTCCGACCAAGTCGTTGGCCAGCACAACAGCGCCCTGCAGTCCCGAGTAGGTCCATTTCGAGCGATTGGGGTATGCAACGTAGAGCTTGGCGACGGCGACGGCCTGGATCTTGTTGGACTGCTTGGGCACGAAGCGCTTGACGGTGTCTTTGTCGTCGTCGTTGAGGATGGAGGGCATGTTGGCGGTGGAGCCGCTGGAGAGCGGTCGCTGGGACGAAGAGAAGCGGCAAGATCAAGGGGCGAGGAGGACGAGGCGACGCTGGGAGATGGCGGGAGAGCAGAGGCAAAAAGAGTCGTCGAGGAGCGACTATCGTAGTGTCGTTTTGGCGGCGTGGAAAGAGGGGGAGGGCCTAGATGAGATGGTAGCTTGACCGTCTCCTCTTTTCGTCTGGCCAGCCAAGGTTGGCGCCCGCTGTCAAAAAGGCAGCAGCTGAGTTCTTAATTAATGACCGGTGCAAGGCCCAGGCAGGCGTGGGCGATGCCCTCGGGCCGAAAACGCTAAGAAATGATGGCTGCTTCTCACGGGGATCGAGTCGGGCGTGCGTCTCCAACGGTGGAGGCATCAAGGGAGGTTTTGTGGAGGTTTTGCAGGACAAGAGAGAAAGGGAAGAGGGAGAGGTGAGGTTGAGTGAGTGAGCAAATGCGTTTCGGACAAAGGAACCGGAATCCGCAAGGCAAGGCGGTGGCAGCGGTTCTGGGGGCTCCGCTTCGGGGGGGTCTGTGGAATCCGCAGCGGCTGTACAGGGCACTAATTGCGAGGATACGCACGCACTGGCTCCCTGTAATTTAGAGCCGGAGGCCCGCGGGGGGAGGGGAGAGGCGCTAGAATCAGCCAGAATAAGGCTCCAGCGTTCAATCCATCCGATTTCAGTGACTGTTCAAAGCCGCGCAGTCCCTTGTCGTCATCACGCAGAACAGCACGAGACCAGTTCCTCAGCGCTGACGAACGGATTGAATGATTCCAGAACGGGTCAGAAGCTATGGATCGCACTTGGGCTGCATGGGCTGTTTTAATAGGAGACGCAATATGGAGGATACAAGCGCCAAGGCAGACAATATGGGCAAGGCGCTTGATTTGATGGGAGTTTGTAGGTGTTGCATCATGACTGCTGTTGCACGGGTACATGTGCCCGAAGGGACAGCTACAAGTCGCATAGAAAGCAGGTTCACGTCATCAAAGAGTGGATGTCAAGTCAAAAATAAGAAGAGAATTAAAATTTATTTATTTAGGGTGTTCATCGTAATTGCTGGTATTGGTGTTTATTTGTTTATTTGTTTATTTGTTTATTTGTTCAGTTCCTCCTTTCTCGCCTGGCGCTCCTCCTTGGTGCCCTGTTGAGGCGGCATCTGCTGGGAGATGGCCGGGCCGGGGTGAGCCTGGTGTGCAGCAAACTTAGGGTCGACATTGGAGGACTCGTTGATCGGCTGGATGGAGAATTGCTTCTCACCCTTTGATTTCGTGTCAGCAATGGGGTGCAAAATCACAAGATGAATGTTGATGAATACATACCTCCTTCTTCTGCTGGTTGTTGCTGGAGTCCATGTTGGAGATCTTGGTAGTTGTAGGGAGTATCTTTGTATGTGTGTAGCGTCGTAAATGTGAAATAGCCTTGTCACGAAGAAGAACCATGCAATTGTTCAAAGTTAAAGAATGAGATTGAAAGTTCCAAGTTGGCATCAAACCAGGCTCTGGTATATATATATGCCCAAAGCGCCTAGCTGAAGCCGGCAAAGCTGCAAGCTTGATCAAGGCGATTGCATCTGGGCGCTGGTGGCGTCGATTGGATGACGTCTCAGTCAACGTCATGGGTATTCGTCAAAGTTAGGTCAAAAAAACGGGCTTTGCAAAGGTCCTACGTGCCACAATGTAAGAACAATCTTTTGGGTATCAAGAATTTTATGGGCTGACACTTGCTGCCATCAATACGGATTACATTAGATATTATTCTCTGCATTATTCTCGTTGCATGGAAATGGTCATTATTGCATCAGGCATCTTCGTCTCATTCCGAGTTGGAAACGGATTAGGTACCAACGATTACAGGCACGTGATTTAAACGGAAAGCGGAGATGCTACAGCACAATAGCTTAGTAGTGCTAAAAACGGTGGTCCACAGAGCTAAACGGCAGCACTAAAACAGCTCCGTCTTGTTGTGGAGAGGCACCTTGTTAGTACTTGATGATAACGGATTGAACTTCCATTGTTAGTCGCCCATGAAGATTCACGCTTCGGCCATGAAGCATCATCACGGTGCCCTGCATGTCGACCAACAATGCGCCGCAGCCTGTCAAACTCTCGCTGCCTCTGGTTGGTTTGCCCTATTGTCTCTCTAACTGGCCTCGTAACTAATCGAGCCACCATTAGGAATACCAGCAGCAGCTGTTCCAAGAGCTCCGGTCTGAGGATGAGCTCGTGATTCTCGCCCGCGGCCTGGGCCAGATGCGCCTGGTCACAAACCTCCTCCACTCCTACGATGCTGCCGGCAGCAACCTCATTGTTCTCGTTGGCTCAAGTGACCGCGAAAACAACTGGATCGGCGAGGCACTGGCCGAACATGCCGCTATCAGTGCGTCTCCCAAAGCACGGGGCTTAACCGTCGTCAACACCGACTCCCAGACCGTCGGTGCTAGGGAAAAGATGTATGCCATTGGAGGCATCTTCAGCATCACATCTCGAATCCTTGTGGTCGATCTCCTGACGGGACTGCTAAATCCCGAGCTCATCACTGGTCTTATTGTCCTTCATGCAGATCGAATCATCGCTACATCTCTAGAGGCATTCATCCTCCGAGTGTACAGGCAGAAGAACAAGGTTGGCTTTCTCAAAGCCTTTTCAGACAACCCGGATCCGTTCACTACAGGATTCTCACCGTTGACCACCATGATGAGGAATCTGTTTCTCAAAAAGGCGTCCCTTTGGCCGAGATTTCACGTCACAGTAGCTCAGTCCCTCGAAGGTAAGAAAAAGGCCGAGGTCATTGAGCTTGAGGTCCCTATGTCAGATTCGATGAGAGACATTCAGAACGCCATCATGGAGTGCGTCGAGGTCAGCATCCACGAGCTCAAAAAGGGTAACTCGGGCTTGGAAATGGAAGACTGGAACCTAGACAGTGCCTTGCTCAAGAACTTTGACGTCATGGTTCGTCGCCAGTTAGATCCAAACTGGCACCGCGTCAGTTGGAAGACACGCCAGATTGTCAGCGATTTGACTATCCTTCGTGGACTTCTCAGCAACATTCTCACTTATGATGCGGTGTCCTTTCTTCAGCACCTTGACACAATACACGCCGCGCACTCCCCTCCGCCAGGATCGACCCGGCAATCTCAGTCCCCATGGCTCTTCTTGGATGCCGCCCAGACCATATTCGACGTCGCACGAAGGCGAGTCTACTCTGCCAATCCCAAAAGCGTATCACAGAGTGGCGAAAACATTGATTCTCTGCGTCCCGTTCTGGAGGAACAGCCGAAATGGGGCATCCTAGCAGAGGTTTTGGAAGAAATCGATCGAGACCTTTTCTTTGAGCCCAAAGTTCGAGATGACTCTAGCGGAAGCATTTTAATCATGTGCTCAAATACGGATACGTGTCGACAGCTCCGCGACTTCCTTCAGACCATGCATGTCAAGCCAAGGGTGGACAAAGATAAGCTTCCCGTGGTGGACGACCCTGAGTTTGAGCGCGAACGCGCCGAGGAAGCTCACAAGCCGTCGGCAAACTTCATGCTGAGGCGGAGGCTTCGAAACTACTTGAAATGGAAGAGGCAATTTGCGCAGGTCAGCGCCAGCCTGTTCGCTGAGAATCAGAAGGCCCTCAACAGCGCCACGGATTCGCGTCCGGGACTTCCAGGTAGTGGCAGGGGGGGCAAGGCACCTGCAAACAAAAGGCGGAGAATGCGAGGCGGCGGAAATTCCATGATCATGTCCGGGCGTGCCGACAATGGGAGCATTGCCCAATATTTCGAGAAGCCAGGGGAGGTGGCAGATCTAATGGCAGAAGTCCAGATTACGGAAGAGGAAGCACTCCAGCAGAAGGAGGACATTGCTGCCGATCCGCTAGAGAACATGGAGGACTACTACCAGCTGTACGAGATGCAGGACTTGGTTGTTGTCCACTCCTACGACGGAGACCAGGATGAGCACGTGCTGGAGGAGGTCAAGCCACGGTACATCATCATGTACGAGCCTGATGCCGCCTTCATCCGCCGTGTGGAAGTGTACCGGTCCTCTCACAATGATCGCAACGTCAGAGTATACTTTTTGTACTATGGGGGCTCGGTGGAGGAGCAGCGGTATCTGTCCTCGGTCAGGAGAGAAAAGGACGCCTTCACTAAGCTCATCAAGGAGCGAGCGAGCATGTCGCTGGTCATGACGGTCGACCCGCACGGAGTTGAGGACCCTCAGGAAGCCTTTCTGCGCACCGTCAACACCCGCATTGCCGGAGGCGGTAAGCTGGCGGCCACGGCGGAGCCGCCTAGGGTCGTCGTTGACGTACGAGAATTCAGGTCCTCGCTGCCATCTCTACTGCATGGGCGCTCCATGGTAGTGGTGCCGTGCATGCTTACCGTAGGCGACTACATCTTGTCGCCGAACATTTGTGTGGAGCGAAAGTCCATCAGCGATCTAATTTCGTCCTTCAAGGACGGCAGGCTATACAGCCAGGCGGAGACCATGTTTCAGCATTACAAGACTCCCATGCTACTCATCGAATTCGACCAGAACAAGTCCTTCACCCTGGAGCCCTTTGCTGACCTTTCTGGCAGCCTCAGCAGCGTTGCTCCTACCAACGTCTCGTCGGACCTCCAATCCAAGCTCGTGCTGTTGACGCTTGCGTTTCCCAAGCTGCGCATCATTTGGTCGTCCTCACCATATGAGACTGCCGAGATATTCGCCTCGCTCAAGACGCTGGAGCACGAGCCTGATCCGATTGCAGCAGTGCAGGCGGGCCTGGACAAGGATTCCAGGGTTGAGGACCAGGTCTTTAATCAGGAGCCTCAGGAGATGCTGTCCATCGCACCGGGCGTGACGCCGCAAAACATCAAGAGCCTCATTCTAGACACGGAGAATATTCGGGAGGTGGCTAACATGACGGAGAAGGAGCTGGAGCCGATAGTGGGCAGGACATCGGCCAGGCAAATCTATGGGTTTTTTAACAGGAACGTGATGGAAGAGGACGACTAGGGGCTCCCTTCATAATGAGCCGGTTAACCCCTCGGTGTTGTCCTCACCTCGAGTGACATTAGAAGACATACTAGGCGTAGGTAGCATTTGATTTAGGGATATACTAGCAAGCACCCAAAGTCTGCTATCCAGCGTCTCGTGTCTCAAATGTAGAGCTCCAGTAGTTGGGAGTATGTGATGATACCAGACACTAGAGGAACATATCTATAGTAGCAGATACTAACGATAGTAGCAGACGATAGTAGCAGATATCTGCTTCCTCTACTCCATGGCTGTAAAAGAAGTCAGACTGATGGCGCAATCTCCCTGCAACGTCTGGATGCTCTGCTGCAAATCTGAGCCAATTGCGCGGTAACTCAAACTCCTCCGGTCTCTCAGCTTTCAACTGTGCTGCAATCAGTTGCGCCGCTGTTGGTCCCTTAGATGGATCGTCAATGCCAGCCTTGCAAGCTCGATCGAAAGCTAGGCACTCTTCGCTGTAGCGACCAGTGCGGTACCTGTATCCAGCAGGTAGTACATATCTGACTTTTCAAATATCTACTCGTATCGCCTAGGTACGTTCAGCTACTATTAATACTTTATTCTAGTATCTGCTACTATCGTTAGTACCTCTCGCTTTCCATCGTTCGCCTTTTCTCGGAGCTGTGTGATCATTCAAAGCATTGCGAATCTTCACTTGCCTCTCAACAAACTACTCAGGAGTTAGTAAACTTCACCAAGATCTGTCCAAAGCCACGAGTTCATCTACCTAGTCACATACTAATGCATACTTTACATATAGATGGCAAACCGAAGCAGCAGACGCCACCTACCAAGGCGTTTTAGGTAAACCTCAAGGAGACGTACGGGAAGCAACTGACAGCGGAGGCCACACAGCGCGGCGAGGCTCGACTCCAGAACCCGTATCAATAGCATCGTTGCATTTTCGTTTCGCTGTCTGTACCTAGGTACATATGCTATGATACCATTTAGATACTAGGTAGAGGGATAGCGCTCCTACCATCACAACGTTAACTGCCTTCTATGCTACCATTTAGACGAGATATCTAATTGATACACGATACATAAGTACCTGTATCTACATGATAGAAATCTCCAAGTATTACTGTCCATTGTGCCACGAGACATCTTTGAGAACATCACGAAGCATTATCCGCCCACATACCGCAACGATCCAATCCCTCATCGTCCAAGCCCCCCAACCTACGCCAATTTCATATCTCGATTCCCCTGATTACACAATGGCACCCAAGCGATCTGCACCCGACGCCCCATTGACCAAATCCCGAAACAAGAGACAGGCCAAGGAACCCAACCAAGGGCCAGGAGCCAATTCAATTCTAAATTACTTCTCGAAGTTACCTACCGGAACAGACGAGCCTGCTTTTGCCTTTTTGGGGCGACCCTTATTCTTATTCTCGATCTTCTTCTGCGCACGAGCAGCGGCAGGCGTCAACTTGGCTCGCTTGCGAGGCGTGATGATTGGGAGCGAGGCTGCCTCCTAGAGAAACCTCGGCGTTGGTTGGCATTATGACTGGCTGCTCTGGAACAGGGTGTGCAGAGGCATCTTCGTTGGTGTCCGATGCAGATATATCATAGTAGCAGATGCTAGAATAAAATATTGATGTGGCGGATACTAACAAAAGGCTGCGATAGTAGCAGATACTAGAATAAAATATTGATAGTAGCAGATACTAGAATAAAATATTGATAGTAGCAGATGCTAGAATAAAATATTGATAGTAGCTGAAAATATTAATAGTAGCTGAAAGTCCCCAAGTGATAAGAGCATATTGTGGAAGAGCCAGATACTCATGGCTTGCCGGATAACTACAAAGGTCTTCTAACACTAGAATCTCACGCAGTCGCTGAGGTTCTGGATAGTCAACTTGAGGTGCTGGATAGTATTTCTCTTTGATTTAGTCCATAGTAAGCAACATTGTGAAAGAAACAGCGAAAAGATATCGGTTATAGTGTCAATTATTCAGACTATCTGATAATGTAGTAATACAGCAGACAAAGGAAAAGAAACAAAGATGTACCGCTCGAGGGCGACTAAAAGGTCCAGGTATCTCAAAGAGTCCAACAATAATCGTACATAGAAGCAAGGAAAAGTGTGATTCGTCGTTCCACGCTGCAAAGAAGCCGTCCTGCTTTGCTCGTTGGGGGTAGTGTGTGTTGTGTCATGTCGTGATTCATAACCGGTTCGTGAAGCAGAGCACCAGGAGTTTTCGCCATGATTTTAAGACAATGTTTTAAGGCACTGTCCTTCTGTTTTTATGCTCCTTCTCCCTCTCTGAGGCTCCAATCATCCCTTATACGGTGCTCCGCATTCTGGAACCTCGCATCCCGGAACCTCTCATTCCACGATGCCTGTAACGCCTGTTGCCTCCAGAGTGACCGCAGGTTATACAAGAAATGATAATACCAAAAAATGATACGATTCCCTGGATCACTGCGGTGAGCATATTGCCGATACCGGAGATAATTGCCATAATGACACTGCCGATGGTTCGGAAGATGGCCTCGAACTGTTTGGTGATGCTGTTAGAGGTGGGTCCCTTTTTTGGCTTGCCATGTCTGGGTACATGGATGGATGGAAGGTACTTACACAAGATACGACGGCACCCATTGTGAAAAGTGTTTATGAGTTGATATAGACGGTGGTTGTGTGTTGATGTGGTTGTGGATGTAGTAGGAGAGCGTTGTGTAGGACGCGATGTCGCAGAGCAGTAGTGTTTTGGTAAGGTTCAAAGTCAAGAGATGACAAATATTTATTGGTGAAGTTGCCTTGTAGAGAATATTCGACTAATAGTCAAGTGTTTGTTTGCTGAGTAGGAATGAATAATAGAGAGCAGACGAAAGAGAGGTGGCGATGGTGCTTCTCTTATACACGAAGCCTGGGGGGCCGCAAACAATCCCTGCACCCAAAGCTTCCCGCAAGAACCACACACACCCAAAAACTTACACTCCATCTAAAAAAGATACATTACGAAAGGCACCACATAGATACGCGCATTAGCAAGGCATCCACTGCCAAGTACTCGTACCTCTTTCACACCTACATTACCGTACCAACAACATGTTTGCAGCCATAAACAAGGCACATTGGACCGCCATCCCTGGCTCCTCCTGCATCTCCTGCCGCTCACCGGTTCTACTGTAAACTTCATTTTGGTACCCACTTGCTGTCCGCTCTTTGCCCCCCTTCCGCATTTGTTGTCTGGCTGGTGGATGGGCGCATCATTTTCTTGTCCTTTCGTCATATCAGCCCGGGCCGTTTCTAGGTTGACAATCCATGCCTGTTGTGTCGATGTTACGCCAAAAAAAAAAAAAAAAAACACCCAAGAAAACGCTAAAATGGAATGCCGTTAGCTCAACGTTGCTTCATGTCCCGAGAAGAGCAATCTGGGAGAAGAAAACAAAGGGCTTCCATGACGTCAAGATGATTTTGCTCTGTCACGGCATCATCATGACCACCATCCATCGCGATGCAACGGTTTCGTATTTCCCCTTTTGGCGCACTACTAGATTCAGTAGGTAGGTACCAAAGTACAGCATTACTCAACGCTGAAATCATCACCACAATTTCCAGTTCTTCTCTTCAATTCTTTCTTATCCTCACCCCCGGCCATTCTCCTCCGGGGAGCTGCACCGACATTCACACTTCACTGCAAGTATCCGTCCAATAGCGCACTCGCCCTCTTGTTGCGGTAAGGCGTCCCGTCCGCCTCACCATTCTGACAAGGCACGGAGTATGTACAGTACAGTTACAGCTGCTAGTTCCCCGGTGGACCCTTGACGTATGCACCAACCCTGGTCCTAGGGAATCTTGATTTTCCCTCCCTCGTGTGCCGCCTTGTGGGAGCGAAGCATGTTCGTGTTAGAGACGATCGCGGCCATTTCATGATGCTTCTGTGCGGTATCTAGATTTACATTTCCGGTGCTTTGGGTCACGCCGTAATCACTCCAGAGGTACCTGACTCTGGGTCCCTAAAAAGGGTCCTTTCCATGACGTCAGTCAGCTCCCCATCTCTAGAGTACCTAGGTACATACTCTCTCAGCCCATCCATCCAGCGCTTCATTCACATGTCCAGCTTCTAGACTCCAGATGCTTCACATTCTCTGCAGGTAATCCTCCCTGACGCTCCCCTTTTCCCCTTCTCTCTCACATGCTCCAAGCCCATCTCTCCGCCAATTCCAGTCGTCTGTTCGATACCGCCCGCAGCTTCACCCACCGTCTTCTCAGGCACACGCTGCTCACCGTCTTCTGTGCCCGCGCCCGCATACCGCCGCGATTGGCCCACGGCTGGCAGGTTGCCTGATGCCTGCAGAGGCGGTGTCGTATTTTAATCGAGTGCATTTGCCGGCAATTCGTCCATTCGAGCAGAGCACACGAATCTCTGGGCGGTGAATACTGCATGCCTGCTGCATGCTTGCTGTACCTGTACAGTATGCTGTATGCGTTGCTTGCTGCATGCGTCTATCGTACATGGGGTGGCATCCTCTTGTAATACCACCATCAGCCCGCCGTTTCCAAGACCCAAATCAAGAGATGAGATAGCCAAAGACCAGTCCGCCCAAATAGAAAAAGAAAATATCGTGAATCATATTCTAGAATAATTAAAGAAATGGAGCGAGCGAGTTGAGCCAAAAGTTTACATGTGAAATTCATAAATCCGCCCACAACGCCATCTATATGCCATACTAGGGGGGAATAAAGGGAGGAGGGGGGATATATGTTAGTAAGCTGCCTGCCGCCGGAACATCCCTTGTTTTTCTTCTCTTTCTTGTGTATCATACATGTTCATGCTTCATCGTGAGAACCACCATCGCTTTTTGTTGTTGAGTGCCCGTTGCATGTGTGCTCGCAGCAACAGCTCCCTGTTCCTCGCATCCAGAATGCCGAGGGCAGCGCCGTCGTCGTAGTATGAGTGCCCGCGAGATAGTCGAGGCCGTTCATCACCTGCCATCTTGATACGCTGGATCCTGCGCAGCCTGACCAGTCCATACCAGCAGACAAGCAGGGAAAAGACTATCGATGTAGCCGTGACGGCGCCGAAGCCCCAGTTTGTTTCTTCGATAAAGTTTTCCAAATTGGCACCGTAAAGCCCAGCAATGAAGGTGCCCATTGCCAGCCCCAGCGTCCCTATGCTAAATTTGAGTTCCAGGAGCATAATGGCGTTGCGGTTGGCATCGAGAATAGCTCGTACGCTGTTGCAGGTGTTAGAGTACATTAAAAGAATTGAAGGGAGACATATAAAAAGAAAAAAGGGAAAACTCACAGGTCCTCTGTATTGCGGATACCAGACACCAAGTTGCTAGCCTCCTGCACAATTTCATCCGCCAGCTTATGATACGACTCAAGCAGCATCTCAACTTCCGTATGATCGTCGGTGCTTCTATACAAGTCGTGCACTTTTTCCGTCAGGTACATGGCCGCCAGGTCATCGTCCGCCTCCAGAAGCTCCTCAATGGCGTCCCGCACCAACTTGGCCTTTTGTTCAAATGTGCTGACTCGCTTCGACAGGATCAGCAGTTGGCGCAGCTTCTGCCGGTCAATGTCGTCCTCAAGCTCGCTGAGGACGTGCATGACCGGCTCGCGGACCGACTCGAAGTCTGCTTCGAGCTCGGACGTGACCGAAGTTAACACAGCCTCGAGAGCTCGAAATTCGTAGGGTAGTCCCGGTACACCGGGAGGGGGCTTCTGTTGTAGCTTGCCCTGGAGATCGTACATGAAAGCAGACTGCGGATAAGACGTCTTGGAGCCGTAGACGTCAAATAGAAGCACGCGGTCACGCTTGATCAAGACTCTGAGATGTAGTAGGTTGAGCAGAATAGCCGAAGGACGAACGAGTATATGTGGAAGATTGGACGAGTCGATTTTACGAAGATCGCGGGGCAGTAAGCCGTACTGTAAATGCACATCCTCATGGTCAGTATGGTCGTTGTTACCACGGGTGCTTCTCTGCTTGGCAGGGCGCAAGTCATCATACCTTTGCAATGAGCTCCGATTTCTTGAACTCGCCGTCCATGAGAATCACCCTGCCATTCTCATCGACCTCTGTGCATCGCAGCCGCGGCTCCAGCGCCGCCTTGGCGGACAGGATTCGGCGGTTGGTGAACATGGACGAGCCATGCTCCATATCGTCGCGAGAAGGCAGGTCGTCCGGTTTGAGGGCTTTGGCACCTCCCCGTACCCCAATACCCCATAATCTCTCTTGCCAAGTGGGAGTCGAGTCGCCGTTCGCATTAGACGCTTTCTGGTATGCAGTCGCCGATGTGCAGAAGGTCTTCCTCTTCAAAGTCCGCGCGCAAGCCCTCTTGAATATTTTTCCAACTTGTAGCGATTCCGAGCTGAAGATTGAGGCTTCGAGATCAGTAAAAACAGCGGGCGCACTGGAACCAGTCTTGGTCGAATGCGCTCTGGCAACTCGCTGCCCAGAGGCCGCGGTTGTCACTCGACTCGGGCATCCATGAGCACAGCTGTAGCCAAAGAACGGGATGTCGGTCTGCGAGCGCAAGAATCGCAAGAGGCTCCGCGACGGTACTGGCGACCGCAATGCCGCTGATTGCATCGCTATGGAATGGCGCGGGGGCAAATGAGCATCAACATGGACACTTTCGATTTCGATTTCGGATTTGGTGTTGATTGACGGCGTGTATCAACAGAACTGCCACCCCTTGCGGATGAGAAAGCAGAGAAAAATATCAATAGATTTTAAGAACAAGCCATAAATTCAACGGTATGGCAAAGACAAATGAACTCGATGACGCTTATGCGTCTTGTTAAGTTCGTTATTACAGTATCTCAGTATCAAGCCGTCAATGAGGGTCTGTCCAAAATTTACCTCGCTATCGCAATCAATGCGCACGGACCACCACCGTCCCTACCCGCCTGGTTGGTTCCTGCCCGCCAGCGCACGTCCAGTCCATGCGGAAGGAAGCACGCAGGAACGCCTCAAGTGACAAGCTACAGGAATAATGGGGTACTTCCAATTTCTACAGTGTTGGTCACAACTTCAATTCCATCTCCAACATCAACCTCATCTTCCCGTCTTGTCTTCAGTCTGTCTCAATATGTATTCACCTTTGTCATTTCACAGACAATGCCTAGCCGCCTCTTTGCAGCTTTTATCCAATTGCAACCCTCGACGACGTCATCTTCTGAGACCAGCCTTCACATGCTCTGCTGCATAAGGTAGGGAGACGGAAAGGCTCCTCAGGCTGGCCATGGAGCTAATCCCCCCCCAGCCGAGCGCCCTTGGGCTCTCGTCCATCAACTATTTATTATCCCAGCAGATGCACTCGTTTTCCGGTGCAGCGCCACCAGCATTTGCACAAAATCCTCAGCCTGACGTTGGGAGAATCCTTCGGCTGAAGTTTATTCACCGCCGTCTTGGCCTCGACTTACCGCAACAAGACAAGAGCTCTCGGTAGTCGAGCCGCGAGGGACTCTGGCTCCACCTTAAATTGCCTGGCATTTCTCCCCCAGACACCGGCCGATCCCCAGACCGTGCCTCTCATCGATTGCAAACGATTGCTGGAGCTGGCCGGGCATTTCCAACGTCAAATGGTCGACTGTTTCAAGTACAAGTAGTCTCTCATCATGGAGCTCACCAAGGTTCACACCAGAGGCAAGCGCAAAACGCCTGCCACGAACCGACCTCGAGCATTACAAGGGCAGCCGCCCGCAAAGGCCCTACGGACTAGGAAGTCATTGTCCTCCGTCATGGCCGCCCGAGCGACGCGCCCCCGGAGCACGCTCGACTCCCTCCCGGGGGAAATCCTCGAGAAAATCCTCCTTTACAGCGCCAATCTCAGTCTGCCCCAGGTGAGCAACTTCATTGGCATGAAGCTTTCGGGACGGGCTACTCTGGTGCGCCTCTTCATCTGGGCGTTTCATGAGACGTGGGACCAATGGTTCGGTATTCCGACCAATCCTGTGATTGTCCATGGACCTTGGTTAGAAGATGCCCAACATGTCCCTTGCTGTGGAGATCCCATATTTCAGGTTCGTCAATGTCTCTCTTTCCCGTGGCAGATTTCGGGTACACTACAAAGCGTCTTGGTCATGAGAGCGCAATGCTAACTCAGCCCACGTACGCATACAGTCTCAAGTGCTTAATCAACCTTGGATCACCATAGATCTAATATTGCAAGCGCAACAGACTTGGTTTGAGAATCATGGGCGAGGGCGCTACTACCAACACGGCGCTTTTTGGATTGATAAAGCTGATCAGGTTGGCCATGACTATGCCGGGGGTTTCTGCCACTTTAACGCTCGAGAATGCTTCGAAGCAGATTACCAGCAAGCCGTCAAATGGCCAGCCTTTGCCGCTAGAGGCGTTCATTGGTTTTCGCAAGATATACACCCCCTGACACGTATTCCTGATAGACTCATTGTCGGCCCATGGGACGACGAGATGCAGCGGCAGCTCTTTTGGCTTTGTCGCGGTGGTTACATGACTTGCGGAAAGCTCTTCACCCAGCCTCCTTGGGAGATCAAGATTGAGCTGATCCGCAACTCCATGCTTAATGCCGAGGTGCCCAATCTGCTGGCCATCAACTGCCTCTATCGCACCTGGGTGTTTGACGGCCTACCCTCGGACGTTGTGAGGAAGGAGATTGTCAACCTGGAACGTCGAATTCAATGGGGAGGCGATCCACACCAGACTAGAGATCTGTTACGACGAGTCCGAAGCGCCTTTTTCCTCTCAGTGCACATGCCCGAGAATCTTCTAGTTAGACGGTCCGACATCTAGGCTCTCTCTCTCTCTCTTCACCCCTTCCTCATCTTATTAGTGCCACTGCCGATAAGCATCCAAGCTTTCAAGGCATGCGCTGGCAAGGCATCACTGCAGGTTTCAAATGTATGACAACCAACCATAGTAGAGCAGGATGATGATGGGGGAGCGAGGCATATCAACAATTTTGCCGGCTATGCTCTTCCTCCCCCATGCAGCCTAGGCCTTCGTGAAGGGGTCCTTATTTCTCGGCCACAAATGAAGGCTAAGGAAGAAGTTTGGAGACATGGGAGTCTCCTACTGCAGCTGTGCTGCAGCATCAACGCATCAACGCATCAATATCAACTCATGATCAGGTGAGCCTTAAGGGTGGTTACACAACAGCATTAGTTGAGGAAGAGTCCATCTCCAACTGCATTCCCCGTCAAACGGGTACACGACTGCAACGACCATTGGAGTTGCGCAACGCGAGCAAGCAAGCCGGCTGAAGGGGACGGCCCCCTCAGTATCCGGTCAATCATACGCCTGGTCAAGCCCACGCATTACCAAGTAATTATGCTGGCCAGCATCCTTCTCTTTTTTTTTTACCGGCTCACGTTTGTCGGGATGAGAACAGCGCGTTCTCCTTGGCTTTGGACAAGCCTGGCATAAACAGGCGAACCAACCACACGGGAAGTTCGAGCCTTATTTATGCCGCCATGGTTGGTCCACATCCACAACTGTCATTCTCGGAAAGGCTGAATCATGCAGCGGCCCCCATCGGCAGTACCACTTCAGCTACATGCTGTCTTTCTTTTTCGTTCTATTTAGGGCTCTGTGTGCGAGTGTGTGTGCAAATGGGTAAGGGAGGAAAGATGGTTTCTCATTTGTCCCAAATAATGTTACCACAGAGTGGCTATCAAGCACTCGAGTTTATGTACCAGATTGATGATATATGGCTTTTAATCCAAACTACATTAACAGATTCTCCTCTCTCGAGGCACGAGTCAAAAGGCGGCGATCAATGACGATTCGATAGCAACAAAGCCATTTACATAGCAACACGTATGGCTCTTCAAAGCAGCTGCAGCCATGAGGGGATATGTACGTGAGCAGCTCATTTATACCCTCATATCGGCCACGAGGGGGACATCGGAGAGGCAAGCCAACTCCACCCGCACACGAGTCGCGACAGGTACATGCCCTGATGCACGGCAGCTTGTCGTGTTTCCTTCACGCCCTTTGCACCATATGGCTGCGTGTCGGCGTGAATAAACAGGCGATATCATTATCCGCTGCCAGCCTCTCTCTCTCGTTGTAGGATCTTGATCAGCCAACCAACCTGGCTGGTGAGGGCTCCACCGTGTGTGTATCAATAAAATCTCCTCTTCGGCGAGTTGGATTAGGACAGCCACCCAGCTCGCTTCCGTAGAACCGCGATTTACAGCTACTTGTAACCATATCCTACGCTCAAGCCTTGGACAAGCCACAGTGCACATGTAAATTGGAGCACAGACAACCCTCCCTCAAGTCGCCACCGCTTACCCAATCAGGCAAGCTCCCGGCCTCAGAAAAGCTGGGAGGAGCAAATTTTAGGTGCCCCATGTCGGGACGACAGCCCATGACTCACTCGGTGGGCGGTTTCACGCACGCAAGCCAGACGATTTTCGCGCACTGGGAATCTTCGACATGGCTGGGCCTACAGTAAACCTTGTGTGGTCCCTCTTGATCCCCCCTCTCTTAGGCTGCTGGAGAGTACTCGTAAGCAGACAGAGAGTCCATCAAGGCTGCACTGTACAATGGTTAGGGCCGGAATCTCGCACTCCGGCTATGCATACATACATCTGTGTACTTGGACGACGGACCGCTTACTTGGTAGCTACTAGTACCTAGGTAGCTGAGGTGCAATTATTGGCAGTTCAGTTCAAAGGTGGTGATATTAAATTTGGGTCACTCAAATATCACATGGATCACATTTGGAGAAAAGGAAGCCGAAAAGCTGCTCGTAATCATGTTTTAATTCTTTCCCATTCGCTCTCCTCCATCCTCTCTTCGAACAGAAGGATGGGATCCAAGCAAATGGGGCTTTGGCTGTCGCCAAGATATAGAGCAAGAAAAAAAAAAGGTCGAAGATCGCAAAGGAAATCAAAAGCTTCTAGTTGTACAAGTAAAACACACACAAACAGCCTCCGGGCCCCTCAACTGCTGGGCAAAAACCTTTAAATTGCTTTCTTCCACACTTTACAGGATATCTTTCATCACCGTCGTTGTTGTAGCCATCCGTATGTAATTTCCCTTGTTTCTGGATGAAGAAACAGTAAAAAGATTAAACGCACTTTTTTTTTCCAAGGCGAAACCGCTGCCTTTGGACAATACCATGTCCGGTGGTTTATGTTAACTTGCAGAAACGTGCCCTCTGCCCAAGGTGTGCGATATCAAAAGCTCTGTTGTCAACGAGACGCCCCTGGCCTCCCCTTCGAGCGCCATCCATATAAAAACCGTTAAAAGTCTTCTGACAAAGGGAAAAAGTAAATTGCAGCAAATAGAGAAACGAAGGGCGGAATCGGTAAATTACAGCCAGACCGATCCATGGTAGAACAGCATTAGATTGATGGCGATGATAATTCGCGTATAAAAAGTTTGACAGTGTAAAAAAACGCCCCGGGTAAATTTCAGTTAAGGATGCCCCAAAAGCTTGGCTCTCGTGGGCGAAATGCGCTTGTTGCTGCCTGGTAGCCACTGGCCGCTTGAGCGGAGCAACAAAGCCTCTTTCTCGTTTCTCCTGGGCTGGGGCGAACAGGTACCTGCAAGTAGGGCTCCGTTCCGTCAAGTCCTCGCGGGCGAGTAATGGGCCAAGGAGCGCTCCCAGCGCCGTGGGGGTAAAGCATCTCCCGTACGTGATCCTGCAGGGGCTGGTCCACTGATGCGGTCCTGCTACGCTTGATGCCAGCCTTGGCCGCGATGGGCGCCGTGGGCTTGAAGTCAACACCGCGGATGCTCTGGCTGTGCAGATGCTGGAGAGTGCGTGCGGCATCCGAGTCGGGATCCCGAGACATTCCTTCCAGTTCGCGTTGCTGTCTTGCCAAGGGGGTTTCCAGAGCGAGGCTCCCGATCTTCGCAACCGGGCCGGTGTACGATTCAGGAGACGACGTGAAACCATACTCTTCGTAGCTCTCTGAAACGGTGGGGACTGTCGACCTCAAGTACGATCTCTCATTCATCGCCTTCATCGATCGGAATCGCGACTGAGCCGTCAACGAGTTGTTGAGGGTCGCGCTAGCGAAAGATGAGGCAGACGAAACGGAAGACGAGCGAGAGGTGTGCGAAAGATCCGAAACCATCGATTCGGGAGAAGACATGGTCGAGATTGAATTGGCAAGAGAAGAACGACGAGCGGGGCAGTAGTTCTGGGGGGATGTCGACAGGGCGGCGGGAAAGCGATCCAGGTGCTGGGCGGTGCTGACGCTGCCAGCTTGAGCCATGGCCAGGCACATTGCGTTGCTTTTTCCGAGGAGGTGTGATGCAGCACTCACTGCAGGAGTACAGATACCACTGGATTGCGGCGTCAGACGCGGGGTCGGAAGAAGACCCAATGCAGGGGCCAGTCGGCCGGGAGTGGCCGAATAGGCCATCGTGGGGGTTGGCTCCAACGGAGCAGGCAGGTACTTGCTGAGAAACTTGGGATCGCAAGTCTCTTCCTCGGCCGTAGTGGAAGCCAGGGTAGGCACACGTCGCTGCTCCGTAGGGAGGTTAAGAATACTACGAGGTGATAAAGCGCAGAGATCGCTGGATCTCGCAGGCATGCGGAGGGCGGGAATGAGGCCCTCGATGTTGGTCAGGTCCGGGTTCAGTCTCAAAATAACCTGTTTCCACTCCAATGTTTGCTGAGCCAAAGTCTGTGAGACGGCACCAGGAGACGGCGGGGGTGGGGGAGGAGTATGCTTGAGAACAATTTCGGTCCATCGTCGGAAAACCTCATCAGTGATGTGGAGCTTCCAGTTGACAGCAAGGAGAAAGGCGACCTCGTTCTGGTTGATCTCCTGGACGTTGAGACCAGAGATCTTGCTCCAGGCACGTGCAGAGTAGTTGCGGTCCTGAAGATACTTGGAAGCAAGGATCAGGGCCGCGAGGAACATGCGCCGGCCGCACTGAAGCGCTCGGTCAGCGAACCGATCCTCGTACTGCTCCACAGTAAAGCTACGCTTGGGAACGTGAGGCTTGATGAGGATGAGATAGTACAGCGCGACTTGCAGGGTCGAGTAGCTAGTGCGCGAGCGCCGGAGCGTCTCTTGGATAAAGGTGCGCAGCGGTAGCACGGTCCTGTTGCCAGGCTCCGGGCGGCACGGAGCGGAAGAGAGAGGCCAGATGGCCTCAACAATCTGGGTCGACGAGTCTGCAGAGGTAAAGGCTAAGCAAGGGGGTCTTGGGTTTAAGAGTTGTGTCAGTGAGAGGCACGTACCAACAAGGCTATCGACGAAGTTTACTTTGCGGTCCGACTGCCGGACAAGTGATGGTGGGGGGCATCCCGCGCCACCAGCAGCCGCAGCGGTACGTCTAGGGTTTTGGCGCAACTCAACAGGGACAGCCTGTTGCTGTTGGCGTTGTTTGGTAAGAAGGTCGGGTCGACGAGTCATTGTCGAGGATTCCTGAGAGGAAAAGTATGAGTGGCATGAGTCGCTGTCGGATGAGATTGAGCCAGAAGCATCGTCCGAGGTTTGGGAGGTAGTGTCGGATCCAGACCACACCGAGGAGGCAGAGGCCGAAGCCGAGGAGGATATAGATGAGTTATAGGGGGCATATTGACTCAAAGGGTCATAAGAGGGTGAGGTTGTAGTTTCGAACGTCATCTTGACGAGTTGTGATGGGAGGAGGTAGTGTAAAGGTGTAAGGCTTGAGTGTTCAAGCCAGCGTGAACGTTTCCAGTCGCCGTCAAGGCTAAGTCAACCGGAAGATTGTGACAGTTTCGAGCGTTACCGAGTCGTGTTGCTTTTAGCTCTACAGCAATAGCATCCGATGATGGTTGAATGCAACTGCTGGTAGAACCGTGTTCGAGATGAAGAGAAGAGGGCCTTCTAGATAAGAAGGGGAGTCGACTTTTCACGAACAAGCAGACCGGTGGACGAAGCTGAGACGGCGACTGGAGAAAGTTTGTAGGTTGCAAGAGGCATCGCGAAACCAATGCTCTGGCGGCTAGTTGTGGGTTGGGGGTGATGAGACTCTTAGAGCAAGTCTATCATCGGGTGACGAGGCGGTTGGAGTCGCTTGTTGCTGCTATGACGAAGGCGTTGTGGCTGTGAGGGTGAGGGTGAGTGTGCGTGTGAGTGTAAGAGACTGGCTGGCTTTCGGGTTTGGCGACGCGACGGGCAGCGGTTACAGGGATGAGTCGAGGCCAGGGATCATCGAGATGGATATGCAGGTACGGGCTGAAGGAGGCTGTCAGGGCAGCGTGCAGCGTATTTATCGCGACGAGTGAGATGTGACTCTTCACAGCGTGGCCTGAAGTCTCGGGGGGCTGATGCAAGGCGGCGAGGTGACAGCCTGGTGCTATGTGTAGCGTAATAGCGAGGTTAGGTAGGGAGTGGATACAAAGCGCCGGCTGTGTGACTCTTCGCGCTGAGGTGGCGACTGGACCGGGCAGGTGGCCGCACACTGGCGATTTCGGAGCACAGCGCCCGAGCAGCTAAGACTAGGCAGTGACAGTGAGTGAGACAGCGCCTGGAGAGCCGGGGCCACAGCGCTCGTCAACTGAGCAGACAAGTGGCGAGGCCGAGTGAGTCGATTCGCCCACCAAAAAAAAAACAAAGGAGTCGAGTGATTTAAAAAAAAACAAGGACACAGAAAATGGCTAACAGCTGGGGGAGAGAACGGTCAAAAGAGCACAGGCAGCAATGCACAGCTGTCCTCTTTTGTTTTTTCTTCTTTTTCTTTCTTTTCCCTCTTTTTCCAGGTCAGCAGGGCTGTGACCGGTGGTGACTGTGTTGGCTGGGGGGGAAGAGAAAAAGCCAGACGATGCGATGGAGCCGTGAGTTTGAGTGTGTGAGTATGCGGCGTTGTCCAAGTACAACGGGGGGATGAGATGCGAAAAGTGCACAAAGACAAGGTAAAGGAAACGGCTAAAAGAACAGACGGGACGTGAGGATAGGAAAAGGAAACAAAAAAGAAGAGATTCCCAGTATTAAGAAAACGAATATGCGCCGTAGAGTAGAGAGGCACCAGAGCAGACTTCGAGAGTCGCTGGCGAGCTTACAATGCGGTACCGAACTTCATCGCGACGTTCGATGGGGGAAGAAGAGCAGAATCGATGACGGCCATGGGGGTCGTGGCATAGTTTTGAATGGCAGCAGAATGGCCAGAGTCAGACTGAAGCAGCGCCAGCCAGTCAGGAAATGCGACCGGGGGCGGCGGGACGACGAGACACCAAAGTGCGGGAGTACGAGAGTACACGCGCAAGGGGGATCGAGTTCGTAAGGTACCTCTGGTACATGCATTATTACATGTACCGCAGCGGTAACCTGGAATTTCCATTTTTCTTAGTTTAGCCTGGTTCCGGCACTAAGGTGGGAAAGGTTCAAGTCTAGCACTGTCTGTTACTGGCAGTTTCTAGCGCTCCCAGAGTCCCTCGACGTGTACCTCGACGTGTACCACAACGTGTACCTCTAGTGCGCAGCTGCTGCGTGCTCCTGCGTGCTTGTGCGTGCTGGTGATGCACTGCGCGGGCCCAGCTGTACCGCGACTGGTACCTGTCTGTCTGCTGCTCGGGAACTTTGAGAGGCGCTGCAAAAAAGGGCAACAACCATCGACCGGCTGGCTCGTCCGCTGCTTCTTCAATCTGCGGCCTGGCGCGCTGTGATTGGCCCAGCATTCTCCAGGCCTGCCCCGCCCCTCATTCTCCCCTCCTGTGGCTGGCGAATGGCTGCCAGGCTCGGACGCTCCAGTGGCCCAGCCAGCACACCTGGCGCAGATTCCGCCTCCACAGCATCCGCAAAGAGTCACTGTATTCTTATCATCCAAAGGTCGCGCGGGTGTCTCGCTCGTCCTTGCGTTATAGCAGCAGCCTGAGCGTCTACGGCGTGTAAAAGGCAGCTGTCCCTTTTGCGCTTGCTTCTTCTGTATATCTCTGTGTGCACAGCTACAGTAGCTACACTAAGATGGGGATTTGATCAGATATTCTCAGCTTGGAGGCAAACACAGGTACTCATCCCACTGGCCCAATCACTCCCTGCCCATTGCAAAATGCCTGCGTGTGTGCGTCTTTGGTGGCTTGGTGGCCTCATCGCCTTGGGCCTAGCGTCAGGCCTTGGGCGGCTTATCCCTGGCCGCAGCTTGTTTCTGTTTTCGTGCCAGGCTGCTGTGCTCCTGCCTCTGCCTCTGCCATTTATGCTGCTTCTTCCTGCTTGTTGCGACTGACCTGCGCCTGCTCTTGTTCCTGCCACTTCCAACTGCTGCCAAGGCCAGCGCACGGGCCCCGAAAACTTATCAAGTGGTGAGGCAATGAGGTAATGAGCGACAGGCAGCCACTAGGGGAGGTGCGAGTTACCCGAACCGCTCCCTCCCTTCAGTGCTCCGTATGTATGTACTTCGAACAAGTATCCGAACATGGAAGTGAGACAAAAGACAGAGAGACAGGCGAGAAATGAAAGTCGAGCTCTCCCGTCCCCCGGTCTCAGCTCGCTCCTTGGTGCTGTGCTGCCTCTTCCACGGGCCGTCAACAGCTAGGTATGCACTTCGTAAACCTCAATAGCATCTAAAGCACCTAATGCTGCCACTAATCGTGGTGGCGGGAGGCGAGATTGCTGACTCAGTGCTGCCGCTCTTTCTGCTTATTGCTTTCCCTGTGCCGTCCCTACTAGGCAATTTTCGCACACAGCCAAATACGATTGCAAAAGAGAAGCACGGAGCACGGAGTACAGACGCGGTACTTGGCACTTCTGGAAGGAGGGGAGGAGGGGGGATCGCAGCCACTTGCCGCCATTTGGAGATGCGATACGCACGCCATGTTGCCTCTGATGACGGAGAAGGAGGTGCTCAACAAAGGGCTTTTCTTTTTGCCTCTCTCGTATCCTCTCCCATTCGAAATCGATACCAAGCCATCATGTCGTATTCTTCTCTTTGCTTTACAAAATATTGCCCTTTGATCATGCTTTGTGATCACATGAGGGAAGCACAGCATTTCATGTCCAATCTGGACGAGGGGATGCGGCCCTGCTCGCACACAAGCTAGCGGCGGTACCTGGAAGGTCACTACCAGTACTAATACGATGCTCTCGATGCTGCATTGTACTCGTACAGGCACGAGAACAGACAGGTACGGGCACTGGTACTCGTTGCTCGACCAAATGTGCTCTCATCAGTACAAGGCAAGTATTCCGCGCCGCGCGTTTATTCGGTGGGTGCCTGATCTGACCGTGAGTCCCGGGGCAATACCGCGATTCGTACTGCCCAGGTACTGCTGCGGCTCGTCCTTGTACTCCGTCCGCTCCGGCCGCTCCAGTTTTCGTCGCGCAAAGCCTCCACCGAAATCAGACAACGCAATTTTTGGCTCTTTGCCTCGTGGACAGGGGGTTGCAGTGGGCGAGTCCCTTTCTGGCCGTTGGGGCAAAGGCGGTCTGGCCGCTGTCAAGGGACCTCAAGGCATCCAGCGCTATTACTCCAAACCCTGGTTTGTGTATGGACGGACGATGTGGTGGTAGCAGGAATGCTTGCAAGGCTCTCGTCTCGTCTGCTTCCCAGTCACACCACCCACAGAGGCAGAAAAGGGTCTCAAGCTGGGACAAACATGAGGTTGCTTGTGCCTGTAGTGTTACCTAGGAGGTGCTAGTTGCAAAGCAACACCCGTACTAACAGGAAGCAAGTCTCAGTCTGTCATTTGCGAGCACCTCCGCCACTTTCCAAGGCCCTCTTCGAAGACGAAATCCCGGCCAGCTGGGTAGACGCTATACCAACAGACGCACTGCCGCTGAGCCATCGTTCAACGATCCAAAAGCGCCGAGGCGATGAGCCTCTTTCCGTCTCTATTTTTGAAGACAGTGGATGCGAGGTTGATTGGCAATGCACTTCGGGGAGTGGGTTTGTGCCAGGCTGCTTTTTGCTGCGGAGAGCGTGCTAGTACGACTCTGTACTAGCGAACCAGGATTCAATGACAGATTCCCTCGAATCCTTACGAACTAAGGAGGAATGCACCACACTGCCTTTGGTTGTGTGCTCGTTGCTTTCGGGCGGGCCTGCTCCGGCACTCCAAAAATGTCGTGCATGGTGGTTCGTGATGGAGGAACGATCCTCATCAGCCACTCTGGTCAAAGACGAACATGGCCATGTGTAAAAATGGATACAGCAAACCGTGCGTTTCCCTTCCACAGCATCGGGTTCTCACTTTGGCTGCAGTAGTACCGTCGGAAGCCAGCTCTCTAACTTAGAACCTCTGTTTTATGTCATCTCATCCAACTCCTGAAACAAGCCATCCAAACCACTTGGAACACTTGCCGCCATCAGGCACCTAGCTCCTTTTCCTAGCCGCTGTGGCATGTGACATACCACGCGTTGTCTAGTCATACAATGAAGAGGAGGAGAAAGAGAAAATGGCTGCTTTGTCCATACTCTGCAATGATACTAGATATTCCGTCCCTTGATCTGCCCGGTATTGCGGTCTTACAAAGGAAGAGGCAATGAGAAGATACCAGAGGAACAATTCGCTTGAACCAGGCTGCTGTGCATTCACGCCTATTAGATTACTGCCAGGCTATCACCCAGCCGTCGGCGCCGCGTCGTCTTAGTCGCTGTCGCTGTCGCTGTCGCACTTGGCAAGCTTTCCCACACGCGCGAGTGCAGCTTGACAGGACACAAAAAGAAAAGAAAGACATGGGAAATGACAGCCATTGCTAGCGGGTCAACAATGCAAACTGCTGTTACTCGCCTCCCCCTTTCCCCCTGCACTATCAAGCACCCTATCATTCTGTACAGTGGACGATACACTCTCAGTATCGACCAATTTCACACCTGCAGCTTGGTGTTGCACCACTAGGATGATCACGGCGCTGCTTCGCCCGAGATTGCGTGGCTGATCAGTGAGGAGCTCCCTTGTCACCCATGTTGAATTTTTGGGGGCCTTCTGCGGAGGCCAACCAGATGCAAAGTACAACATACTGTATTTACAGTGCTGTGTGTATCATTTGGTGAGGAACTGAGGATACAGCTACTGTGATCGTCTTGGATGTGGCAAGTCTAGAATGATCTGCATCTTGCACTCCAGCATTCGTGGTCCCAAGCAGCAAGCGAGGCGGCAAATTGAATCTTGCCGCCTTCTTTTCTGCCGCCGTTACTCATATTGAGTACACATGAAGTACTACTGTACTGGCTGTTCCGCGCCTTCGTGGTGTATGCACTACCTCCTCATCTTTGCTTTTCACGCATCAACCCAAGTTGCTAAGGTCACTGCCCCCTTTTGTGCTAACAGCTTGTTGAAGGCTCATATCTCTAGGGATATCAAGCCTGCTATGCAAGAATTATAATTCAACCGACGGCGATTTCAGTTGGAGCTAAGAACCAACCTACGTGCACTCTGTGTTGGATCATCATCTTAGCACTGCAAAGGATCGTTTCCAAAGGTCAAGCTGCCAAAGTCTACTTACCATTGACAGGAGAAATCAGCTGCAAATACTGCAGCTCTATCATGTACAACTCGCATGGCTAGCCCCTCCAGCAGCATGAGGGGTCAACTCGACACGTCTTGCGGATGAAATTGACCATCGACTGGCATTGATCCTATTCGTTGCGAGCTGTGTACCTTGGTGGCCCAAGCAAACAGCGGCTGTAACGGAAAAGGTACGCGGCTTGCATGAGACATGCGCGAGCGTCATAATTTCCACAGGTTTCACGTCATGCGGATCTCCCCCACAATGTCTACTTGTTCGTCCATTTCTACTGCATACGCCTTGCATGAGTGCGTGAGGGGAAGGCGAGGCAATGAGGCGGAGAAGAGGGCGGAGGACTCCGTATCAGTTTCGCAAATGTGATTGCCCGCCTGCTCGAGGCAAAGCAAGGCTTGTGGCTTGCCTACGACGACGACACGGCTTGCTTTCCATGCTGCATTGAATCCACAGGCCTGACCAGTCAACCAAAGAGGCAGATACTACTATCTCGCGGCACCGGAAATGTCGCCCTTGGCTTCCGCGCAAACTACTGTACTCTTGGGATGGCTGCCGCTCTTTCAATCATCCTCAGACACGTCTCTCCAATGCAAGGTTATGCCATGCTCTTTACCGCTCACCTGAGTTTTGGCGGTGATGCCCTTCTCTGGGCACGCGAACGCATTGATTGGGCCCAAATGACTAAGACCACAAGCACTACATCGAACACTCCACGGCATCTAAAGCTGCTCTTGCTAATACTATCTGGCCCAGGGAGATATGCCAACTATGGAGTAGTAAGTCAATTCAGCCAGCCAGTGAGCTATGCCTAGGAGTGGAGTGCTTCGGTTCACGGGTTATCGATTTTGTCAAGCATGAGTCCTTTCTGCAAGATTGCTCACTCGGATGTCTGATGAGAGGATTCACCAAAGAGGGGGCTCTTATCTACAGAGTACGAGTATTGGCGCACAGCGGCGGGTCCTAGCGAGAAGAACATTGCGTTCGTGTATTTCTCCAGGGCTTGTTGGGCCGATTGCCCGACAGATAGTCAGTGTCGTCTGCCGTGTTGGAGACATGTCAACAAGATGTCGCATCGGAAAACTTGGCAACTTGGATTCCCGAAAATTGAGACAATGAATAAGCGGCAGGATCATCCGAGGGTTGAGTCCCGTGGGTGTATCAAGCAAATCCAAGAGCCTGGCCTCTGGAAGTTTCCACTTCTTACCGTCAGTTGCTGGAGCCGTGCTACGCGTTGTCTGTGGCCTTTCGTCTAGCCCTCGGGGCTGCCCATGCGGTCATGCCGTGGACACGGCCCTGAGACACGGCCTGTCATCCTCATCTCGCCGGATGTTCATCAGTACTTGTCTTGGCGGTGAGGAAGCATTGCTGGCAGTACGGAGTACATTGGCCCATTTCCCGAACAGCGAGCGCAATATCTGGAGCTACCTAGCAGGTGCTAGGGCGCCAGGGCTCTTCCGAGCGGGCGGATCTGCCTAAGACTCGGTCGCAGCCCAATTTCGTGAGCTCCGACGATCCTGGAGAGCCCAAATGCATGACTCAGCATATTGTCGCATTGATTTGGGCAACTTCAGCTAATATTGCCTCATGCGCCACAGGGACGATTCTGCCCGAAGTCGGAAGTGAATATGCCTTTTCGTGATCCAGCTCGGTCATTGCTCTGAGTAGTACAGAGCCGCAAGGGCATTCTTATGATACCGTCTAATAAGAAACGGGATGCCGATATCATGAATGCTGAGTCAACCCATCCAGTCAGGCAGTGGAGTCCCGCGGTAAGGCATCAAGGGACGTGTCGGTGACAGTGCGCTTGGGAGCAGCTGGACAAAGGGAGGTTATTACAAATGACTGAGTCCTCTTCTGTCTGTGATTTTCTATTGGTCTGGTGAGACAACTGGCGGCTATTTTTGCATGCCAAAGCAAGGTTAACGTGTGGTTTCCGGCGAAATCATGGTTGGCTATTCGACCAGCCAAACTCCAACAAACTAACTAACTGATGCGTGCTCTGTCCCAGTCACTCAATGGTGGCGGGACACGTAGAAGGCACTTCACCGCATGTTGATACCATCAAAGCTCATGTGACGCGAAATACGAAAACGAAGGCGTGGCAATGGCCGCACCGAATGTCTTGATATCGGGTTCTTGACCTTTGCTTTGTTGTCCATTTCTATCCAGGGTAGGCCAGTAGGAGCTGACTGAGAAGCAGAGCTAGCTAGCAAGCCAGAGGCCGGCTACCTCCGGCATCACCGGGATGCGGTAATCATCGATGACTACGGATGCTATTAATTGCCACAACCTGATGCCACCTTTCAACTTCTCGATTCTGCTACAGCCGTACGTTAACCTGCCTGATTAATTTTACAATTTCAAATCATCATTTGCGACCCGCAAACCATGTCGATATCAAACATGAGCACGCAAAATGAACGACTGCTGCGAGAGCGGCCATGATCGTAGGCTACCAGGGTGGCGAAGCTGTGGCGCCAAATCACCCCTCGCTCCATCTTTGCTTTGCCGCTATTGTAGGCAGCCGCTGCCATGTGACCGGATGACAGCCGAAAAGCTGAAGGCCGACAAGGATCGTGAGAGCTGACCGAGAAGTGACTCCCTGGTAAGAGGAACATTCTAGCATCTGCCTCTCCTGGTCCGCTACGCGCTTTTGCCTCCGAATTCCACTACACTCAACAGACGCATAATTCATCACGCATCAGCATTCATCATGTCATTCCGCTACTGGCACAACTGGCCACGTATTGGTTTGTGCAAATCCATTTCATTGACCTTGTAAACCACGGCGTTTCAGCCTACCATTCCCTTTGGCTCCCGATAAAATAAGCTACGTAATAGTATAAGCAAGTTCTGACTATTCCCCCAAATTTTCTGACATCCGACGACGTAAGCGGATGAATCCTCTCCCACTTGCTCCTGTCAAGTCTCGACGCGCACAAAAAAATAGTACAGGAGGCGTTAAGAGTAAAATCGTGAGCCGTCCTCTAAGACGCCATGTAAGTGCTGGCATCAACACCCTCCTTGGGGAACTCGCTGTAAGGTCAGAGGTTAGCATATCAATCTTCACACTGCCGTGTGTTTAGAGGGCTGCTTACGGAAGGGCGACTTCGAATCGCTTCTCAATCTCCTTGAGAACCTCCTGGTCCTGCTCGGAGCTCACAAAGGAGATGGCAAGACCCTTGGTACCGAAACGACCGGCACGGC